TGCAGGGATGGAGACCTTGATGTTCTATAGGTATGGTTGGACTACAGGTAGTCCTCAACTTACAACCATTTGTTTAGTGACCGTTCAAAATTATACAAGCATTGAGTAAAGTGTCTTATGACCATTGTGGTCCTTGAACTTATGATTATCGCGTGCGATTCACTTAACAACTGCAATGAATGCCTTACTCACTGTGGCAAAAAAAAAGGCAGTAAAATTGGGGTCGATTCATTTAACAACCGCCTTGCTTAGCAATGGAAATTCTGGACTGAACTGTGGCCGTAAGTTGAGGACTATCCATATGAAGGGGGAAAGGCATATTCAACTCCACCATCAACCATGGAAGCTCACTCTTGGACCAATCATTCTGTTCTAGCCCAACTTACCTTAAAGGTAGTTGTGGTGTAGAAAAATTACAAGGAGTTGCTTGAAACTCCTAAAGAAATTAATGGGATATAAATTAAACCAAGTAAGCAATAGTCAGAGATTCATAGTCCATCATACAAGAACCAGAGATTTTCATCCCTGCAGCCTTAAAATGTGAAAAAATTATTAGCAATTATCAAGACAACTTGGGAGATTTGTCTTCTTCTCCTTCTTCTTCTTCTTCTTCTTCTCCTCCTCCTCCTCCTCCTCCTCCTCCTCCTCCTCCTCCTCCTCCTCCTCCTCCTCTTCTTCTTCTCCTTCTCCTTCTCCTTCTCCTTCTCCTCCTCCTCCTCCTCCTTCTCCTCCTCCTCCTCCTCCTCCTCCTCCTCCTCCTCCCTCTTCCTCTTCCCCTCTTCCTCCTCTCTCTCCCTCTCTGTATTTTTTATTTGTTTTGCTAACTTTGAGCCTGTTTTATTTGTGTATTTTTTTTTTTAAAAAAAGAGAGATGTCTGTAGTTCATTTGTTTACATGGCTGACTTTATTTTTGTTACGCGTTTGTATATTTATGCCTTTGTGTAAACTGTGTGTTTTGAATTCTTAACGGGAAAATAAAGCCAAAGGACAAAAGCAACATCGGACTTAAGATGTGTTTTGATTTCGAAGTTGTGTTTTGCTCTCTCACCAAAGAAAAAGGAGAAAGCTGACTAGATCTCCACCGAATTGGTGGCGCAGTGTTTCTAGCTGGTTTAGGAAAGGGACATATATGTCCATTAAAAAAATATGAATTAAGTCCCTGAACTGATCAACATTTTGTACTGGTAGCCCTCAACTTATGACCACAATTGAGCCCGAAATTGATGTTGCCAAGTGAAAAATTTGTTAAGTGAGTTTTTCCCCATTTTACGACTTTACTTGCAACTGTCGTGGAGTGAATCTGGCTTCCTCATTGACTTTGCTTGTCAGACGGTCGCAAAAGGAGATCACTTGACCCCGGGACACTGCAAACCGTCATAAATATGAGCCAGTTGGCCCCGTGCCTGCATTTCGATTACGTGATCACGGGGATGCTGCAACGGTCATAAGCGTGCAAAATAGTCACAGGTCACTTTTTTCAGTGCCGTTATAACTTTGAATGGTCCCTAAGTGAAATTAAGGACTAGCTGTATACCATAATGGGGAACAAACAGATTAACAGAGTTGGAAGGAACCTTGGAGGTCATCTAGTCCAACCCTCCGCCCAAGCAGGAATCCCTACACCATTTCTGACCGATGGCAGCCCAGTCTCTTCTTGAAAGCCTCCAGGGATGAAGCTCCCACAACCTCTGAAGGCAACTTCTGTTCCATGGGTTGATTGTTCTCACTGTCAGAAAATTTCTCCTTATTTCCAGGTTGAATCTCTCCTTGTTCATCTTTGCCCCTCCCATGTGCTTGAGAAACCTACTTAGCTAGCAAGCAAGCAAGACACTAGCATGCTAATTTTGGCTTGCAAATTCAGTGTATCATGGATGCTTGTTTAGTTTCTTTTTTCGAAGGAAGCATTCGAATAATAAACCCATCTGAAAACAGGCTGATGATCAGTTAAATGGATCACAGAGAGGAGGGGGTCAGGCTATTCTCCAAAGCACCCGAAGGCCAAACAAGGAATAAGGATGGAAACTGAACAAGGAGAGATTCAACCTGGAAATGAGGAGGAATTTTCTGACAGTGAGAACAATCAACCCATGGAACAGAAGTTGCCTTCAGAGGTTGTGGGAGCTTCATCACTGGAAGCTTCCAAGAAGAGATTGGACTGCCATCTGTCAGAAATGGTGCAGGGTCTCCTGCTTGGGCTGGGGGGTTGGACTAGATGACCTCCAAGGTCCCTTCCAACTCTGTTAATCTGAATCTTATCTAAGATGATCAAAGGCCTGGAGGCTAAAACATATGAAGAAAGGTTGTAGGAACTAGGCATGGCTAGTCTAAGGAAGAGAAGGACCAGGGGAGACAGGAGAGCAGTCTTCCAATATTTGAGGGGCTGCCCCAGAGAGGAGGGGGTCAAGCTATTTCCCAAAGCACCTGAAGGCCAGACAAGAAACAATGGATGGAAACTGATCAAGGAGAGATTCAATCTGGAAATAAGGAGGAATTTTCTGACAGTGAGAGCAATCAACCAATGGAAGCGAGGTTGCCTTCAGAAGTTGTGGGAGCTTCATCACTTGAAGCTTTCAACTGGACTGGACTGCCATCTATCAGAAATGATGTAGCGTCTCCTGTTTGGAAGTGGGGGTTGGACTAGATGACCTACAAGATCTCTTCCAACCCTGTTATTATATTAACTATCCATGTGAAGATAGACCTATGGTCCACTCAAATCATGCACCTACCCGTCCAGCTTATCTATTCACATCTGGTTCTCTCCAGATGTCGTCTCAGAACGCTAGGCTTTGGCGTCTTCTCACATCTGGAGAGACGCGGCTGCTCTCTCTGATCTTTTTTAAACAGGAAACGCCGGAGAACAAATTTTACGCAAGGCATGTCCTCTGATCCCTGGTTGAAGTCCTCCTTAAATTCAACGTGAATTGGAGCCTTGCTCTGTTCTTTGGGCCTCACCTTAGTGATTTTTCCCACGCCCGGAATTAAATGCCGAATGAAATCTCAGAATCCCATCTTAAGTCTGTTTCTCAGGCCAGGTTGATGGACACACAACAAGAATCAAAAAAACACGGCTGTGAATGGACTAAATATCCATCTCAGAGGATTAAAAAAAAAAATAGTGAATTTTGTATCTTGAATGGAACGTTTACTTGGGGATCTAAAATTCCGTGTGTGGGGGATTAATAAGTCCAAAGAACTATATATTTAGCTGCTTGGCTAGGAAGAAAGGAAGGAGCTAATGAGCAGTTGGAAGAATGAAAGGTTTAATTAATGGGCAGATCATGGCATTTGTTCCTTAGATGATTCTTGGCTTCACATCAAAGGACAGTCAACTCCGTTGGGTCAAGCCCCAGGCAGGGGACAACCAGTGGCCTCCCTCTCTGATTTAAAACTCAAGAGCTATTCTATTTCGGTCCCTCTTTCATTTATGGGTCGTTAGTCAATTTGATTAAAAGCATTTGTCGCATATCTCAAAACCCAGATTGGTCTAGTGCTTAAGGCAGCAGGCTGGAGACTGGGAGACTGGGAGTTCTAGTTCCAGCTTAGGCATGAAGGCCAGCTGTGTGATCTTGAGCCAGTCCCATTTGCTCAGCCCTAGAATGGAGGCAATGGCATGGAAGCCAGCTGGTGACTTTGGGCCAATCACCAGGAGACGGTGAATTCTAGTCCCACTTCAGGTATGAAAGCTGGCTGGGTGACTTTGGGCCAATCACCAGGAGATGGTGAGTTCTAGTCCCGCTTTAGGTATGAAAGCTGGCTGGGTGACTTTGGGCCAATGACCAGGAGATGGTGAGTTCTAGTCCCACTTTAGGTATGAAAGCTGGCTGGGTGACTTTGGGCCAATGACCAGGAGATGGTGAGTTCTAGTCCCGCTTTAGGTATGAAAGCTGGCTGGGTGACTTTGGGCCAATCACCAGGAGACAGTGAGTTCTAGTCCCACTTTAGGTATGAAAGCTGGCTGGGTGACTTTGGGCCAATCACCAGGAGACGGTGAATTGTAGTCCCACCTTAGGCATGAAAGCTGGCTGGGTGACTTTGGGCCAATCACTAGGAGACAGTGAGTTCTAGTCCCACTTTAGGTTTGAAAGCTGGCTGGGTGACTTTGGGCCAATCACCAGGAGACAGTGAGTTCTAGTCCCACTTTAGGTATGAAAGCTGGCTGGGTGACTTTGGGCCAATCACCAGGAGACAGTGAGTTCTAGTCCCACTTTAGGTATGAAAGCTGGCTGGGTGACTTTGGGCCAATCACCAGGAGACAGTGAGTTCTAGTCCCACTTTAGGTATGAAAGCTGGCTGGGTGACTTTGGGCCAATCACCAGGAGACAGTGAATTGTAGTCCCACTTTAGGTATGAAAGCTGGCTGGGTGACTTTGGGCCAATCACCAGGAGACAGTGAGTTCTAGTCCCACTTTAGGTATGAAAGCTGGCTGGGTGACTTTGGGCCAATCGCCAGGAGACAGTGAGTTCTAGTCCCACTTTAGCCATGAAAGATAGCTGGGTGTCCTTGAGCCAGTCTCTCTCAGCCCAATTTATCTCACAGGATTGTTGTGGTGGGGAAACTAGAAGGAGGAAGAAATAGAAGAGAATACTTTATGTGGCCAAGTGTGATTAGACACACAAGGAATTTGTCTTCGGTGCAGAAGCTCTCAATGTACAAGCAAAGCAACAGGGTGATAATAATCATCATAATGAAACCAATATGGAGCATTACATATGTTCACAGCCATGAGTTGTTTATAAAATAAGGTTTGGGCGAATGAAAAAGACCACTACAAACAGTAGCAACACTGGCAGGGCAAGCTATTGTTCACAGGGAGCAAACCCCACACGCTCTAGCACTGATGATGTTACCTAGCTGGGTCATGAAATGTCTGCAAGTGAACCACCAAGCTCAGAGAGCACCAAGGGCTTCAAAGTTCGGAGCTACAAATATTTTCTTCTATTTAAGTCTTTAAAAACGTGACTTTTTCTCCCCCCTCTTCCCTACCTCTTTTCTACAGCTGCTTCTGTGCCAATGCCTTCTTACCCAAGCTTGGGCTCAGGAAGTTCTTCCAGCAGTTCTTCCACTTCTCACTTAGCATCACCTCCTGTGAGTATTGCTCTGACCTAGGCTTCCTGAGACAGTAAAAAGAACACGATTAGTCCCAAAAACCCTCTTTTTATTTCAACGGCTGTGAATTATGTTCATTCACAGCCCGTAATGAGTCCCAAATAGTTTGTAAAGAGTCCGACAGACGTCTGCCACAGTCCTCTGGGATAAGGATGATAAACACCCACCTTTATCTCCCTTGACACGCTGCCAAAGACCTAATTGGCAATTAGCTTTGCAAGGCCACACGGAGCACAGAGTCAAAACGGAGCTTTAAACCGACCAGCATGAACAAAGTTGCTTCCTGCAAAGGCTCACGTGCCTTTGCTCCTCCTTTATGTCTTATGGGAGGGCCAATCATCTCCAAGCCTTATTCCGGAGTCACCCCTTTTGTCTTAACTGTTCTTGCCTTCTGGCAGCTCTGTGCATGCGCGCATTGGGAACAGGCTCCCCCTGTTCCGACTAGCTGATGTCCGACTCTGGAGGCTCCAGAGGCAGCACATAACTCTCAGATGGCCCTGGCCCTCTCTCTGCCTCTGACGCAGAGCCCTCGTCCAAGCCTTCCCCAGACTCCAGGACTGGCCCATGTTCCTCCCCAACCTCCTCACTGTCTGACTCTGCTGCCAGCTCCACATATATGTATGTGATAGTTCCCTCCCCCACAGATAGTTCCTTTAGGATTTGAAGTACACTAAACTCACCATGCACCCCGCAGCACGCACCAGTGACATTTCCCACCGGCCAGTACGCTTGCACAGAGAGGGCCTCCTCAGGGTGCCGTCCGCCAGACAGTGTCAACTGGCGAACCCCAGGGGGAGAGCCTTCTCTGTGGCGGCACCCGCCCTCTGGAACAACCTCCCTCCAGAGATACGTACAATACCAGACCTCCGGACTTTTCGTCGGGACCTGAAAACTTATTTATTTCACCTAGCCGGGCTGGCTTGATCCCACAGTTTTTGGTTAAATTTAATTGATTTTAATTGGGTTGTTTTAAATTGTGGCCAAAAATATTTAATTATTTTTAAACTGTTTTTAAATTTTGTATATTCTGTTTTATTCTGGCTGTTCACCGCCCTGAGTCCTGCTGGAGAAGGGCGGTATACAAATTAAAACAAATAAATAAACAAACAAATAAATAAATTTCTAATGTACCTGTAGGCGGGTGTACTCAAAGCTGGGCACTCTTGTGGCCGACTGTGATGGGAAATGCTTTTTGACAATTGGCAAAGCATTGGCAGTGATGACTAACATTCCTTGTCTCATGTTGTTTTTTTCCCCCCAACTTTCCTCTCTTTTCCTTGATAAGTCGCTCGGCGAGATGCCCCATCTTCAGGAAAAGACCCCAGCCTCCCCACAGCCGGGCTCCCCAGCTTTCCTACACCGGTCAAAGGAATCTGCGGGAAGCAGCAGCAAAAACTCGTCCTGTGACACCGATGACTTTGTAATGGTGCCAGCCCAGTTTACAAGTAAGAGGAGTTTGATGCCAAAGCCAGTGAGAACTTGGATGGAGCACGGGGGTGGGCTTTGGAACATCGGTGTTCTGATCTAGGCTCCCTTAAAAAGCAGGAAGCAGGAATTGATCCCGGCAAAACCTCTTTTATTTACACGACTGTGAATTCCTTTCATTCACAGTCACCAAGGTTTGTCCAAACAGTTTTTCAAAGGAATATTTATCAACACCGAACTTATCTTGCTTGGAAAGCTGCCTTGTCAATAGTTTCCAAATGCAGTACAAGGCAAAACTTGGCACAGAGGCTCTGAGAGTCATGGAACGAACAAATTGTTTCCTGCAAAAGCCCCCTCCGCGTTTGCTCCTCTTTTGTTTCCTATGGTAGGGCCAATCACCTCCAAGGTGTGGCTTTACTCCCAATCGACCCTGCTTTCTGAAGCTCTTCGGCTTCGAAACGGAGATGAGCACCGCCCCCTAGAGTCGGGAACAACTAGCACATATGTGCGAGGGGAACCTTTACCTTTACTTTACCTTAATCATATGCTAGGATAAAACCACCGTAAGAGTCCGATTGCTCCCCACATAAAGGAGAAATATTTTTCTCTAGGGCAGATTAATTACTTTTTGCTATTTTTTCCCCCACGGTTTGAAGGATGTTTTAACCTTCTGTTTCTCTGTCTTGGAGCTTAGTGACTTTATCAGCTGCCTTCTTCTGCCTTAAAAAATTATGACTCCGGCCTCGCTTGTTATGGGTGTATTTGTGCACAGTTTTGCAAGGTGGATATAACCTGCATTATTTTTTAAAACAAAATTCCTTTCCCCCCCACCCCCTTTTTTTGATTTTAGGTGATATCGCTGCGGAAGTTACGGGAGGCAAACTGATCCAGGACAGTCTGATGGGAAGTGGGTAAGGAAAAAAAAGAAAAAAAATCCTGTTAGTTTTGTTTTAATTGTAATGAGCTAAAAGGTTCGATGGCTCCTCGTTGGTGTGTCGTTTCGCAACAGAATAAAAATAAATAACCAGATTGGCGTCCTTAAAATAAACAACGAAAGGAAGATTTCAACATTCACTGAAGAGATAAGTGGTACGAGCAGATGCTTCCGCTTTGAAATATGAGCTCGGAGATTATGCTATTGTGACTTCTGTATAGTCTTAAATTTCATGGAATGAGGAACGGCATATCCAGTGGTGGGATTCAGCCGGTTCGGGAAAACTGGTAGTTAAATTGCTGGCTGGCTCCTTCCCTCCCTGCCCCACCCCTTCTGGGAGTCCCCACGCGCCCCATTTTGGCTCCCAGGGAGCCAAAATGGGGCGCCAGGGATGCAATCCCCCCTTCCATGGCCCATTTTTGCTCACAGGAGGCTTCAGGGAGACCTCCTACGCCCAAAACAGGGTGCGGGTGGGGGGTGCAGCAACACCCCCCACGGCCCGTTTTCGCTCCCAGGAGACTGCAGGGAGGCCTACGAGGCCCAAATAGGGCGCGAGGTGGGGTGTGTGTGGCACGTCCCCCACCGCGGCCCGTTTTTGCTCCCAGGGGCATCCAGGAGGTTGAGTGCTGCCTGTCACACACCCCTGGCCACGCCCACGATGGCCACACCCACCCAGCCGGTCATTAGGGCAGAGAACCGGTTGTTAAATTATTTGAATCGCACCACTGGCTCATATCTTAATATTTTCTCAATCAAGTGTTCTCCAGATTCATTGAGGCTTACAACTCCCAGAAGCCTCCCAATTATTGATGGAGTTGGTTGGCAACCACCACTTCTCTGGTGTACATGCAATTAGTGATTCGTGTTTCTTCTGTCCTTGGACTTGTGTAGGAGCTCCCTGGTGACTTCTGCCGATTTGGAAAGCCAAGGAAGGACGCCATCTCCTTCTCCTCCATACAGCAGTTCTCCTAGCCCATCCGGGTAAGGCAGAATCTGAGATGGTATTCCTCACCCTCCCAGTGAAAATGGGAATAGAATAGAATATCAAACATATTAAGAGTGGTTGTTGGAATTGGGTATGTCTAGTCTGATGAAAAGAAGGACTAGGGGAGACATGATAGCAGTGTTCCAATATCTCAGGGACTGCCACAAAGAAGAGGGAGTCAAACTATTCTCCAAAGCACCTGAGGGCAGGAGAAGAAGCAACGGGTGGAAACGAATCAAGGAGAGAAGCAATTTAGAACTAAGAAGAAATTTCCTGACAGTTAGAACAATTAATCAGTGAAACAACTTGCCTGCAGATATTGTGGGTGCTCCAACACTGGAAGTTTTTAAGAAGATGTTGGATAACCATTTGTCTGAAATGCTATAAGGTTTCCTGCCTAAGCAGGGGGTTGGACTAGAAGACCTCCAAGGTCCCTTCCAACACTGTTATTCTATACTTGTTCTAATGGGTGAACTAGGCCTCTAGAATTTGCTCAACAAGTTGTGATTTATTTTTTTTTAATTTGATTTATATGCCGCCCTTCTCCGGAGACTCAGGGTGGCTTACAATGCGCTAAGCAATAGCCTTCATCCTTTTGTATATTTATACAAAGTCAGCTTATTGCCCCCACAAACTGGGTCCTCAATTTACCTACCTTAGAAAGGATGGAAGGCTGAGTCAACCTTGAGCCTGGTGGGATTTGAACCTGCAGTAATTGCAGGCAGCTGGTCTTAATAACAGGGTGCTTTAGACCACTGTACTACCAAGGCTCTGATTAAAGCAACCCACAGCTTAAGGCGATGGGACGCTCTGCAGAACTTTTCTCCTTCATCCTCCCTACATCTAGGCTGTTCAGTAGTCCTGGTTTTGCTCTAACCATCACTTGCCTATCTTCTGTGACCTCCCAGGCGATCGAGCCAATTTTCATCTGGCACCAGAACCGGACAATCAATACCCATTCCAGTCCCTACGCAGATCCAAAATTACCGCCGGATTGAGCAGAATCTTCAATCCCCCACTCAGTATACTTTGCCACGGTGAGTGTTGGGCTGTTAGGGAGGTTGACTCCGATGGATGGACCCGTTGGCCAACGATGATGCGATGCAATGTGGGGAGAAGGTGGATTTCCAGGAGGGAGGGAGGGGCTGCGTTCAAGGAGACTAAGAAGCGACTCAGCCTGGATGTTATGTGTGGGAGAAAGGGTGAAAACAGCTCCCTCCGAATAGCTCGCAGAGTATATTGTAGAGGCAGATAGTTTTGAGTGTTTAGCCTGGCAAGATTCTGTTTATAGGTGTGAAACAATAAAGAATTTAGCTTGGAAGAATCATTCATTCTTGATTTGGGACCTGACATAACTATGAAACTATATAACTATTTCTTTATCAGCGAAATATAAATTTGGTATAGATAGATAGGTAGGTAGGTAGGTAGAAGATAGAGATAGAGAGATAATAATTGAGAGAAAGAAAATGATTAATAGAGAATGATAGATAGATAGATAGAGAGAGAGAGAGAGATACAGAGATACAGAGATTAGAGATAGATACAGAGATAATGATAGATGAGAGAGAGAGAATGATAGAAAATGATAGATAGATAGATAGAGATAGATAGATAGATAGATAGATAGATAGATAGATAGATATAGATAGATAGATAGATAGATAGATAGATAGATAGATAGATAGATAGATAGATAGATAGATAGATATGGTAGGTAGGTAGGTAGATAGATAGATACAGAGATACAGAGATACAGAGATACAGAGATAGATAGATATGGTAGGGAGGTAGGTAGATAGATGCAGAGATAGATACAGAGATAATAATAGATAGATGAGAGAGAATGATAGATAGATAGATACAGAGATACAGAGATATAGAGATAGATACAGAGATAATGATAGATGAAAGAATGATAGAGAATCATAGATAGATAGTTATGATTGATAGATAGTTATGATTGGTAAATATGATTGGTAGGTAGGTAGGTAGGTAGGTAGGTAGGTAGGTAGGTAGGTAGATAGATAGATAGATAGATAGATAGATAGATAGATAGATAGATAGATCAGGCAGGCAGGCAGGCAGGCAGGCAGGCAGGCAGGCAGGCAGGCAGGCAGGCAGGCAGGCAAATAGAGAGGCAGGCAGGGGAACGGAGGGATGGAAGGAGGGATGGAGGGATGGAGGGTTAGACAGAGTAAACCCAGTGTGATGGCATGTAGTCTGGATTCCCAGGAGGACTTAGAGGCAACTCAAACTGGATATTATGTGCGAGGGAAAGAAGCTGAAGCTCCCAAAGTGTATTGCAGAGGCAGATAGTAGAGTCCTCTGTCTGGCAAAATTCTATAGGTGGGAAATAATAATAAAAAAAAAAACCTCAAGCTTGAAAGAATCATCATGTATCATTCTAGCTTTTGGGCCCGACAGATTCACTCAAGTACAGGATGGTCAGAAGAGGCTTAAAAATATGGACCAGGTCAACCATGGCGCATTATTTTGCAAGCTCTTAAACTCTTTGAAGTTTAATTTGAGCGTCAGACTTTGGATGAGACAGCTGTGAACCAGAGCCTAATTTCAACTTTGTGGGTAGTGTCAGGATGAGAATTTAAATACAGCTTCTTTTCACTTTGGGTTTTGCACTGAACATCCAATGCAATTAATGTTAATGCAATTAAACCCAATGAATTGATGCAATTAAAGCCAGTGAATTGATGCAATTAAACCTCACAAATGCGACTCTCTTGCCAGATGTGGCTTTGATCCTTTCCCATTTTATTACTTGAAAAGCTGTACTTGATCGTTCAGCTTCGGAGGGCATCTGGGGAACATACCGCCAAAGTTGAGGACCAGGGAGGCGATGCTCAGATTGGAAACCTCTGCAGTTTGCAAGCCAAATAAATCCCCAGCTTTGCATTCTGTGGGAGAATCCCATCTGTTTTTGCACGAGACAAAAATTCCTCTTAGTTTTGGAGCGCGGACATTTTGGTTTTACATCATCTTAAATGAGATCGTCTCTTCTCGGGTTATGAGTGTGTCTTAGGGAAGTTTGCCATGTTGGATTTTCCGGGCAGAGATAGATAGATAGATAGATAGATAGATAGATAGATAGATAGATAGATAGATGATAGATAGATAGATAGATAGATAGATAGATAGATAGATAGTAGATAGATAGATAGATAGATGATAGATAGATAGATAGATAGATAGATAGATAGATAGATAGATGATAGATAGATGGATGGATGGATGGATGATAGATAGATAGATAGATGATAGATAGATAGATAGATAGATAGATGGATGATAGATAAATAGAAAGATAAGATGAGATAGAGATAGATAGAGAAAGAGAGATAGGAGGATAGATAGATAGAGAGATAGGATAGATAGATAGATAGATAGATAGATAGATAGATAGATAGATAGATAGAGACAGAGAGATAGACAGATGATGGATGGATAGATACAGAGAGAATGATAGATTATCATAGAATCTATGAGATAGATGATAGATAGATAGATAGATAGATAGATAGATAGATAGATAGATAAGATAGAGAAAGATAGAGATAGAGAGGAGGATAGAGAGATAGGAAGATAGATAGATAGATAGATAGATAGATAGATAGATAGATAGATAAAGACAGAGAGAGGCAGATGATGGATGGATGGATAGATACAGAGAGAATGATAGATTATCATAGATGATAGATAGAAAGATAAGATAGATAGAAAGATAAGATAGATATAGATAGATAGATAGATAGAGAGAGAGAGAGAGAGAGATAGGAGGATATAGATAGAGATAGGAGGATAGATAGATAGAGATATGAGAGTAGATGATAGATTAGATGATAGATAAAGATACATCTCTATTTCTCTTTCTTTATGTAATATCTATCTATCATCTATCTATCTATCTATCTATCTATCTATCTATCTATCTATCTATCTATCTATCTATCTATTAATATATATATCTCTCTCCCTGCCTCCCTCCCTCCCTCCCTGGAAAATCCAACGTGGCAAAGTATGCGTGCATGCGTGTGTATTTATATTATTTGTTCTTGCTCACCTGCTTAGTCAGACATCTCTGTTTCTCTGAAGTGTCATTATCTGTAATTATACAGAACACGGCAGAGCCATGCTTCTGGCGTGCTGTTTTTGGACTCGGGAACCAGTCCTGTTGCCGGGATGCCTGGCTTACAGTCATGTGATGGAGCCTATCCGTCTTGTGTAGGTGGCACCTTTTTGTTAAGGGAAGGAAGCCTCTGAGAGCTACCAGTTTCTTTGGCTTGGAAGAAAAAGATGGATGACAAGAAGCCCATCTGGGAATGCTTCTGGGCTTTGGTTAGCCGAGGATTTGTGTACCTGGCAAAGGATGGAAACAGGTTGGACTTTGACAAGCTTCTCTGGTGTCAAAACTGGAGAATTTGGCTACAGTTTGCTTTCTGCTTCCCTCTTGAGAGAGGGATCTTGTTGTGGCCTGCCAGCGGCCAGCAGAGCTGGCAGCAGATTCGGACAGTGAGGAGGTTGGGGAAGAACGTGGGCCAGTCCTGGAGTCTGGGGAAGGCTCTGATGAGGGCTCTGAGTTGGAGGCAGAGAGGGGGCCAAGGCCATCTGGTAGTTCTTTGCTGCCTCCGGAGTCTGACATCAGTGAGGCGGAATAACAGCGGGAGCCTGTTCCCAGTGTGCGCATGCGCAGAGCTGGCAGGGGACAGGAACAATTAAGAAAACAGGGTCGACTTGGGAGTAAGGCTTGGAGATGATTGGCCCCTCCCATAAAACATAAAAGAGAAGTGAACGGGACGTGAGCTTTTGCAGGAAGCAATTAGTTCATCTGGTCGGGAAAAGCTCTGTTTGACTCTGCTAAATTTGGCCTTGCCTTGCATGTGGCAATTCGTTCTCTGGCAGCATTCCAAGGGAGATAAGGTGGGTGTTTGTAAACACTTTCCTGTTAGACTGTTTGAGAAGCCTTTCGGACTGGGAATAATTCACAGCCGTTTGAATAAAAGAGGTTTGCTGGGACTAAAATTGTGCTGTATACTTTCTAAGGAAGCCTAGGTCAGAGCAGATCTGTTTGCTGGTGACTTCCACCCTCTTTAAATCTGATGGAGACATGGATTAAACAGCAGTGCAAACGTTTTCATTATTATTCTGCTTGGTTGCCCAGTTAGTCAGATGTTTAGACTGGATCTGGCATTTAAAAAAAAACAAAAACAAACTCCTAGCAAGTCCTTCTCAAGGATTATTATTACTACTTCTGGATTGTTTAGGTTAAGACTTCTTGGGAAAAAAAATCAAAAGCTTGCCATTTTTCTAAACTGTCTCTTGACTTGATAGAGAGAATATTTGAAAGGGAGATCAATGTTCCCTCCATCGCACTTGAGTAAACACAACAGGGTTTTTTTGGATTTTTATGTTTGAATCAGTATCTTTTGCGAAGTGTGTCCTGGGATCCCAGCCAATGTGGCTTTTTACAAACCTCGATTTAAGCAGGAACTCTAAAGGGGACGCGTTGGCTCAGTGGCTAAGACGCTGAGCTTGTCAACCAAAAGGTCGGCAGTTCAGCGGTTCGAATCCCGAGTGCCGCGTAACGGGGGGAGCTCCCGTGACTTGTCCCAGCTTCTGCCAACCTAGCAGTTCGAAAGCAGGTAAAAAATGCAAGTAGAAAAAATAGGGACCACCTTTGGTGGGAAGGTAAAGATGTTCCGTGCGCCTTTGGCGTTGAGTCATGCCGGCCACATGACCACGGAGACGTCTTCGGACAGCGCTGGCTCTTCGGTTTGAAACGGAGATGAGCACCGCCCCCTAGAGTCGGGAACGACTAGCACATATGTGCAAGGGGAACCTTTACCTTTTACTAAATGTTAAATGTGCTTCTTACTTCTTTAGAAGTAGAAACCACATTTAACATTCTTTATAATCAAAGAGGGTAGATTCGGTGTTTTTGGCTGAAGAGTGAAAAATCATGGTTGTTGGGGTGACTTTGTGATGTTTTCTTTATTCGATGCCTATTTTGAGATACGTTGTATGAGGGGATCCTTGGTGCCCTCTGAGCTTGCTTGTTTTCTTGCAAATGTTTCACTACCCAACTAGGTAACATCATCAGTGCTAGAAGGGAATGGAGTTTGTGGAGTGGCGGAGAAGGAGAACAGGAGAAGGAGGACTGTAGAGTCCTTGATGTCCTCTGAGCTTGCTTGTTTTCTTGAAGCTGTTTCATTACCCAAACTAGGTAACATCATCAATGCTAGTCGGCAGGTCTATCAGTGCTAAGCACTGATGATGTTACCTAGTTGGGTAATGAAACATCTGGAAGAAAATAACCAAGCTCAGAGACTACCAAGGACCCCACAGTTCTACTCCTCCTCCTCCTCCTCCTCCTCCTCCTCCTCCTCCTCCTCCTCCTCCTCCCCTCCTCCTCCTATCTGAAAACCTCACTCCCTTCTAGCACTGATGATGTTACCTAGTTTGGTAATGAAACATCTGGAAGAAAACAACCAAGCTCAGAGAGCACCAAGGACCTCACAATTCTTCTCCTTCTCCTTCTCCTTCTCCTTCTCCTTCTCCTTCTCCCTCTCCTTCTCCTTCTCCTTCTCCTTCTCCTTCTCCTTCTCCTTCTCCTTCTCCTTCTCCTTCTCTCTGCAAACCACACTTCCTTCTAGCACTGATGAAGATACCTAGTTTGGTAATGAAACATCTGGAAGAAAACAACCAAGCTCAGAGAGCACCAAGGACCTCACAATTCTTCTCCTTCTCCTTCTCCTTCTCCTTCTCCTTCTCCTTCTCCTTCTCCTTCTCCTTCTCCTTCTCCTTCTCCTTCTCCTTCTCCTTCTCCTTCTCCTTCCTTCTCTCTGCAAACCACACTTCCTTCTAGCACTGATGAAGATACCTAGTTTGGTAATGAAACATCTGGAAGAAAACAACCAAGCTCAGAGAGCACCAAGGACCCCTCCCTGAGCTACAAATATTCTCTTTTATTAGATATGTTGTATTATTTTAGGGGCGTGTTTGTGTTGCCAAAGGCTGAGTTCAGTGAGCTTGTAACCTTCCTTAGGAAAATCATGATTTAACACGATACAAAAAGCAGGTGTATACGATAAAGAGGGACAGTGACGAGACTCTTATTTCTTCTAAATTATGTCCAGAAGATGTAGGGTCCAGATGGAGATGGAAGCCAGCAATTCTTGGTCTCCTCTCTTGTCTTGGCCCTTGAATGTCGTCAACGGAAGGTGGAATGGGCGATCCTCCGTTGATCCTTCTCTTCCTGCTATGCACAATCTGGAACGAAGAAATTCTCCTTTTCCATTAGGTCTAATCCTGTCAAAAGATCCGGCAGCACGAGTCCACTTGGCTTCCTGAAAGCCAGCCCATCCCCTCCGTTTTCTGCTGGTGAGCATGGAACAGTGCCATCCCCTAGAAGGTTCTCCTTTGGTGGTGCCAAGCCTTACACACCTTCTCCTCAAGGTAGGCTATCCAGACGATCTGGAGATGGACACCCTTTAATGGTCAGGTGCTATGTTGGAACATTTGGAGGGCTGGACAAAGACCCAAGAATGCAAGCATTGGTTTGATGGATTTTCATAAGTTTGGTTTTGTAAGGGTTGGTTGTCCTGGCTTGGGGACATCCCTTGTCTGCATGTCCCCACAAACACAAATCAGGGTCTCTAGACGGGAGCTGCATGTTCAGATTCTCCCATCTTATTTATTTTATTTATTAGTTAGATTTATATGCCGCCCTTCTCCGGAGACTCAGGGTGGCTTACAATGCGTTAAGCAATAGCCTTCATACTTTTGTATATACCTGCTTAGTAGGGCTTTTGGCCCCCCCTAAGCGGTGTTCTATTTTATACAAAGTCAGCTTATTGCCCCCACAATCCGGGTCCTCATTTTACCTACCTCGAAAGGATGGAAGGCTGAGTCAACCTTGAGCCTCTGGTGAGCCTGGTGAGATTTGAACTTGCAATAATTGCAGGCAGCTGGCAACTTAAGTGCTACTTTAACAGCACTTAGGCCACTGCGCCACGGCGTCACCAGGCACTAGATTAATCTTCTAGTTAATCCGTTCAAGAACCAAGATGTTTGCGATGTCCAGTGACTTCGTTAGCCAACCTAATGGATGAACCTGCATTTCTTTTATTTGCTTTATTTCCATCTACGATCTCACCTGTTTTCACCTGTGACTCCAGTCACTTCCCAAAGTGAAAGCCCTACACCAGGGGTGCCCAACTCGATTTCATTGAGGGCTGCGTCAGGGTTGTGTTTGATTTCCGGGGACGGGGTGGGAGTGGCCAGCTCGACGTCAGTCTGCATCGGGGGCCTGCCTGTGGCGGCCTGTGCGCTCTGCCAGCGAAAACGGGCTCCCGAGCGCCGTTTTCGGCTACCACGGCCTCCTGCAACCCCTCTGCCAGTGAAAACGGAGCTCGGGAGCCCATTTTTGCTGGCAGAAGCACCACGGGCCGGTCCTTCGCTGTTTCCAGGGCGGCCCTGTGGGCCAGATCTAAGTACCTTGTGGGCTGGATCCGGCCCTTGAGCCTCGAGTTTGACATCCCTACCCTACACAGTTCAAATTACCTTAGCCTTCCTCGTGGGTGGGAAGGGAGCTACCTGTGGCCAGGTGGGAAAAAAACTATGTGTCTCTGCTGAGGTCTTGTTCATTCTTGGTATAATTCTGGATTCCCGAGTGAACTTCGCAACGATCTGATTCAGGTGAGCGGTGTTTGGGGCAACGTTGCTCTAAGGAAATAAAATAGCCCTTAGCAATAGCCCTTAGACTTCTATACCGCTTCACAGTGCTTTCCAGCCCTCTCTAAGCAGTTTTACAGAGTCAGCCTGTTGCCCCCAGCAATCTGGGTCCTCATTTTACCGAACTTGGAAGGATGGAAGGCTGAGTCAACCTTGAGCCAGTCAGGATCGAACGGCTGGCAGTGGGCAGTCAGCAGAATTAGCTTGCAATATTGCCTACTAACCACTGCACCACCACGGCTCTTATCGCCCTCCGAGTGTGTGATTTCTCATCATGCTGGTTTTCCTTTTCCTGAAGTTGGAACAATTCCAGAGCAGTCAGACCAGATGATCATCCCGTGTCCTCTTGGAACCGAGTTCAGAACTCGGGTGCCCATATCAGGTACGTTTGATGTTGAATCGTTCTTTGGAACTTCTTAGTCACTCCATTTTCTGGGCACTATCTCTATCTCTATATCTATCTATCTATCTATCTATCTATCTATCTATCTATCTATCTATCTATCTATCTATCTATCCTATCTATATACCTATCTATCTATCTATCTATCTATCTATCTATCTATCTATCTATCCTATCTATATACCTATCTGCCTCTATATCTATCTATTATTGTCTGTCTGTCTATCTATCTATCTATCCATCCATCCGTCATCTGTTTGTCTCTGTCTGTCTGTCTATCTATCTATCTATCTATCTATCTATCTATCTATCTATCTATCTCTAGCTGGCTAGCTATCTCTATCTAGCTATCTGTCTGTCTGTCTGGCTAGCTAGCTAGCTATCCTATCTATATATCTATCTATCTGCCTCTATATCTATCAATCATTGTCTGTCTATCCATCCATCCATCCATCCATCATCCATCTGTCATCCGTCTGTCTGTCTGTCTATCTATCTATCTATCTATCTAGCTAGCTATCCTATCTATATAGCTATCTATCTGCCTCTATATCTATCATTGTCTGTCTATCTATCTATCTATCTATCTATCTATCTATCTATCTATCCATCCATCCATCCATCCATCCATCCATCCTCCATCTGTCATCTGTCTGTCTGTCTATCTATCTCTAGCTAGCTATCTGTCTGCCTGTCTATCTGTCTAGCTAGCTAGCTAGCTATCCTATCTATATATCTATCTATCTGCCTCTATATCTATCAATCATTGTCTGTCCATCCATCCATCCATCATCCATCTGTCATCCGTCCGTCCGTCCGTCCGTCCATCTATCTATCTATCTATCTATCTATCTATCTATCTATCTATCTATCTATCTAGCTATCTAGCTATCTAGCTATCTAGCTATCTAGCTATCTAGCTATCTAGCTATCTTATCTATTTATCATCTCTCCAACATTTCTTCTTGCCAGATGGTTTGCCTTGATGCTTTCTGCTTCCTTTCTGCTCTTCACTCCCTCTTCTGTTTTATTCCTCTTCCCTTCAGATGCTTCAGGATCGGATCCTTCTCTGCGAGGACTGGGCTATCGTCTTCACAGCGCTCCCAACCTCTCTGATTTCCATTCCTGCCGGCAAAAAGTCACCAAGCAGTACTCGGATCCTCTGGTCCCCCACTTCAGCCCCGTCCCAGCTGCTCAGGCCACGCGGCTACCCAGCCTTCAGTCTGGTCGGCCCCTCAGGTCTTCTCCAAAGCTCTCGAATTCATGCAGAGGACTCCCTTGCCCACCATTTTGGGTTCTCCAACAAAGGTAGTCTACCCTTCCTCAGGACCCCTTCGGGTGGAATTGGAAAGTTCTAAATTGGGAGGTTGCGTCAGTCCAAATTGCCCCCAACTACAACCATATGAGAGAGAGGGACTAGCCCAAAGTCTCCCAGCTAATTTTCCTGCCTAAAGTGGAACTAGAACTCCTAGTCGTCTGGTGATTGCCCCAAAGTCACCCAGCCAACTTCCATATCTTAAGGAAGGACTAGAACTCATGGTCTCCTGATGATTGGCCCAGGTAGTTTAGCCAGCTCTCATGCCTAAGGCAGAACTAGAACTCCCAATCTCCTGGAGATTGCCCCAAAGTCACCCAGCCAATTTCCTTGTCTTAAGGAAGGACTAGAACTCCCAATCTCCTGGTGATTGCCCCAAAGTCACCCAGCCAACTTCCTTGTCTTAAGGAAGGACTAGAACTCCCAATCTTCTGGTGATTGCCCCAAAGTCACCCAGCCAATTTCCTTGTCTTAAGAAAGGACTAGAACTCCCAATCTCCTGGTGATCGCTCTAAAGTCACCCAGCCAATTTCCTTGTCTTAAGGAAGGACTAGAACTCCCAATCTCCTGTTGATTGCCCCAAAGTCACCCAGCCAGCTTCCTTGTCGTAAGGAAGGACTAGAACTCCCAATCTCCTGGTGATCACCCTAAAGTCACCCAGCCAATTTCCTTGTCTTAAGGAAGGACTAGAACTCCCAATCTCCTTGTGATTGCCCCAAAGTCACCCACCCAGCTTCCTTGTCTTAAGGAGGGACTAGAACTCCCAATCTACTGGTGATTGCCCCAAAGTCACCTGGCCAACTTCCTTGTCTAAGGAAGGACTAGAACTCCCGTTCTCCTGGTTTCTCATCCAGCAGCTTAATCACTCCACCAAACCGGGTTTTTGGAGAAAAGAACGAGAGGGTCACATCAATTGAACAATTATTTCGCTGCTTAGCAAATCCTCCTTGTTGTATGGATCTCCCACAAGTTCCAAAAATGTTTGGTGTGATCAGAAGCCTTAAAAAACCAGCAGATTACGTTTTCCATTTCCGTCCATTTCTATCCATTTTGTCATGGTTTCTCCTTCCTTTTAATGTTTTGTTTTTGTTTTTGTTTTTTTTACAAATATAGGCAAGGTCCCCCTTTGAGTTCAGTAAAACCCCCAGCTCCCAAAATCTGTTCACTCTCTTGGCCCACCAAGCTGTTGTCATCACCCCAACGAGGAACAAAACACTGCCGGATTTGAAAGAAATGGGACACTTACCTTACCAACAAGGAGGCCTCAGTTTGAGGCCGATGGAAGACGCCAAAGGCAGGTGGGCACCCTCACAACCAAAAATAAAAGTCAAAGTTGATTTGCAGATAGACTAACCTAGTCACATGTGGGGTCCTTAGAAGTTTTTGAGCTTGGTTGTTTCCTTGCAGATGTGTCATTACCCAACTACGTAACATCAGCAGTAGTAGAAGGGAGTGAGGTTTGCAAAGAGGAGGAGGAGAACGAGGAGGAGGTCTGTGCGGTCCTTGGTGATCTCTGAGCTTATGTCAAGTCGCAAACCATTCCTGGCCTGCTCTCGAGTTCCCATAAGCAAGGGGGGATGGGAAACCGATGAAACTGCAGGGCAGCCAAATGCACATTCCAGACGTATCTCTCTCAAGGCTGTATCCCAGGGTTACCCCCAGCGGCCGGAAGGGAGTGATCTCTACAACCCGCGAAATTGCTCCGTTGGTGAATGTGATTGATGATACACCCTGTGGGGGGAAGGGAAAACAGGGTCATGATTGGGGCGTAAATTATGTAGGGTCAGAGCTGACTTCACTTGGGAATGTGCCGACATGAAGCTCCTAATAAATAACTGGATTTCTTTTGAAGCTTGGCTCGAGGCTCATGATTTAATTAGGGCATCCGTCGGAACCCTGACAGCTTAGTTGTTTCCTTGCAGACGGTTCATTACCCAACTAGGTTATATCATCAGTGCTAGAAGGGAGTGAGGTTTGCAAAGAGGAGGAGAAGGAGGAGGAAACTGTGGAGTCCTTGGTGCCAACTAGGTAACATCATCAATGCTGGAAGGGTGGTGGGGTTTACATTTTTGTGCCTTTCAAGGTGGGGTGAGGTGGAGAAGATAATTCATTTTTGATGAGTTTCTCCGATGTGCTGCTACATTCACGTCCTCCACACAACAACCAGAAGCGTTAAGCCCCGAAACTGAGAATGCTCTCCAAATTCACAAAGACCGCCTAACCCTAACTAAGTTTATTTATTTATTTATTGGTTCGATTTATATGCCACCCTTCTCCGGAGACTCAGGGCGGCTTACAATGCGTTAAGCAGTAGCCTTCATACTTTTGTATATACCTGCTTATTAGGGCTTTCGCCCCCCCCCCTCCCCCCAAGCGGTGTTCTTTTTTTATACAAAGTCAGCTTATTGCCCCCACAAACCGGGTCCTCATTTTACCTACCTCGGAAGGATGGAAGGCTGAGTCAACCTTGAGCCTGGTGAGATTCGAACTTGCAGTAATTGCAGGCAGCTGGTGTTACTTAACAGCATTTTAGTCTGCTGCGCCACCAAGGCTCATAGTTTGTCCCTTCGGTGTAGATTTTTCCCACTTGTTTTAACCAGGAAATGTAGACGGGGCCTCCTCTAAAAATGGCGTTTTCTCCTTCTTCAGGTCACTCAGCACTGGCCGTCTCACCGACCTGCTTCTTAAAGCTGCTTTTGGGGAAGCTGGCAATAGTGATAGCCTCAACAACGAGAAGCCCATGGAGATAACAGGTGCTGAGAAATATGGGGTGGTTCCCGTCCTTTTTTCTATTTTAATTTATGAATTTTGTCTCTTCTGCATCCACGGAACTTCGGAACTTGAATTGAGGTGTTCCTATTTTCTCCGTAGCTCCTTCCGTGGGTTGTGGAGGAACCCTTCACTCGGGGGCCAGAGAAGGTTCTGGAAGCCCTTCACCGGTCATCTTCACCGTTGGGTCACCTCCTGCTGGGACAACACCACCACAAACCACCCGAACCAGAATGTATTCAGGTACCCCAACTGGGAAGGGGATGGAATCGTTGTAGTTGCTCTCTTTAGGTTGTACAATGAAGAAATGGTTACCTCAGGGTTGAGCTGTGTGGCCTCCAGTGTTCTCTGAGCTTGGCGGTTTTCTTGCAGACGTTTCATGACCCAACTAGGGAACACCATCAGTGTTAGGAAGGAGTGTGGTTTGAGGAGGAAGAGGAGGGAGGAGGACTGTAGGGTCCTTGATGCTCTCTGAGCTTGGCGCTTTTCTTGCAAATGTTTCTTGATCCAACTAGGTAATATCATCAGTTTGGAAGGTGTGGGGTTTGAGGGGTAGGAGGAGGAAGAGGAGGACGACTGTGGGATCCTTGGTGGTCCCTGAGCTTGGTTGTTTTCTTGGAGACATTTCATGACCCAACTAGGTAACATCATCAGTGCTGTGGGTATTCCCACTGTTTACTAAAAAAAAAAACATTTAGATGTGAAGAATGAGGGCTTTTGTTTTCCTTTGGTTGATCAACTTCCTAAGTTTTGTGTTGTACATTCTGCTTTTTGTTTTGTTTTTCTTAGTAGGATCTTCAAGTTCTCTGAGTTCTGGAGGATCTTTCAGTGGGCGCCACTTCATTATGGGAGCCGGTGGGGAAATCCTTGAAGCTCCGTCAGGTCTCAGATATACATTGGCTGATCCAATTGCTGCCAACCTGGAAGGAGCCGTTACCTTTGAGGCACCTGAGCTACCTGAGGAGACCCTCATGGAAGTGAGTTTCATTCCCCCCAACCCAAGTTGAAAACAGTTAAAAAAAAAAAAAGGCTCTAATCCACCCTCAACCGTAGACCTTGTAGGACAGGGGTGTCAAACTCAAGGCCTGCGGGCCCGCGGAGTGCTTCGATCTGGCCCACGCGGCCACCCTGGAAACAACGAAGGATCGGCCCCCGGCACCTCTGCCAGCAAAAACGGAGTCGGGAGGGCCGCATGCGACCCTCCCAGGCTCCGTTTTCGGCCGTGACACTGTTCTGCCCCAGCTACGGACCCCAAAGAACGCAGCACACACAAAGTCTGTACAAACCTTAGTTTACTAAATTAAATCAGTCTTTTTCAAACAAAGGCTGTTAATTAACTTTCTTAACAGCCTACAAGAATCCAAAGAATAAATAATCGTAATCTTACTATGGTTGGCAGAAAGCCAAGAAGCAGTTTGCAGGAAGCTGATAAGAGAATTAAGATCAAGACCAAGGAGAGTGAATGAAGTTGTTCCCTGCAAATTGCCTCAGTCGTCGTCCTTCCTTAAATAGGCTAAGAGAGTGCCCAATTAGCCCCAAGCCTTACTTTCGAGGAGACCTCCTCCTGAGGAGCCACTCTTGCCTTTTGGCAGCTCTGCGCGCCCGTGCATCGAGAAGAGGCTCCTCCTCTTCATCCGCTTCACTTATGGGAGCTTCTGGAGGTTCTGAAGGCCCTGGCTGAATCCCCGCCTCTGGCACCACATCTTCTCCAGCCTCCTCATTGTCCGACTCGAGCGCCAGCTGCACAGGCTGCTGGCGCAGCACCACACCAGCCTCCTCGCTGTCAGAATCAGCCACCAGCTGCACAGGCCACTGACGGGCCACAACAGATGGCATCCTGCAGCCCTCCGCCAACGAAACGTTTGGGGAGCTCCATTTTCACTGGCAGAGGGCTGCAGGAGGTCATTATGGCCGAAAATGGAGCCAGGGCGGGTCGCGCACAAACCCCCCCCCCCGAAGCTCCATTTTCGCTGGCAGAGGGCTGCAGAAGGTCATCATGGATGAAAACGGAGCCTCGATGAGTGATGTTGAGCTGACCACACCCACCCTGGCCACGCCCATACCAGCCATGCACACACATACCCTGTCAGGCCTGGAAGCCATCTTTTGCATTGGGCCTTCAGGCCTGCCACATTTATTACTGTGGGAAACTGGAAGGGGGGATTGTATGGAGTGTGGGTGATATATAGTCATAATAACATTCCTTTCTCAAGGAGTCAAGGACATCTTGCCCTGTACCTGGAAGGATGGAACTGGGAAGCATCTCCAATTGGGACGGTGCTTTGATTGGACCATGTGATGGACATGTGGGTGCAGGGGAAGGGACTTGGAGTTTCCTTTGGGTGAGGAAAACCTGGAAGCTTTCAGATTCGGGTTTTCCCAGATGTGCCAATATGACATCTCTAATGAAATGGGACTCTGAGGAACTTCAAGCCTTGGAGTCTTCTTTCATTGGGGGTGTTACTTGGAACCCTGACACCCCAAGGTCAAACACAACCCAGTTGCGGCCTTCAATTAAATCGATTAATTAAATTGACACCACCACCCCCTGTTGAAGAAGAAGATCCATGTTGGTCTCCTTCTATAGTCCACAAGAAGAAGCATCATATTCAACTAGCTAGATGGAAAACCTCATCCGTAGAAGCTTCCTGGGAGACTTGCAAATGGTCTCTTCTGCCCAGCCTGGACTAGATCCAAATTCTAGTCTATCCTCAACCAAAGAAACTGTCTATTTTGAGGTTGTCCACCTCATCTTATTCCAAAGTGTGATTGGGAGACAAAATAGGCCATCATGCAATATCTCACCACCTTAACCAAACAGATAACTGTTTCCTGGCTTGAAAGCACACGGTTAGACTAGGGATGGGATTCAACCGGTTCGGACTGGTTTGGGAGAACCGGATGTTAATTTTAATCCGGTTCGCCAAACTGGTAGTTGCAAGGACTGGCTGACCCTGCCCAGCCTGCCCTGCCCCTCCCAGGAGTCTCCACGCAGCCCTTTTTGGATGCCAGGTAAGTGCAGGGCCTGCGCGGAGGCTCTGGGAGGGCGAAAAATGGGCCTACCAGAAGTCCGGAAACGGGCTCGTTTCCGGCCTCGGGGGCCCAGGGGAGGCTGTTTTTGCCCTCCTGGAGGTTTGGAAAAAGCCTCCGGAGCCTGGGGAGGGTGAAAAATGGGCCTACCGGAAGTCCGAAAACGAGCCCAGGGGAGGCCGTTTTCAACTCCCAGAGGTTCGAGGAAAGCCTCCGGAGCCCCCCACCCCTCGGTGGTGCAGGAGGCCGAGTAGGCCACATCCACCCAGCAACCGGGCAGATAACCGGTTGCTAAAATTTCTGAATCCCACCCCTGGGTTAGACCTCGGTGTCTTAGCAGACAGACCCTTCTAACGTTTGTGTCCATCTCTGCGTTTTCAGCAAGAACACACGGACATCTTACGCAGCTTGAGGTTCACGCTGGCTTTTGTCCACTACGTGATGGAGCTCGCCACCATCAAAGGAAGCGCCAGCGAGATGTCCAGCTCGGTGGCCTCGGAGTACCAGCTCCAAGAAAGTGTCGTCGCTGACCAAATCAGTTTGCTCAGCAAGGAATGGAGGTAAATAGCAACACACCCAGGTGTTGTGGGATCCCACCTGCGACATCAACCCGATGGTCAGGAAGTAAAAGAGTTGTGTGGTTTCCTTCTGCACCTCCGTTGACCTTTGAGCTCTTGTTTTGTTGTGTTGAAGCTACGCAGAACAGCTGGTCTTGTACTTGAAAGTGGCTGAATTGTTGTCCGCTGGGCTTCAGATGGCCATTGACCAGATCCGGGCAGGCAAACTGTGTCTCTCCTCCACTGTCAAGCAAAGTAAGTATTTGTGCACGCAACCGCGCAAGGAACGCTTATTTTTTGTTTCCCCAGCAAGCACGGCCTTTCGAAGACAGTTTTAAATAGCAGTAGATGCGAGAATTCAACTTTGCTTAAATGTCCATTGGGAGAATCGGTTGCTTCTTCCGTCATCTTAGTAATTATAATTAATTGTCGCTCAGAATTACTGTTATGGTTAAGGCACTTGGGTAGAAACTGGGAGGGCAGGAGTTGTAGTTCACCGTTACGAAGCCGGTGAGATGGTTTTGGGCCAGTCACTTTCTTTCAGCCCTAGGAAGGAGGCAATGGCAAACCTGTTCTGAAAAACCTTGCCAAGAAAACGGCAAGGGATTGTTCAGGCAGAAGGGAGGGAGGGAGGAAGGAAGGAAAGACAAGGAAAGGACAGAGGGAGGAAAGTCAAAAGAAGGAAGGAAGGAAGGAAGGAAGGAAGGAAGGAAGGAAGGAAGGGAAGAAGGAAAGGAAGGAAGGAAAGGCAAGGAAAGAAAGGAAGGAGGGAAGGAAGGAAGGAAGGAAGGAAGGAAGGAAGGAAGGAAAGACAAGGAAGGAAGGAAGGAAAGGAGGGAGGGAGGGAGGAAAGACAAGGAGAAGGGAGGGAGGGAGGAAAGGCGAAAAGGAAGGAAAGAAAGACAAAGAAGGAAGGAAAGGAGGGAGGAAGGAAAGACGAAGGAAGGGAGGGAGGAAAGAAAGATGAAGAAAGGAAGGAAGGAAGGAAGATAGGAAGGAAGGAAGGAAGGGAGGGAAGAAGGAAAGGAAGGAAGGAAAGGCAAGGAAAGAAAGGAAGGAGGGAAGGAAGGAAGGAAGGAAGGAAGGAAAGGAGGGAGGGAGGGAGGAAAGACAAGGAAGGGAGGGAGGGAGGAAAGGCGAAAAGGAAGGAAGGAAAGACAAAGAAGGAAGGAAAGGAGGGAGGAAGGAAAGACGAAGGGGAAGGAAAGGAGGGAGGAAGGAAAGACGAAGGAAGGGAGGGAGGAAGGAAGGAAGGAAGGAAGGAAGGAAAGGAAAGAAAGGAAGGAGGGAAGGAAGGAAGGAAAGGCAAGGAAGGAAGGAAGGAAGGAAAGGCAAGGAAGGAAGGAAGGAAGGAAAGATAAGGAAGGAAGGGAGGGAAGAAGGAAAGGAAGGAAGGAAGGAAGACCCCTGGCTGATTGAGAATGAGTATATTCACCTCAATAATAGAGCCATCTACTATAAACATGTCTCCAGATCCCTGGGACCTCCAGGCTTGGTAACCTAACCTGGTCTTGAAGTTCTTCAAGAACATCAAAAGGAATGGAGCTAATCTTAATTTTCATCTTCTCCCCTACGGTCCATCTTTTTTTCAAGTTGGAGGTTGTTCCATTTTGGTTTCATATTCAAGTTGTTCTGAAACGGCAAATATATGGTTCTGTTGTTTTGTCCAAGATCCTGATTGCTAATCTCGGAGCAAGAATAATAACACCTAAGTTTACCTGATAGGAATTTCTCAGCGCTTAGCTATGTGCTAAGCTACGGGCTTAAAAGATAATTGATGTGGGTGCGACTTAATAATTACAGAGCTAGGCCCATGATCTAAAATTAATATGCCATCGCTCAGCCAGTTGACTCATTCCTCGGCAAGGATTGTTCCAGGGTAGAGGGGGAATAATAGGAAGGAGATGACACCTGTCTCTTAAACGTCACCTTTTAGAAATGCATGCCTTGGTATTTCATTCCAAAGCATTCAGAATCGACAGAAAAAAAAGGAGCTTTAAAAAGAAAGAAAAAAATGCAAGGAGCAAACTTTTTAAAAAGAGACGACAAGTGAAGCAGAAGTGAAATAAAACATAGAATGAAGAGGCAGGAAAAAAAATATTTAAAAGCAAGGATGAAATTCGACCGGATAGGACCGGTTCGGGCGAATCGGTAGGGACGATTTGAATCAATTTGCCCAACTGGTAAAAATCACCCCTGGTTGATCCCGCCCACCCGGTCGCCACTCACCTCTTCCGGCGACTCGACCCACCCACCCACTCCTCCCTCTCTCCCCCCCTCCCTTAAAGGGACAGGCTTAAACTACCTTAAAGGGACAGGCTTAAAGGGACAGGGACGACCTTAAAGGGACAGGCTGCAGCAGCTCCGCTATGAATGGAGGGAGAAAAGTTCGGTGTCTCTCTGCCACAGAATTCAATGTTAAATGCAGCAGAGGGAATCCAAACTTTTCTCCCTCCATTCATAGCGGAGCTGCTGCAGCCTGTCCCTTTAAGGTAGTCCCCGGGAGGGAGGGGGCCGGGGGGGGGACCATAAAGGTAGTAGCAGCAGCTCCCCTGTGAATGGAGGGAGAAAAGTTTGGATTCTCTCTGCCACAGCATTCACTATGAGCCAGGGGTGAAATCCAATTTTTTTTTCCTACCGGTTCTGTGGGCGTGGCTTGGTGGGCGTGGCTTGGTGGGTATGGCAGGAGAAGGATCCTGCAAAATCTCCATTCCCACCCCACTCCAGGGGAAGGATCCTGCAAAATCTCCATTCTCACCCCACTCCAGGGGAAGGATCCTGCAAAATCTCCATTCTCACCCCACTCCAGGGGAAGGATACTGCAAAATCTCCATTCCCACTCCACTCCAGGGGAAGGATACTGCAAAATCCCCATTCCCTCCCTACTTCTGAGGGAAGGATATTGCAAAATCCCCGTTCCCACCCCACTTCAGGGGAAAGATACTGCAAAATCCCCATTCCCTCCCCACTCTGGGGCCAGCCAGAGGTGGTATTTGCCAGTTCTCCGAACTACTCAAAATTTCCGCTACCGGTTCTCTGAACTACTCAAAATTTCCGCTACCGGTTCTCCAGAACCTGTCAGAACCTGCTGGATTTCACCCTTGCTATGAGCCCTTCTCATGCTCATCCACACATTTTTTTCCTACCGGGATCTGTGGGCGTGGCTTGGTGGTGGTGGGTCATGTGACTGAGTGGGCGTGGTCATGAGTCCCAGGACCCACCTACCCCACCAAGCCACGCCCACAGAACTGGTAGGGAAAAAATTTGAATGTCACCCCTGTTTAAGAAGTGTTCTTAAACAGATGCTTTTCAGACGTTAGGAATTTTCAGCACTGCAAGTTTTTACTATGCTGGCTGAGTTTTCTTCAATCTGTTGGGAAAGAAGTTTTAGATAAGGATTTTTTTTTTAAAAAAGGAGAGAATAAACTGTGATTAGAACGATGGTTTTGGAAAGTTATAAATGGACTAATGGATCTGAAATCCTTGGTGGCGCAGCAGACTAAAGTGCTATTAAGTGCTGTTAAGTAGCACCAGCTGCCTGCAATTACTGCAAGTTCAAATCTCACCAGGCTCAAGGTTGACTCAGCCTTCCATCCTTCCGAGGTAGGTAAAATGAGGACCCAGTTTGTGGGGGCAATAAACTGACTTTGTATAAAAAAGAACATCGCTTAGGGGCCACCCGAAAGCCCTACTAAGCAGGTATATACAAAAGTATGAAGGCTATTGCTTAACGCATTGTAAGCCTCCCCGAGTCTCCGGAGAAGGGCGGCATATAAATTGAACCAATAAATAAATAAAATAAATAAAATAAATAAATAATAGATAGATAGATAGATAGATGATAGATAGATGGATGGATGGATGGATGGATGGATAGATAGATAGATTTTGAAACTAATTATGAGAATTTTTCCTGTGGGGGAAATATTGTCGCTTTGAATTCTTAAAAAAAAAAACCAAGATAGGATGAAACTTCCAAAGTTGGTCGCTAGAGGGAACCAGAAGGAACAATTAAACCAGATTAAAATTAAAGGAGAACAACTAAATTTGACTTACTAATACAGTACAGAATAGAGTTAAAAGGAGGTTTTAAACGCCTTCATGGTTACAGTACAGAATTGACTTAAGGGGAGGTTTTAAAAATCTTCATGGTTGACCTTGGGTGTCTTTGCTTTTAAGTGTCTTTTTATTTAAAAAATAAGTTATCCGTTCTCTTGTCCTTGCTGGAGGGGAAAAAAAAAAATCTTCCATACTGCTTTCTTATCTTACCTATGGAAAGCATGAAGGAGGTTTAAAATGCTGACAGAGGTGTAGAAAACCTTTTGGAGTTGGAGGCTTTCCTGTGTAAGTTCTTTCATTCTTCTTCTGTCATATTGAAAACTGGAATTCCAACAGCTTTGGGCTGAATTTTAGCAGCCCGTGTTAAAGTTCAGGTTAGTTCAATTTATTTCAACTACTGTATTGTTCGGACTATAAGACGCACCGGAGTACAAGACGTACCAAGATTTCAAAGAGGTAAACAAGAAAAAAAAAATTTTTTTTTTGCCCTCCCCAGGCCCCAAGAGCACTCTGCAGGCCTCCCAAACCTTCTGCGTGTCCCGTTTTTTGCAAAAATGGGCCACGCAGAAGGTTTGGGAGGCCTGCAGAGTGCTCCTGGCGGCTGGGGAGGGCAAAAATGCTCCCGTTTTTGCGAAAAACGGGCCCGTTTTTGGCCTCCCAAACCCCCCATGCGTTGCGTTTCTGCCCTCCCCAGCCACCAGGAGCACTCTACAGGCCTCCCAAACCCTCTACAGGCCCCATTTTTGCAAAAAACGGGCCTGTTTTTGGCAAAAACAGGATGCACGTGGCGGCGTTTCAGGAGGCCAAAATGGCTGTATTCAGTGTATAAGGCACACCAACATTTCCACCCTCTTTTGGGGAGGGGGAAAAGTCTGTCTTATACTCCGAAAAGTATGGAATACCTTCCCTTCCTGGAGCTCAAGAGGATAGAAGAATTATATTTATTATTATTTTGGCTTCTTAATACGGTAGACAAGGGTTAATTGATTGCAATCGGTCCAAGGACATTCAGGGAAGATTCCAGAAAAGAGAGACTTGAATCTTGCAGGAAGTATGCAGCCAGTTTTCCTATCTGGTGAGTGACTTTCTTCCTTCATTGATGTCCTTTCCTGTAGTTGTGAGAAAGCTCAACGACCTGTACAAAAGCAGCGTCTCTTCGTGCCATCACCTGAACCTGAGGCTACAGAGGTGGTTCATGGACAAACAGAAACTCATGGACCGCATCAACAGCATCACAGCGGAGAAGCTCATCTTCAGCCACGCTGTGCAGATGGTAGGTTGAGACCTGACCTGGGGTTGCAATGTAGGATGATGATGGGGGCGTTGGTGGCAGCAGTGGGGGGCCCAGATATGTCTCTGGGTGTGAAGATCAAAGAGTTTTGATCTTAAGGCAATTAGGAGAATAGCAATAGCGCTTAGGCTTATGTACCGCTTTACAGCCTTCTCTAAGCGGTTTACAAAGTCAGCATATTAACCCCCAACAATCTGGGTCCTCATTTTACCCACCTCGGAAGCATGGAAGGCTGAGTCACCCTTGAGCCAGTCAGGATCGAACTGCTGACAGTGGGCAGAGTTAGCCTGCAATGCTCCATTTTAACAGGAAGGAAGGAAGGCATGAAGGCAGGCAGGAAGGAAGGAAGGAAGGAAGGGCAATAGCACTAGCAATAGCACTTAGACTTATATACCGCTTCACAGTGCTTTTACAGCCCTCTCTAAGCGGTTTACAGAGTCAGCCTCTTGCCCCCAACAATCTGGGTCCTCATTTTACCCACTTCGGAAGGATGGAAGTCTGAGTCAACCTTGAGCCGGTCAGGATCGAACTGCTGACAGTGGGCAGAGTTAGCCTGCAATGCTCCATTCTAACCACTGCTAAGGATGGATGGAGGGATGGATGGATGGATGGATGGATGGATGGATGGATGGAAGGAAGGAAGGAAGGAAGGAAGGAAGGAAGGAAGGAAGGAAGGATGAATCTCACTAAAGATTAACCAAATAATAATAATAATAATAATAATAATAATAATAATATAATAATAATAATAATAATAATAATTGGAGCCCTTGGAGCAATACCCAAAGGGCTACCCCGCTATTTAGAAATTCTAAATTTGCCGGACTTGAACATTTTGACTCTACAAAAAACCACCTTACTCGGAACAGCTTACATCCTCCGATGATACCTTAACAGTTCCTAGGTCCTTGGTTAGGACTCGAGCTGCTGAGCTATTAACCAGCCTCAAAGGCTGTGAATCTCACTAAAGATTAACCAATAAATAATAATAATAATAATAATAATAATAATAATAATATTATTATTATTATTATTATTATTATTATTATTATTATTATTATTATTATTATTATTTTGGCTACTTAATACGCTAGACAAGGGTTAATTGATTGCAATCGATCCAAGGACATTCAGGGAAGATTCCAGAAAAGAGAGACTTGAATCTTGCAGGAAGTATGCAGCCAGTTTTCCTATCTGGTGAGTGACTTTCTTCCTTCATTGATGTCCTTTCCTGTAGTTGTGAGAAAGCTCAACGACCTGTACAAAAGCAGCGTCTCTTCGTGCCATCACCTGAACCTGAGGCTACAGAGTGGTTCATGGACAAACAGAAACTCATGGACCGCATCAACAGCATCACAGCGGAGAAGCTCATCTTCAGCCACGCTGTGCAGATGGTAGGTTGAGACCTGACCTGGGGTTGCAATGTAGGATGATGATGGGGGCGTTGGTGGCAGCAGTGGGGGGCCAGATATGTCTCTGGTGTGTGAAGATCAAAGAGTTTTGATCTTAAGGCAATTAGGAGAATAGCAATAGCGCTTAGGCTTATGTACCGCTTTACAGCCTTCTCTAAGCGGTTTACAAAGTCAGCATATTAACCCCCAACAATCTGGGTCCTCATTTTACCCACCTCGGAAGCATGGAAGGCTGAGTCACCCTTGAGCCAGTCAGGATCGAACTGCTGACAGTGGGCAGAGTTAGCCTGCAATGCTCCATTTTAACAGGAAGGAAGGAAGGCATGAAGGCAGGCAGGAAGGAAGGAAGGAAGGAAGGGCAATAGCACTAGCAATAGCACTTAGACTTATATACCGCTTCACAGTGCTTTTACAGCCCTCTCTAAGCGGTTTACAGAGTCAGCCTCTTGCCCCCAACAATCTGGGTCCTCATTTTACCCACTTCGGAAGGATGGAAGTCTGAGTCAACCTTGAGCCGGTCAGGATCGAACTGCTGACAGTGGGCAGAGTTAGCCTGCAATGCTCCATTCTAACCACTGCTAAGGATGGATGGATGGATGGATGGATGGATGGATGGATGGATGGATGGATGGAAGGAAGGAAGGGAAGGAAGGAAGGAAGGAAGGAAGGAAGGAAGGAAGGAAGGAAGGAATAGCAATAGCACTTAGACTTATATACCACTTTATAGTGCTTTCCAGCCCTCTCTAAGTGGTTTTGCAACAATTTGGGTCCTCATTTTACCGACCTTGGAAAGATGGAAGGCTGAATCAACCTTGAGCCGGTGAGACTCGAACTGCTGGCAGCCGGCAGTCAGCAGAATTAGCCTGCAATCCTGCATTCTAACCACTGCAACCATGGCTCCTAGAATCTGAAGATGTTTTTCCTTCCCAGGTTCAGGCTGCTGCTTTGGATGAGATGTTCCATCACCGAGAAGACTGTGTCCAAAGATACCAGAAAGCGTTGCTCTTGATGGAAGGTCTCTTGAACTTCATCACCGAGCAAGGAGATGTTGAGAACATCAATAAATGTAAGGAGGGCCAGGAAAGAGACTTTTTTGAGACTCCTTCGTGGAGTTCTTTGTTTTGCTTTGAATCTTGTTGCTTTCTCCAACATTATCTCCAACTTTATCATCTAATTACTCGTGTTTTCTTCATAATCATATTGCTTTGATAGACAGCAATCATATTGCTGTCTATGGACGTTCTCAGCTATCCAGGTCCTGGTTGTCCCAAAAGTGTTTTTTCAAGAGGCAACTGGACTTTCTTTGTTTTTGTTTTTTTTAATATTTTATTATTACACACTATGACAATCCCCCCTTCCCACCAAGCCACGCCCACAGAACCGGTAGTAAAAAAATTTGAATTTCACCACCGCACCAAAGCCTTCAGTGTAGTGACATATATGACTACATTCATTTACGTGCTTTGCTGTTGAGACTGACATAACCCAACTTCCTGCGTTAAAGCTTGAGCATAACTGCTAGGCGTGAGAACTACTACACAAGTAGTCTTCGGCTTATAACCATCCACTTAGTGACCGTTTGAAGTTAGAAAGGCACTGGAAAAAAAAGGGATGTATTTAGGACTGTTTTCACATTAGGACTGTTGCAACATCCCCATAGTCCCATGATTAAAATTCATGATCATTGCCTTTGACATACAGTATATTTGGCCAAAAGTATAAAATTGGGGTTTAAAGCTATGGGTTTTTTTGGTGGGGGAAAATTTTGGAATATTTTTCTAGACCTCATGAGTTGTGAACATTTTAGGGATGGTGAATTAATCATATCCCTCATATCCTTCTTGTCTTCTTAGGTAAAATGTGCATTGAACGACGGCTTTCCAGCTTGATATCAGGAATCTGCGCATGACAATAAGCTTTATTTCTTTTTTCCACGCAGGTAAATTGTTTTTTTGGTTCCTAAAATCTGCACCCTTTTCATTTTTAATAACTTTTTTTGTTGTAGTTTGATTGAAACCTCATCTTCCATTAAACAGTGTGTTCTCTGGATGCAAATATTTTGTGCAAATATTTTTATACAATAACAATTACAATTTACGGGCATATTTAGTTATTTTATCTATTCATCCATATGGGGATGATTTTATCAGTGGTTAGAGAATAAATATGAAAAGTGGGAAAAAGCAGACGAGTGAAATAGAGAAAATGTCTTAACAAAGTTAAATAAATTAAGAAGAGGATTGTTATAGTATTAGGTATGGCATATATTAGACATGGGATGTATTTTACCAGTGGCTAGAGAATAGAAACAGAAGTTAGGAAAGAGAAGATATAAGAAGAGAAAATGTTACTATGGAGAGAAGCAGTGCTGAAATGTAAAATTTGTTACTACCGGCTACTACTACATAACAGCACTTAGTCCGCTGCACCACCAAGGCTCTTGTTCAATTATCAATGTTATTGTAATGAATACCACAAGTATGTGAACGATGAATTTTCAAAATCAGAGCCTTGGTAGTACAGTGGTCTAAAGCACCCTGTTATTAACACCAGCTGTCTGCAATTAAAGTAAGATCGAATCTCGCCAGGCTCAAGGTTGACTCAGCCTTCCATCCTTTCTAAGGTAGGTAAATTGAGGACCCAGTTGTGGGGGAAATAAGCTGACTTTGTATAAATACAAAGTCATACAAATACAAAAAGGATGAAGGCTATTGCTTAGCACATTGTAAACCGCCCTGAGTCTCTGGAGAAGGGTGGCATATAAATCAAATTAAAAAAAATAATAATAACTGTACCCAGTTCACACACTGTTTGATGGAGATGAAAAGTATTATAAATAAAATAAAACTTAAAAAAAAAAGTTAAGAGGATTGTTATAATATTAGGTGTGGTATATATTAGTATTAGTATTAAGAATAGATAAAATAATAAATATGGCCATAAACCCTGCACCCTTTTGAAGACGTCTCGGGCAGGACATCTTGGAAGCCAGTTGGCAGGGAGATCTTTCCCAGATATATCTATATCTATCTATCTATCTATCTATCTATCTATCTATCTATCTATCTATCTAAATTTGATTTATATATTTTAATTTGATTTATATGCCGCCCTTCTCCGGAGACTCAGGGCGGCTTACAATGTGTTAAGCAATATATCCATTGCTCCTTATATTTGTTCCTTTCTCTTTTTTTTTTTCAGGAGTAGCGCCTCTTTCCTGCTAACCCTGGTGCAAACTGGGGACAGGTAGATACAAGAAGGACCCTTTTCCAACTGGTGGAAGAGGGCGGAGGAAACCAAGGACCAAATCTGTTTTATGGCCACTGGGTTTTTTTTCTGTGTTGTTTCTGAAGAAGAACCGATGGGGTTATGGCAATGCCAGCTTTGGCCCCTCTTCATTTGGAGATACTTTTGTCTACTGCTGGCAGTGGACACCTGGAGGACTTCTTGTGATTGGAAAGGTGAAGCTCAGTCAGGAAGGAAGAATGTCCCTTGGGGGTGAACAGACCTCTACGGATTTTTGTCTGGTTGTACGCTTGGGCCCTGTCCACCACTTCTCCCCAGGCTCCGTGTCCTTGGATGTCCTTCAACATCTCCCAAGCTTCTCATCTCTCTTTGCATGGGAAGATGATCTGGAGCTCGGCTTTGCTTCAGCCGACTTCACCCACTTGGGATGCTGGAAATTTAGACCTGATGCTTTCCCACGGTGGATGTGACGGGGCATTCCTTCTTCATCAATGGGAAAGTGGGACAAATCCATAGAAGACCGTAGACTTCTTCCAAGCAGTTGGAGCCACGCAATACAATCTTCAAAGCTATCGTGTTCCTTCTCAAGAAGCCAAAAAAAACCCAAAACCCCCCATCTATGGTTAAAGAGATGCCTACTACACCGGTGCAAAGGGACATTAAATAAATGCATGGAAATGACCCTCTCGTCCAATTTAGGTAGCCGTGTTGTGAGAAGGCACCTCTTCTGGAGTAACCTTGGGGTTTTTTTTTTCTCTCTCTCATCAATAGCTTCTCTTCCCTGAGGGACAGGAAAAGAGAGGGAAGAAAACACATATGCAATACACACACACACACACACTAGCTTTGTGAATCAAAGGAGCACTTTATGGAGATGTTGAACTCGATGGTTGTGTACTGGGATATTCTGTAACGGCTCCTGAGGTGTTCTACTGGACGGGACTTCTTCTTGACGTGTTCTGCTCTGTGCTAATTTCATCGTAGAGGGTTCCTTCATGTGTTTTTTGTTTTGTTTTGTTTTCCTTTTCAGAAATTGCACTACAAGTATGTGTGGGTGTCTACACACACACACACACACACACACACACGTTGCTAAGATCCAATATGTATTTTTGTGTATATAATGTATAGCGTAATCTTACATGTTTTAACTGTACTGTATGTTGTTAGAATAAGGGGAAGGGAGGGAATCAGCTACGCCTTTTCCTGTTCTCTGTAATCCAGGTTGCTAACTTGAATGTTTTCTAACATCAGTGATGGTCTGATTTATTCTAATTTTCCTTTTCCTTTTCCTTTTCCTTCTCCTCCTTCCTCCTCCTCCTGCTTCTCCTCCTCCTCCTCCTCCTCTTGCTTCTCCTTCTCTTTCTCCTCCTCCTTCTCCCTCTTTTTCTCCTCCTCCGCCCCCCCCTCCCGTTCAAACCAACATGGTTTTCGGAAGCTAAAGGAAAGGGTTGTGATTGCTTGCGTATTTGCAACTTTCTGCGTTTCTCCCCCCTCCCTCCCCCCGTTTTTGTTTTGCAAAGAAGTTTGTTTTAGTTGTCTGTTTTTCCGTTTTAGCATTTAACTTAAAATTTCCCATTCCTCCCCGTTTCCAAAGCAATGAAGTAGTAGTGCCCCAGCCCCCAAAAGAGATGTTAGGGCAAGGTGTGTATACGTTTCTGCATTTTGAGGTGTGCGTGTTTTTGTTTGAGGGGGCGGCAGCGAAGGGGGGGGGCTGTACATGCACCTTGTGACCTTGTGACGACGCTGTGAGCCGACGCTTGAGACACAACCCCGTGAGCTTCGTCTGTGTTGCGTGTTGTGCTTTTTTGTTTTGTGGTGTGTACATTGGGTTCGTGTTTTTTGTTTTTTTGTTTTGTTTTTAACGGAGGGATCCAATGTTCGGTTCATTTTTCTCCGTGCAAAGTGGAGGCTCTTGCATGTAAAATATAACCTAGATTTCAACATTAACGTTCTCTTTCTTTTTAATTTTTTTTCCTTTTCTAAAATAAGAACGAGTCGAGTTTCTTTGCATGCAGCCAGTTCACAATCCATCTCTTTTATTTTCTTGTTAAGGAAGGAACAATCTTATTGACTTAGGAGCCAGTTTCTGTAACCTTTTTTTTTTAATTTAAAAAAAAAAAAAGGTTAAATCTACATTGAATGCATTTAAAGGTTTTTTTAAAAAAAAAACCAGGAAAAAAAAATCTCCCTCATTTACACGGATACGAGATGGGTTTTTTTTTTTTCCCCACCAATATTTTCACCCACTTTTTGTTTACGGCGTTTTGGCAATTTGACCGCGTTTAAATTAGGTACAAAGATGTTTGGTTTTCAAGAGAAAAAGAGGCTTTATGGATTAAAAGCCATCACTGTTGAATTGTGCCTAAAAACTAACAAGAAACCAGCAAATGTTGTTTTAGCCCTCATGAAATATTGGCCGGGAGTGGAGATGCACATCTTTACATAGTAATAAAAGATATCTTTGTCTCCAAGTAACCCAGCACTGCTAAACATATCTGGGTTTTATCAAGCATCAAGTTATTATCAAGCGCTAGCTAGATGTTAGGAATACAGTTCAGACATTCTCAAGTAGGAACCACAGATTGAAAATTGGAAATAGGAATTTCTTCTGGCTAGTCCAGGGGTCGGCAACTTTAAACACTCAAAGAGCCACAAAGGTCCTAACCGGAAGCCCCCATTCAATTCTGGAGCCAACCAGAAGTCCGGTTCCCCCACCATAGAGTCTCCTCCTAGCACGGCATCCTTTTTCCTCTACCTGTCCTAACTGAAAGCCCTATCAATTGTGGAGCCGACCAGCAACAGGGAGCCGCAGCAAAGGGAAGAAAGAGCCACATGCGGCTCCAGAGCCGCAGGTTGCTGACCCCTGGGCTAGTCCATAAGATGAATATTCAGTTTTGGAAAAAAATCCTCTCGCACTGAGTGTTAGTCGGTTGGACTCCAAAAACTTCTCTAGATGTGTAAAGCAGGCAAGAGAGGAATTAGAAACTAGGAAGATACCGTCAGGAAAAGCTCCAAAATTGAGTTAAGGGAGGAAGAATCTTCTCACCCCTTGAGATGGATGGGGTGAGAGCAAATAATGTCCTGGACTTGGATATTACTTATCCCGAAGTCTGATTCCCATTGTGTTTGTAATACTTGGTTGCGGCTTTTCTATTGCTGTATGTATCTGCTAAGGGATGCGGTGGCTCAGTGGCTAAGACGCTGAGCTTGTTGATCAAAAGGTCGGCAGTTCAGCGGTTCAAATCCTTAGCGCCGCATAACGGGGTGAGCTCCCGTGACTTGTCCCAGCTTCTGCCAACCTAGCAGTTCGAAAGCACGTAAAAAAAATGCAAGTAGAAAAATAGGGACCACCTTTGGTGGGAAGGGAACAGCGTTCCGTGCGCCTTTGGTGTTGAGTCATGCCGGCCACATGACCACGGAGACGTCTTCGGACAGCACTGGCTCTTCGGCTTTGAAACGGAGATGAGCACCGCCCCCTAGAGTCGGGAACGACTAGCACGTATGTGCGAGGGGAATCTTTACCTTTTATGTATCTGTTAGAACATGGCTTGTATCTGCAATCTCTCTCTCTGCCTCTCTCTCTTTCTCCCTCTCTCCCCTCTCTCTCTCTCGTTTTCTTATCTACCAAACAGCACCCCAGGCAATCAACTGTGAAGGCAATTTATTTGTTTCAGCCCTTCGCACATCTCTGCCCCCCACAAAAAAACATTCATTCTGATGCCACCTACCCACAAAATATGAGACAAATGTCAACAGACGACCCCCCCCTTCTCATGAGTCTATACCAAAATAGAGCGAGGGGAAATCTTAAGCCATCTTCTCCTCTGCACAACTCTTATTTTTTTTATTAAAGATTTTTTATTAAAGTTTTCCCACCCCATAAATTAGAAAAATTTTTTGTAAAGAAAATAGAGAACACTTCCCTATCTACTCTTCAAAACATCCTAACAGATCCCAACGTAAGATCTTCCCTTCTGAATTATTCCAGAATTCCCTTCTGGTCCTGATTTATTTATTTATTTATTTTTCAAAGGTGAATCTGGGTCAGTCCCCGGGATCAGGGATTTACTTTTTTGAGTTTTTGGACTTATTCTGGAGTCCATCTTTGGGGAACATCTCTCTGTTGGCTGATTGGTATTAACAGAGTTGGAAGGGACTTTATAGGTCATCTAGTCCAACCCCCCACTCAAGCAGGAGACCCTAGACCATTTCTGACAAATGGCAGTCCAATCTTTTCTTGAAGTGATGAAGCTCCCACAACTTCTGAAGGCTCCTTCTGTTCCACTGGTTGATTGTTCTCTCTGTCAGAAAGTTTCTCCTTATTTCCAGGTTGAATCTCTCCTTGTTCAGTCTCCATCCATTATTCCTTGTCTGGCCTTCAGGTGCTTTGGAAAATAGCTTGACCCCCCCCTCCTCTCTGTGGCAGCCCCTCAAATATTGGAAGACTGCTATCCTGTCTCCCCTGGTCCTTCTCTTCATTGGACTAGCCATGCCCAGATCACGTAACCGTTCTTCGTATGTTTTAGCCCCCTAAACCATCCAGGATGCCAGTCCCCTAATCATCCTGGTTGCTCTCCTCTGCACTTTTTCTAGAGTTGACAGCTGGCAATTGGTCGTTGTTTCCTTCTGCTGCCAATCCCTCGGCTCTTCAGTATTTGATAAACTGGTGGTAAATCAGCACTCCTGTTGACTGACAAGGAGCCCGTTTCCCAGACTTCAATCTTTTCCCTGGCTGTTTTTGTCCCTGCTCGGCCAACAATCTTAGTAGCTGCAAAATTGAATGTATGTCCATGCGAGACTACCAATGAGTTTGGGTCTCCTCGTCTGACCGCTCACTCGTGTTCTTGCAATCTGGTGGTTAGCTTCCTCCCCGTCTAAAACCTACATAGTCATAGGGGCAATCCATGCAGGGGATCCGGTAGATTACATTAGAATCTCCCGCCTCCAAGCAATCTTTACAGTGTCTTCATTTGTCTTTGTACGGTAGCCTCCGGTCGGTGTGTGGTGCCCAATTGCAGATCTCGGAAGCTGCATTCTATTGCTTCCGAAATGTTTTTGATGTATGGGAGGGTATGCCCTATGATCAGTCTGACTAGGTGGCTCATTGGCTAAGACGCTGAGCTTGTCGATCAGAAAGGCTGGCAGTTCGGTGGTTCGAATCCCTAGTACAGGTCTCCTGAGTGGGCAGGGGGTTGGACTAGATGACCTCCAAGGACCCTTTCCAACTCCGCTACTGTTGTTATTGTACCTTCTTTTTTCTTTTCTCTTCGCTTTCTGTGCAGGCATCTTGTAATTAATTGTGGGTATCCATTACACCCAAATTGTTCACATAGGTATCTTCTCTGCAGTTGTTTAGCTTGCTGGCTACTACAGTGGATTGTCCTCCTGCCATACAAGTGTTCAGACACAGCTTTTGTTGTGTGACAGTGGATGGTTACTCTTGAAATTAAGGATCCGTGGTGTGTTGGTGGCCTTACGGTAAACTCTGGTTTCTATAGGCTTCTGCTTTCTTCATTAATCTTCAAAATCTTTTGCATCCTTGTATGAATTTGTATCAGAAGCTTGCTCACCGGTCCACCGTGCGTCATAAAACATCTCATGTTTTTCATATTTTTAACCCTTGGTTTGAAACATTCGTTTGGATCGTTTCTCTTGGTGTCGTGTACTAACAACAATACATCCTTTTGCTGGAAAAAAAAAATTCTCATAAATTATGGCACAGTGTAATAATATCAGATAGCTACATCCTCTCTCCCAAGCATCCATCTCTGTATTAATCAATTTTTTCTGCATTTATGTAACACCCCAGGCCACTAACTAACTATTAAGGCTAGAAATGCACAACTCCACTAATGAGCAGAACTTGATACGAGCAACTAAGTTTGGCACAAGGTGCCAAAAGTGTGTCCTTTCCGTGATCCAGTTAAGTGTGCTTTGCACAACGTGTCTAGCTGTTCCTTCCTCCTTTGTGAACTGGGAAGATGGAATTCAGTAGCATGTGAGTGTCTTTCAGTGCATTTCTCGTGAGGACGACAAACATAGTTACAGATACAGATTAACAGTGTTGGAAGGGACCTTGTAGGTCATCTAGTCCAACCCCCCACCCAAGCAGGAGACCCTACACCATTTCAGACAGATGGCAGTCCATCCCTTCTTGAAAGCTTCCAGGGATGAAGCTCCCACAACTTCCAAAGGCAACTTCTGTTCCATCAATTGATTGTTCTCACTGTCAGAAAATGTCTCCTTATTTCCAGGTTGAACCTCTCCTTGATCAGTTTCCATCCATTATTCCTTGTCTGGCCTTCGGGTGCCTTGGAAAATAGCTTGACCCCTTCCTCCTCTCTGGGGCAGCCCCTCAAATACTGGAAGACTCCTCTCCTGTCTCCCCTGGTCCTTCTCTTCACTAGAGTAGCCATGCCCAGTTCCTGCAACCGTTCATTGTATGTTTTAGTCTCCAGTCCCCTCATCTTGTTTCAGGTCTTTCAAGATGCGTTGCTCCATTGGGCTGTGCATGTTGTTAAGTTTGTTTGCGACCAGCATTGTCGATACCTTTGGTCTGAGGGCATGTTTTTTCTGGCTCTTCCATCTCTACTTGGTTGAATATGGGATTTTTTTTTCAATCATCAAATCCATAAATCGTCATGTTGCTTTTTTTCTTCATTTAGCAAAAGTCCAATCAAGGTGTCCCATCTTTTAAAAAAATTGCAGGTCACGTTTTTCTCCTTGATCAAATTATAGTCACATTTTTGCGTTACTTCAGCTATTTTTTTCCTTTTACGTCTTGTTTAAGCACAGAAGGGGATAATCGGATAATCTAAACTTTTAAAAAGTTCTTTTCCTGCTGTTCTGGGACAAAGATGCCATGCCTGTTGCCCGAGAAACATTGTTTGAAATAGTCTTTCCTACCTAACCTGGATAGGTGGCTCAGTGGCTAAGACGCTAAGCTTGTCAATCAGAAAGGTTGGCAGTTTGGCGGTTCGAATCCCTAGTATAAATCTCCTGCGTGAGCAGGGGGTTGGACTAGATGCCTCCAAGGCCCCTTCCAACTCTGTTACTGTTAATCTGTCAAATTGCCAGTTTTTGCTCTTGAGACTGTAAACTTCCAATTTAATCTCCCCACTTTGCTAAACCACTTGGTCTATTCAGTGCTAACTTTCCTGCTATCCTTAGTGACTTGAATGCATCTTAGCTGTCCATGTCATTCAGGAGAGAAAATAGAGAAAGAAAGAAAGAATGAATGAATGAATCACTGAGCTTTGTCTCTCTCACACGTACAGACGGTATTTTCTTAATACTTGAAATTTAACCACTGTGCTTGAATGAAAGAACACAAATAAAGAAACAAGGCATTTTTTTTTAAAAAAAAACGCCATATTGGTGACTTTGTTGTTATTATTTTGTCCTTCTAGGTTTTCAAACTAACTGCATGTAGCATGAGACATGATTGATTATTATTATTAATTTTTTTTGTTCGTTTTGTTTGGTGAGAAAAGTAGTTATTTATTGAGCGGTACACGTCAGGGATTGGGGAACGTTTAAAACGAGGAGAGGGGAAAAAAAAATGAGGATGGGTCTCCCGTCCGCTTCCTTCCCTCTACGGGTTTGTGACTTGTTTCAGCATTTTGTACGTAGCGTCTGAATTTAGATCCTTCAGTTTCACCGCCACTCCGTTCATGTTTCGTGAGAAAGTACGTTTGATTGACACTTGGCCTTTCATTTTATTTTATTTTTTGTTGGAAAAGTGTTACGTGACTTCGCGTGGGTGTATTCTTGCTTTCCGTTGTATGACGCCGACTTCAGGAAAAATAAAAATTTGATTTTTCATTCTTGGGGTGCCTTGGTCTTTCTTTTTTCCCCTCCTTTCCTCCCTCTCTCTCCAGGATGGACCGCTGGCGGAGTAGCCACATTTTGCTGATTATCTATGGCAGTGATGGTGAATCTTTTTGGCACCAAGTGCCCAACTGGAACGCGGTGTGTGCCGCACAGGGGTGAAATGCTCCTGGTTCGGACTGGATCACCCGATCTGGTAGTGAGGGTGGCCGGTGGTTCGGAGAACCTGTAGCAAAAATCCCTGCCCCCCCCCCTTATGCCCAGCTGAACCACATAATCATCAGAGGCTTTTTAAAATTATTTTTAAAAGCATTTTTTTCTACAACCTCTTCGGCCGAAAAAATGCTTTTAAAAGTAAAAAAAAAAAGCCTCTGATGATCGTGCGGCTCAGCTGGGATCGTCAGAGGCTTTTAAAAGCAGGGAGAAAGATCTCCCTGCCAACTGGCTTCCAAGATGTTCTGCCTGAGACTTCTTCAAAAAGGTGCAGGGTTTATGGCTGTATTTATTATTTTATCTATTCTTTTTTTTTTATTGAAAAAGTTTTTCAAATACAATTTTCCCCCCCTTTCCCCCCCTCCTCCCTAACCCCCCCTCCCCCTCCCCTCCCCCCGTGGCTTCTTCAGGGTACAACCCAAATTCATAACAGATTATATAATACTTTACCATCCCCTTGCTCCATCCCCCATATACTGACCCTTTCTTTCTAATAATGTTATTATATCCCCCTTATACTATACATTTCGGAATAACATTCTACTATAACATTATATAATAACTCCTAATTTAGCATAGTAATATTATTATATCCCCCAATTTAACAATTAACAATTAACAAAATTAACAATTTCTACTCATGATTTACTCTTTTACTCCTCCCCCATACATATATCTCTTAAATCAAATCTCTCTTTTTTATATATATATTAATATAACATTTCAAAGCAACCTTCCACTATAAAACAATCTGTTGTTTTCATTGAAAGGCTTGATCTCGTCGCCTGGCTCTGCAAGAAGCAGAGGTCTCCCGAAGCCCGGAGCAGCGGCGAGGGAAATAGGGAGCCTCATCCTGCTTCGTCCCCAAGAGTAAAGGAAAAACTCTGGGGACTTCGCAGAGGGCTCTACCTGCCCTCACCTGCTCTATCTCACATTTCCTTATGGAAATGGAGTTTTTCGAGCCGCCTTTCAGATGTAAAGGCGGCTCTTTACGAGCGACGGGGCTGGCGGTCTCAAAGGACCGTCTGGTGGCGACGGAAGTCAAACCGGAAGCCTTCTTAATACTAATACTAATATATACCACACCTAATACTATAACAATCCTCTTAACTTTTTTTTAAAAAAAGTTTTATTTATTTATAATACTTTTCATCTCCATCAAACAGTGTGTGAACTGGGTACAGTTATTTGAAAATTCATCGTTCGCATACTTGTGGTATTCATTACAATAACATTGATAATATAACTCTATATCAAGATAATTTACAATAGTACATAACATCATCATAAATTTCTCTCCAGCGGTGAAATGCTCCCGGTTCGGATGGTGGTGGGTGGTTCGGAGAACCGGTAGCAAAAATCCCTGCCCCCTCCCCCATGCCCAGCTGAGCCGTGCAATCATCAGAGCCTTTTTAAAATTATTTTTAAAAGCATTTTTTCTACAGCCTCTTCAGCTGAAAAAATGCTTTTAAAAGTAAAAAAAAAAAAGCCTCTGATCGCATGGCTCAGCTGGGATTGTCAGAGGCTTTTAAAAGCATTTTTTCTACAAACTCTTTGGCCGAAGAGGTAGAAAAAATGCTTTTAAAAGCCTCTGGCGATTCTGAGTTGCCTGATCAGCAGAGGCTTTTACAAGCATTTTTTTTTACAACCACTTTGGCTGAAGATTCTCTTATGTTTTAGCTTCCCCCCAAGTCCTGAACCATAAAAAAGACCTGGTTTTCCCCCAACAAAGTCAAGCCCCAGAAAATAAACCAAGATGCAAAGTTAGCAACTCTCAAGGGCTTTCTTCTCCAATCCAACTCGGAACGACGGATCAGGATCAGAATAACAGAATAATAAAAGTTGTAAGGGACCTTGTAGGTCATCTAGTCCAGCCCCCCCAACCCATACACCCAAGCATGAGACCCTACACCATTTCTGACAAATGGCAGTCCAGTCTCTTCTTGAAAGCCTCCAGTGATGAAGCTCCCACAACTTCCGGAGGCAACTTCTGTTCCATCGGTTGATTGTTCTCACTGTCAGAAAGTTCCTCCTCATTTCTAGGTTGAATCTCTCCTTGATGAATTTCAATCCATTATTCCTTGTCTGGCCTTCAGGTGCCTTGGAGAATAGCTTGACCCACTCCCCTCTGTGGCAGCCCCTCAAATATCGGAAGATGCTATCATGTCTCCCCTGGTCCTTCTCTTCACTAGACTAGCCATGCCCAGTTCCTGCAACCGTTCTTCGTATGTTTTAGTCTCCAGGCCTTTGATCATTTTAGATAGATTCAGATTAAGAGTTGGAAGGGACCTTGTAGGTCATCTGGTCCAACCCCCCACCCAACCAGGAGACCCTACACCATTTCAGACAAATGGCAGTCCATCCCTTCTTGAAAGCTTCCAGGGATGAACCTCCCACAACTTCTGAAGGCAAGTTGGTTGATTGTTCTCACTGTCAGAAAATGTCTCCTTATTTCTAGGTTGAATCTCTCCTTGTCAGTTTCCATCCATTATTCCTTGTCGGGCTTTCAGGTGCCTTGGAGAATAGCTTGACCCCCTTCCTCCTCTCTGTGGCAGCTCCTCAACTATTGGAAGACTGCTATCCTGTCTCCCCTGGTCCTTCTCTTCACTAGACTAGTGAAGAGCCTTGGTAGTACAGTGGTCTAAAGCACCCTGTTATTAAGACCAGGTGCCTGCAATTTCTGCTGGTTCGAATCTCTCCAAGGCTCAAGGTTGACTCAGCCTTCCATCCTTTCTAAGATAGGTAAATTGAGGACCCAGTTTGTGAGGGCAATAAGCTGACTTTGTATAAATATACAAAAGGATGAAGGCTATTGCTGAGCACATTGTAAGCCGCCCTGAGTCTCCGGAGAAGGGCGGCATATAAATCAAATTAAAAAAAAGAAAAAGAAAAAGACTAGTCAGGCCCAGTTCCTGCAACTGTTCATTATAAGTTTTAGCTTCCAGGCCTTTGATCAGATAGATTCAAATTAACAGAGTTGGAAGGGACCTTGTAGGTCATCTAGTCCAACCCCCCAGCCCAAGCAGGAGACCCTACACCATTTCAGACAGATGGCAGTCCAATCTCTTCTTGGAAGCTTCCAGTGATGAAGCTCCCACAACTTCCCAAGGCAACTTCTGTTCCACTGGTTGATTGTTCTCACTGTCAGTAAATTTCTCCTTATTTCCAGGTTGAATCTCCCTCCTTGTTCCGTCTCCATCCATTGTTCCTTGTCTGGCCTTCGGGTGCCTTGGAAAACAGGGTGAACCCCTCCTCTCTGTGGCAGCCCCTCAAATATTGGAAGATGCTCTGATGTCTCCCCTGGTCCTTCTCTTCATGAGACCAGCCATGCCCAGTTCCTGCAACCGTTCATCGTATGTTTTAGCCTCATCATCCTGGTTGCTCTTTTCTGCACTCTTTCTAGAGTCTCCACCTCTTTTTTATAGTGTGGGGACCAAAACTGGATGCAGGATTCTAGTCTAAACTCGCATCCACACGGGTGCCGCATACGACGCGCAGGAATGCTTCCCACGGTGTTTTTTTTTTGCAAACCAAGCGCTCTCCGGTGCCTTTTTTTAAAAAAAAAAATTGATTTTTTTTTTGCAAAAGCAAAACGCGCAACGCTTTGCACCGGGTCCCTCTCCGCCTGCCGTACCGCCATCCCATAATCTTTCCTCCTCCCCCTCCTTTTTTTTTTTTTTTCTTTCTCTCTCTCTCCTCCTTTTTTTTGCTCCGGTTCCCACGTGGTCCCGGGTTGGGAAAGCCGGGCTTTGCATTGCACGTCGGAGTGCTTGCAAAAAAAAAAACCCCGGCTCCTCTCCGGCGCTTGCTGGAATGAGGTGGCTGCTGGGGGGGAAAAAGGGGTTTTTGGGGGGTTTTGGGGGGGTCCCCCTTGGGGCATGGAGAAGGGGCGCCTGGGGTCGGCGGAAGGGGCGCCCGGGTCCTGCCTCGTGTCTCCGGCAAACGGCGAGCCGACTTTGGCTGGGCTGCTGCGGGAGGTCTAGCCGGTGGGCGGGCGAAGCTTGGAGGAGAGCGGCGAGTCTGGGCAGCTGCAGCGCCCGGTGGAAGGTAGGCAGGCAGGCAGGCAGGCAGGCGGGGAAATGGAGGAGTGCCCCCGGGAGGAGGAGGAGGAGGAGGAGGGTTCCCGAAGGGTGCAAAGCCCCTGGAAGCAAGTCTTTGGCGGAAGGTCCTGCCTGCTTTGCAGCTCCAGGTTTTCTTTTATTCTTTCTTTCCTTCTTTCCTCCCTTGCCTTCCTTCCTCTCTCTTACTTTCTTCTTTCTTTCTTTCTTCCTCTCTCTTACTTTCTTCTTTCTTCCCTCCCTCCCTCTCTCTTATTTACTTAGTTTCTTCCTCCCATCTTCCTTCCTTCCTTCCTTCTTTCTTTCTTCCTTCCCTCCCTCCCTCTCATTTATTTAGTTTCTTCCTCCCATCTTCCTTCCTTCCTCTCTTACTTTCTTCTTCCTTCCTCCCTCCCCTCCCTTTCTACCCTCCTTTCTCTTACTTCCTTCTCCCCTCCCTCCCTCCATCCCTTCCTTCCTCTACCTACCTTCCTACCCTCTCACCCTCTTACTTTCTTCTTCCTTCCCTCCCATCTTCCTTCCTTTCTTCCCTCCCTCCCTTCCTTCCTTCCTACCTACCTACCTACCCCCCCTCTCTCTCTCTTACTTTCTTCTTCCTTCTTTCCCTCCCTCCCATTTTCCCTCCCTTCCTTTCTTCCTTCCCCTCCCTTCCTACCCTCTCTCTCTTACTTTCTTCTTCCTTCCTTCCCTCCCTCCCATTTTCTTTCCCTCCCTCCCTCCCTTCCTTCCCCTCCTTCCTACCCTCTCACTTTTACTTTCTTCTTCCCTCCCTCCCATCTTCCTTCCTTCCTTCCTTCCTTCCCCTACCTTCCTACCATCTCTCTCTCTTACTTTCTTCCTCCCTCCCTCCCTGTCTCCATCCAGCCCTCCCATCTCTCCTCTCTCCCTTCCTTCCTTCCTCTACTTACCTATCTTCCCTCCCTCCTGTCAGTCTTTCTGTCTCTAGACAGAAACGTTTTCAGGATCTCCTTCCCCCTTCTATTTTTATTTGTAGACCCATGCCTAATGCAGAGTCCCAGGCGTGCTTTCTTTTTAACCGTTCTTTCCTGCAAAACTCCCGCCTGCGTGTTTTATTTGTCTTTGTTATTTACACTGGACAGCTATTTGTCCGGATGTTACGGCGGCCTCTTGCTTGAGCAGGGGGTTGATCTAGAAGACCTCCAACCCTTATTATTTTATTGTTCTATAAAAACAGTGCAGGGACGCTGGGAAGGGGGCTGCGGAGCAGATTAAAATCCAGCCTTATCTTTGGGTTCTCTCTTTCTACCCTTACGTACCTAAACTAGCATTGCCACTGTACTTAATTATCATGGCAATTGTCCCTAGCTAGCATTGCTACTCTACCTAACTAGCATTGCAGCTGAATCTAGCGGTATCTACCTGCAACTGTAGCTAGCTAGTATTGCAACTGTACCTAACTAGCATTATACGTATATCTAACTAGCACTTCAACTGTCACCGACTAGCATTGCAACTGTATTTGATTACCATACCTAAGTAGCATTGCAGCTGTATCTAACTGTATCTACTTGCAACTGTAGCTAGCTACCCCGAAAATAAGACCCTGTCTTATATTTTTTTGAACCCTGAAATAAGCGCTTGGCCTTATTTTCGGGGAGATCTTATTATTTTGGGGCGCGTGGAGGAAACCAGAGGAAATGGCGGGGACCGGCTACACATGTGTTTTAATATTTTCAGGGGGGGCTTATTATCAGGGGAGCTCTTATTTTCAGGGAAACAGAGTAGTATTGCAACTGTACCTAACTAGCATCATACGTATAACTAACTAGCATTTCAAGTGTCACCGACTAGCGTTGCAATGTACTTGACTGCCATACCTAACTAGCATTGCAACCAGGGTGGATTTGATTTAAATCGAGTTGATTTAAATCACAATTTAAACCATGATTTAAATCACTAGTAAAAAGGCTTGATTTAAATCAACTTGATTTAAATAATTATTTTTAAAGAGCAACTGTCATCTCTGCTACTCCTTTGACCCGCTGTTGACTCACCGATAGTCCCAGTGTTGCAGAATATACAGCCTCATGCTACATAACTAAGCTCCATTTCATGCTGAATGAACTAAATTATTTATGTATCTTAAAGAGAAAACTATCTTACGATAGATTTTTTTTATTAAAGTTTTTTATTAAAATAAATTCGATAAAAATCAAAAATATCCAATTTAAATCAAAAAAATCTGATTTTTTTGATTTTTTAAAAAAAATGATTGATTTTTATCCACCCTGATTGCAACGAAGCAGAACTAGTCGTCCTGTGCATTAACCTGTGCATTCTTGCGGTGTTTGCTGTGGTCTCTTCCAGTGTCTTGCAATGGCTGAGCACCTGGGAAGTCTGGAAAACAGCCTGGCTAAGAGGCCGAGGGACGGGGATGGCAAGGAGGAGAAGGAGGCCGGGAAGCAGGAGGAGAACGGACACGATGCCAAAAGGCTCAAGGACGGCGAGGACGAGGTCAAGGACGAGACGAAGAAGTTCCCCAAGAAGAAAGTTGTGCTGTTGCTGGTGTATTGTGGGAAAGGCTACCATGGAATGCAGGTGAGTCCCTGGCGATAATGGCATGACTTCTGCCCCAGCTACGGAACCCAAGAAATGTAGGACACACAAAACTCCGAACAACTCAAAAGACAAACAGTCTTTTTTTCAAATGCAGGCTACTACTAAAAATGTCCTTAACAGCCTGCCAGGAATTCCAAAGATTAGATAAAGGCTTATAAGAGTTGACAATTAGCCCAGAAACCAGGTTTGCAAGGAAACTTCACTCTCAAATGCTCACCGGATGAACGTGTGTTGTTTCCTGCAATGTTTGCCAGCTGTGTGCAAACTTAAATAGGCTAAGGGAGTGGCCAATTAGCCCCAAGCCTTACACTCGAGGAGACCACCTCCTGAGTAACCACTCCTGCCTTTTGGCAGCCCTGCGTGATCATGCATTGAGAAGAGGTTCCTCCACTTCACTCTCTTCACTTGAAGGAGCCTCTGGAGGTTCTGAAGGCCCTGGCTGAATCTCTGCCTCTGGCACCACATCCTCTTCAGCCTCCTCGCTGTCCGACGCGAGCGCCGGCTGCACAGGCTTCTGGCGCGACCCCACACCAGCCTCCTCGTTGTCGGGATCAGCCACGATCCGCTCAGGCCACTGGCAGGCCACAACACTTAGAACAGTGCTGGCGAACCTTTTACTCCCAGAGTGCCAAACAGGTTCACCAGTGGTGGGTTGCCCCCGGCTCGCACCGGTTCTATAGAACCGGTAGTAAAACTGGCGGGAGGCTCCGCCCACTGACCTTGACATCATCAAAACGCTTCTGTGCATGCGCAGGACCCCTTTGTGCTCCCCCTACTTTTGGCACCCGACGGCAAAAAGGTTAGCCATCCTTGTCATAGATTGTAGATCGTAGTTTTCAGCTTTTAAAAGCAGCAGAGAAATTCATTCTCTGCTCTCGGAGGGGTAGAATACATTCATTTCTCTCTCTCTCTCTCTCTTTTTTTTACAACTCTCAGCGCAATGTGAAAAGTTCCCAGTATAGGACAATTGAGGATGACTTAGTATCAGCCCTCATAAAATCCGGATGTATTCCGGAAAACCACGGAGAAGACATGAAGAAAATGTCGTTTCAGAGATGCGCTAGGACCGATAAGGTAATACCGATAATAGCTCTTGACTGAACGACCATCAGTTTAATGATGTGGAATTAAAGATGGTGCTCAATAGGTAATACAGGTGATTTTTGAACAACAGCTTTTTTTCCTCCTGGGATTTAATTTTAACATTTTAATATTTTCAAGTCTGCGAATTGTAAATTGAGTGGCAAAAGTTCTTCGAAATGTGACTCGGTGGCATTTTTATAACCTGTACCGATTCTGTCCAGTTCTGTTTAGACTGTTCCTCATTTTTATTTAATTTCTTTTTTTTTTTCCTTTGGAAAAAATTCAGGGTGTGTCTGCAGCCGGACAGATCGTTTCCTTGAAGGTCTGGATGATCGAAGATATTTTACAGAAGATTAACGAACATCTTCCTTCTCACATAAGAATTTTAGGTAATTTATACTGATATTGTTTCCTGATTGCTTATTTGTACCCTATGACTATCATTAAGTGTTGTACCTTATGATTCTTGGTGAACGTATCTTTTCTTTTATGTACACTGAGAGCTTATGCACCAAAGACAAATTCCTTGTGTGTCCAATCACACTTGGCCAATAAAGAATTCTATTCTAAGAATTTTAGGTGAGACAAAGGGTGGAAACTAACCAAGGAGAGAAGCAACTTAAAACTAAGGAGAAATTTCTTGACAGAACAATTAATCAGTGGAACAACTTGCCTCCAGAAGTTGTAAATGCTTCAACAGTGGAAGTTTTTAAGAAGAGGTTGGACAACCATTTGTCTGAAGTGGTGTAGGGTTTCCTGCCTAAGCAGGGGGTTGGACTAGAAGACCTCCAAGGTCCCTTCCAACTCTGTTGTTCTGTTCTGTTCTTCCATTCCATTCCATTCCATTCCATTCCATTCCATTCCATTCCATTTCCATTCCATTCCATTCCATTCCATTCCATTCCATTCCATTCCATTCTATTCTATTCTATTCTATTCTATTCTATTCTATTCTATTCTATTCCGCTCTAGAATTATAAGTCACAAGAAGCTTGGGGTGTCTATCCAGATTCTCAGTCCTCCAGGTCCTGGTTGTCCCAAAGGTGCTTTTTTCAAGAGGCAACTGGACTTTCTGGTTTTTCTTTTGAAGACATTTCGCTTCTCATCCAAGAAGCTTCTTCAGCTCTGACTGGATGGTGGGGGAATGGAAGGATTTATACTCCTTGCAGACAGCTCGTTCTTTGCTTTCTTTTTTGGGGTGGGAGGGTGGGGAAGAGGGTGTAGGGAAAAAAAAACCTTATGGCCCACAGGTTGGGGACCCCTGCCCTAGGACACTGCATCTGTGGTAAATACACGCTGCTTCCCAAGATACCCAAAATTTTAGAATAACACTTTTAGAATAACAGAGTTGGAAGGTCCCTTAGAGGTCTTCTAGTCCAACCCCCTACTCAGGCTGGAAACCCTATAGCATTTCAGATAAAATTGGGATCGGATCAGATTCAGATCATCCCAATGTCAGCGTTCCAGAAAAAAACCCAACTCCAAGTAAAGACTCTGAACCAAGCATTTTTTCAAAGTTCTATTTACTATAATAGGTAAACTGGCACCTCTGGGAAAACCTGAATCTGAGAGGTCCGGGTTTTCCCTCAGTAAATCAAAACCCCCCAAACCATCCCCTCAGTCCTCCGTCGATCACATGCTCCAATCACCCTCCGTCCCATCTCGAGACATCACTCCAACTACTCCTCCTCCAGATGCAGGATTGCCGTGACTTTGACCGACAGGAAGAATGCTGTTATGTCTACAGACAACCCCTCTACTAAATCTCCCCTCCTACTTTCCCACACATGAGAAGAAGGTGGCAGCATGGAAGCTTCCAGCCTAAAATGGCTTCCAAAGCTGACACCCAAAAGATTCTTTTTTAAGAAAACCACATTTAATCGGGTTTGGAAATTCCTCTTGATTTAGCATTTAATCCATTTTTAAAGGGCCCATACTGGGGTGTGTAAAATAAATTCTTGTTTTCGGGATCCTGCCCAGCTGTGAAAAAATTATAGATTGACCCAAATTTATAGGATATTGTCCTAAAGTTTTCTCTGTTTAAAAAAAAAATAAATAGGGCTGAAAAGAGTGACTGGGAAATTCAATTCCAAGAACAGATGTGATGCCCGGACCTATTCCTACATGCTGCCGACGTTCTCCTTTGCCCACAAGGATGACACACCTCAGGATGAAACTTACCGCTTGAGTGCCGAGACTTTGGAGGCCGTCAACGACCTCCTGGCTTGCTACAAGGGCACCCACAACTTCCATAACTTCACCTCCCAGAAGGGCCCCAAGGATCCCAGCGCCAAACGTTACATCATGGAGATGTTTTGCGAAGAGCCCTTCGTGAGGGACGGCTTGGAGTTTGCGGTGGTCAAGGTGAAAGGACAGAGTTTCATGATGCACCAGATCCGGAAAATGATCGGCTTGGTGATCGCCGTCGTCAAGGGCCACGCCGCCAAATCCATCATGGAACAGAGTTGGGGAGAGGAGAAGGTAGACATTCCCAAAGCTCCAGGGCTGGGTCTGATTTTGGAACGGGTTCACTTTGAGAGCTACAATCAGCGGTTTGGGGACGATGGTCTCCACGAAGCCCTGGAATGGGCAGAAGAAGAGGAGAAGATCATGGCTTTCAAAGAGCAGCACATCTATCCCACCATTATCAATACGGAGAAGGAAGAAAGGTCCATGATGAACTGGCTGGAGACCCTCTTCAACCATCAGTTTGATTCCACCATCTTAAGGTTGCAGGAAGATCCCAGAGATGCCAAGGTAAGGGGAAACCATTTTGAAATGATCCCACCTTCTCGGCCTCCCAAGAACCAGGGGGGATTCAGTGGTGATGAGGCTGGATTAGAAGTGGTGAGACTCATCTTGAGGTCCCCTCTCGACTTAAGTTACCGGGGTAATTTTGGGTCTTTCTCAGCCCACAGATTTATCATTGTGGGTCATAACATGATGGGAGATGCTGATGGAGATTCCATGGTGGTCCTTGAATGGATGATGAATCCTGGATGATGGACAATCTCCACTGAAGAATTAAAATGTTTTGCTTCTTTCAGTCTGATCCTGAAGGCAGCGATGGATGTGAAGACAATTCTGATTGAGGATTTCAGGCACACTTTGATACCCTGGATTCAAGTCCCTTTGGCCAGAAAATCAAGCTTTTCTCAATGATGGATATTCCTTAGTCTTGAACAGAGACGAAGAAGGGCAGAAATGATGTTTTCCCCCCTTCTCTGCAGCAATGGAAAAGGAGACATGATGAACAAACACTGCTTCAATTATGCTCGATAAAAAAAATGATTTTTTAAAAATGTGTCGGAGGAAAATAATTATCGGACTCTGATAGATAAGTGCAAGCCGTTAAGAATGCTGTTCCTTTCTGGTTTTTCCAAACAGCCAAAATTAATTGTTCTTTCGGAAAGCTTTCTTCTGATTATCGGCTCAGCCAAGTAATAAGGTTTTTGGAAACTTGTTTCTTCCTTTTGTAAAAACAATATATTTTTAATTTTTATTTTATTTTCACTTTCTCATAGACCAAATAATGTGGTGGTTGAAACAAACTCTGGGTTGGAACATTTTGAGTTTCATCTCCATTTTTTTTTAAGAAAACTGTCTATTTCAAGGTTTTTTTTTTTAATGCTCCTTTTGAAATAATAATAACAACAATAAAGGCTTCTTATGACACAAGGTACAAAGGTTTTTTAAAAATGATTTCCAATCCAGGCTGCATGTAATGCTGCCATAACTTTGTTGATCTGGGGGAAGGTCGGAGAATATTCCCAGCGTTGGAAGCCATCAAGAAAAAGAAATCAGAATGTAGTTGTTTTGCTTACTAGGTGACTATCAGTACAGGTAGTCGTCGATTTAACTATTCATTTAGTGACCGTTTGAAGTTACAACGACACTGAAAAAGCGACTGAATATTTGCAAGTCAAGGACGAGTATATGGATGATTATGAATTCCCTAATTAAAAAAACAGAATAAAAGGAACAGCTTAGCTGCAAATAAATGGCTATTTATTATCATTTATTTGGTGAATTGGGGTTTGAATCCAATTATGTCAATACATTTTTATGAGCAAAATGCATGATGGTGGAGAGCCAGATTGTTGGAAAACTGCTGGAAAATTCTTTATAATAATGATCCGGTTTAGAAAAATACTTTTATCTCTGGGGGGAGGGGGGGGATGGAATCTGCAGAGCAAAACCTACAATTTCCATGAAAGAATCCACCTTTTTTTAAAAGACAAAAAAATAGATCTGTATATCAAGCTTTATTCATTGTTATTCTCCCTGTGCCAACTTGAAAAATCAGAATTTCACATTCCTGCAGCTCTTATTTTTAAATATATGTCAATAATGAATAAATGGTGTGGGTAGGGTCTCCTGCTTAGGTAGGGGGTTGGACTAGATGACCTACAAGGTCCCTTCCAATCTGTTAATCTTGAGTTGAGACGAACGTGTAGGGCTTTGCTTTTTTTCCCTTTACATTATTTGGTCCCTTGCTGGCTTCCGTAGCGGGAATCGCGTTTGGCTAGTTTTCCTCTTCCGTTTACGAAGACCTCCCCATCCACCCCATCCACTGCGCCTGCGCTGCCGGAGCTGTACGTTGGAATCGACCAATAGAATCTCTCCCCCCCCCCATGAAGAGCTCGCGATGGTATGATCTGAAGAGGGGGATTCTTAAGTGGTGCCGTCCGGTGCAGAATGCACCAAACGTGGTTTTGAGCAAACTTGGAGAAATGAGGTTTGCACGGGATAAAAAAACGGATAAAACTAGTAAGTAGATAAAATTCCCTTTTTTAAAATAATAGATATATCTCTATATCTCTATATAACTAGTAAGTAGATACAATTCACTTTTTTAAAACAATAGGGAAGGGCATTTTCCTGGCTGGTGGGAATATATATATATATAATTTTCCTGGCTGGTGGGAAATCTATCTATCTATCTATCAAAATACGAGTTCCAGGTATATTAGTAATATACCTAGTTTAGGTATCTTTAGTTAAGATATATCTCTATATATCTATAACTAGTAAGGAGATAAAATTCCCTTTTTTAAAACAATAGGGAAGGGCATTTTCCTGGCTGGTGGGAATATATATATATATATAATTTTCCTGGCTGGTGGGAAATCTATCTATCTATCTATCTATCTATCTATCTATCTATCTATCAAAATACGAGTTCCAGGTATATTAGTAAATATACCTAGTTTAAGGTATCTTTAGTTAAGATATATCTCTATATATCTATAACTAGTAAGTAGATAAAATTCACTTTTTTAAAACAATAGGGAAGGGCATTTTCCTGGCTGGTGGGGAATTATCTATCTACCTACCTACCTATGAAATTTTCAGCCAGTGCAATGGCCGTACTGATAGTTTTTAATGAATGGGTTTGTAGGGTGTGAGTTTTATGTATTTTATAATGGTTTTTTTTTAACATGCTTGTTACTGTTTCTTGCTTGCTTTTCAATAGTTTTATGGCTCTTTGGAATTGCTTTTATCGTTTTAATTGCTTGCAAGCCTCCTAGAGTCCTCTGGAGGAGAGGCGCGGTTATATAAATATAAATTAATAAGTAAATAAATTTTAATTCCACCCTGGGTTCAACACAGGTATCTGGGTTATGCTGATTTTGAATCCAAGGGTGAGAAATTGGAATAATTTAATAAATGATAGTTTAATTTCATCATGAGCTCATTTGTTGAGAGAGAGATTTATGAATGGTGTAATGATCAGAATATTAATCGCAGCTCCTGCTTTTCCTCAGCCTTACTCCAGAGGCTCCACAACCCATGGAGTGCCTTGGCATTGCCTGAGGATACAGTGAAAATGTGCTGAACTGGATGTCCAGAAGGGTACTTCGTCCCCTTTGAGGCTTACAGTTGGAACAAACATTCCTTTTGTTACCTGTTGATTGATTGCGGAGCAGTAAATTGTCTCATACTGGGCTTGCTAAATGCAAAATTAGGAATTTCTGTTTTGGTTCTTTTTCCATTTTAGGCACTTTGATTCTAACTCCTGATGGACAGCACCGTCTGAATGCCAGTCACACCTTCTATGTAACGAGTACAATTGATCTCCAGAACAGATCCCAGCAGTATAAATAATGTATTGATCTTGAGATCTTCACAAGATGATACATACCAAGATTCTCTCCTTTGGAATATGGGCAGAATGAGTTAAGTCATTTGAATTAACTGGCTGGTAACCTCTCTAAACATTGGAAGGAATTGGCCTGTGTCAGGGGCATTGAATGGTTGGAATATGCCATTAAGAAACGTAGCTGTTTTGAAAGACTCACATAAAAAGCAATGTGGTTTTCCTAAGTCCCGTGTTTTAAAACAAAGTTAACAGTGGCGGGGGCATGCAAAATCCAAAAGCAAGCTGTATCGTGGTTTAGGATGAGATAGGATCTCAGCCTCTTGAGGTAGGGTTAGATCAGGGGTCTGCAACCTTAAACACTCAAAAGAGCCATTTGGACCCGTTTCCCACAGAAAAGAAAATATCGGAGCCACAAAACCCTTCCCATGCCTGACTATTTTTTGAGCAGCCACAAAACTAGCATATGCAGTTGAATTAAACATTCTGTTTTCTTCTGAAACTTTTCTTTTCTTGGATTTATCCATGGTTGGCCTACCGGGGGCTGAAAAGCTCAATAAATTGTGTGCCGGCAGATGTCGCACATTGGCAGTTGTGACGCATATTTTGAGTGAAGGAGCCGCAGCAGAGAGGTAAAAGAGCCACATGCGGCTCCAGAGCCGCAGGTTGCTGACCCCTGGGTTAGGTAAAATCAGTTTGTAGGTCAAATTGTTCCATTATTCCTATCTAAAAGTTTCTTTTGGTTCTTGCGTGAGATTCCTGATGGTTTCCCTGCTAAAATTCTACCTTGCTCAGGACAGAATTTTAGCAAATTCTGTCCTGAGGAAGGTATAATTTTAGAGGACTGGAAAAGTGACTTTAGAGTATATCCAATTTAAACATAGGGGACGCAGTGGCTCAGTGGCTAAGACGCTGAGCTTGTCGATCAGAAGGTTGGCAGTTCAAATCCCTAGTGCCGCGTAATGGGGTGAGCTCCCATTACTTGTCCCAGCTTCTGCCAACCTAGCAGTTCGAAAGCACGTAAAAAATGCAAGTAGAAAAATAGGGACCACCTTTGGTGAGAAAGTAACAGCGTTCCGTGCGCCTTTGGCGTTGAGTCATGCCGGCCACATGACCACGGAGACTTCTTCAGACAGCGCTGGCTCTTCGGCTTTGAAACGGAGACGAGCACTGCCCCCTAGAGTCGGGAACGACTAGCACATATGTGCGGGGGAACCCTTTATCTTTAATTTAAACACTCATCTGTCCAGATCTGTAACCTGTAACTGCAATGAAATAAACTGGATTCTAACAGGATGATAATGTTTGAACTTCTTTGAAACTTTTTTAAAAAGTTGCCAATGGCACATACTCGATAGGCTCAGGTGAGATAATGATAACGGTCTTGGTGTTATTGTTTAAAGAGCCTCTGGGTTGAAAGGATTAGCGGGTGACATCACCTTTGCCCAGGGATGGCCTGAGGGGAGGGAGGGCTCATGTCCCTGCAAGGAGCTGGAGTGAAAGGAGCTCACCCCGACACGCAGCAGCTCTCAGGTTTCGAACCCAGCCTTCTAACCACACGAGCCATCACGCTCCAGTCTATAATGGTAAGAAAGGTGGAAAGAGAAGGAGGTTATGATCCACAGCAAGAGGGAAAGACTTAAGTTACTGGAGTGATGGGGAAGGACTAAAGGACCAAGTCAGAGATAAATTATCTGGGAGAAAGACTTAGAATAACTTTGTCACTTTAAATATACATTAATCGACATACATTAAAATGAAATTTCATTGCATTCAATTCTCACAAGGTAACCATTCTGCATATATCCACATAAACACATATGACACAGAGGAACAACATAGTCTAATTCGGATGTATGCATGTACATGGCGAGAAAAACGAATCTTGCGAGTTTACCAGACGGATGGCGTAGGGAACAAAGCTGTTACAGAATCTATTAGTCCTGCTGGATGATGGATGGATGGATGGATAGAGATAGAATGATAAAATGATAGATTAAGAGAGGGAAAGGGAATGATGGATGGAGGGTGGATAGATAGATGATAGATATAGCTAGAGTGATAGAATGATAGATTAGAGAGAGGGAAAGGGAAAGATGGAGGATGGATAGAAGATAGATTTTGAATAATTCACTTTAAATGTACACTAATCAGCATAGATGATAGATATGGATAGATATAGCTAGAGTGATAGAATGATAGAGGGAAAGGGAATGGATGGATGGAGGGTGGATAGATGATAGATATGGATAGATAGATATAGCTAGAGTGATAGAATGATAGAGGAAAAGGGAAAAATGGATGGATAGAAGATAGATTTTGAATAACTTTGTCACTTTAAATGTACACTAATCGGCATACATTAAAATGAAATTTCATTGCATTCAACTCTCACAAGGTAACCATTATGCATATATCCACATACACATATATATATGACACAGGAACAACATCGTCTATTTCGGATGTATACATGTATATGGAAAGAAAAACGAATCTTGCGAGTTTACCAGACGGATGGCTTAGGTAACAAAGCCGTTACAGAATCTGGTAGTCCTGCTAGAGATACTTTGAAATCTCCTCCCAGAAGGGAGCAACAGAAACAGACCATAAAGTGGGTGTGTGGGGTCTCTTAACAATGCTTTGAGCTCAAGTCATAGCGCTTATAAGCAGTATCCTGAATAACGGGAAGCGAGCTTCCTGTAATCTTGGCTATCCTTACTACTCTCTATGGAAAAACCTTATGTGGTCACTAGGAAATGAAAATAGGAATTGATGGCACACAATAAATCCAAGTCCAGAGTTGCAGTGTACATACATCTGTTTTTCAGATTTGGTTTTTCCTGGTTTGAGTCCCAATTTCTACAAATAATAAAGAATATCCCACTTTGAAAAGTGGGATGGGCAGCATAAAAACTTAACAAATATTGCAAAATCCAATCTGGGTCAATCCCCCCGAAATCAGAGATTTAGTCTTCCTAAATATTAAATTTAGTCTTAATATTGTCCACTATAGTCAGGGCAGGCAGCTTTCCAGGTGGAATTAGAAAAATTCATTTTTTTCTATTGCATGCTTTTGCAAGTGGAACCTTACTGAATGCATAAAAGAATGCATGACTAGGAGCATCAATAGAATGCATATCTCCTTATGAGAATACTAAAACTCAATTTGTTTTAGAAAAGCCAACCCAAAAAAATACAGGACTTAATTGCTTTTAATTAAGCAATGCTTGTCTATTGCGCATGCGGAGAACGGACTTCTTTGCCCTGCTTCCTTCCCGTTTCGTCTCTTAAACCAGGCGGAGTCTCCTCCCGCATGCGCACTAGTTTCTTCCCAGATTGCAAGGAAGGAAAAAAAAAACACGTCGTTTTCCTAAGGCTTTTTTTTTTTTGGTTTTTTTGTCCCTTGCCGGCGCTGGTCCGCCGGCGCATGCGCCCTTTTTTGTTTTCTTCCTCAGGCTCCTCCCCTTCCTCAGGCTCCTCCCCACGCCTCCAATCCGTTTCCTGTCAGGAGCGGATGGCCGAGGCTGGGCCCCGGCTCGGAGCGGGCCGTCTTCGCTGAGCATCGGCGGACGCTTCTCTCGCGCGCTCCGGCTTCCTGAGAGCCGACGCGGGAGGCGTAAAAACAAAAAAAAAAAGGTAACCAGCCGCGGTTGGGAGGGCAAGGCGGCTTTAGGCCGCACGAAAAGGAACGTTACGGTCCCCGCTCTTTTAACCCCCCCTCCCCTTCTCCGCATCCATCCCAGGCGTCGCGCGCGCCTGCTGAGGGAGAAATAACGGGAAGCGGCAAAGGCCATAAAGGTGACGTTGCGGGAAAGGCGAACGCGGTTTTTTTTCTTCTTCTTTTCTTTCTGGCTATGGAACGTTTGCTGGGCTCGGGAGACCTGGCTAGTTGGCTCATTGGCTAAGGCGCTGAGCTTGTCGATCGGAAAGGTCGCCAGTTCGGCGGTTCGAATCCCTAGTATTAGGTCTCCTGCGTGAGCAGGGGGTTGGACTAGATGACCTCCAAGGTCCCTTCCCAACTCTGTTTATACTCTGTTACCTGCTGCCTTTCTGGGCTGTTTGCTCTCCCTCTGCATCCTCTATTCTATTCTTTATTTATTGATTAGCCCTTAGGGCATATCAAAGTGCAGAGCTCCAGAAACAATTATTACAAAACTTTGGTAGAAGCAATTTAAATCCTCTCTTTTAAGTGAGGGTGAATGGCCACGATTAACGGTCCTCTCTGGTCCCAACAGGCTGCTGAGGTCCCTTAAAAAGGATATAGATACGATGCCCTGGATAATTGGATCAATCAATGGGACGGTATCAAAGCTGAGCATTCAGATGCAAGGAAATAGAATTAAAATGAAATAAGATATAGTGAAGTGGGTGGGGGGAGGGAGATGAAACAGTGAAGATAAAATAGGATATAAAGGGTAGCAGGGTAGCAGGTAAAATAAAGGGGAGGTTAAAAAAAAGTGAGATCAAATAGTATAAAGGGAAGGGATGGGATGGGAAGGGATGGAAAGAGGAGAAGAAGACTTCATTAAGTCAATGGACCGTATCAAAGATGAGCATCAGCCACAGTGAAATAGAATTAAAATGAGATAAGGTAGAGTGAAGGAGGAGATGAGACAGCCTTACAGTGAGATAAAATAAGATATAAAAGGTAGCAGGTAAGATAAAGGGGAGGTTAAAAAAAAGTGAGATTAAATAGTATAAAGGGAAGGAGGAGAAAAGGGAAGGATGGAAAAGAGGAGAAGAAGACTTCATTAAGTCAATGGACCATATCAAAGATGAGCATCAGCCGCAGTGAAATAGAATTAAAATGAGATAAAGTAGAGTGAAGGAGATGAGACAGCCGAGGTGAGATAAAATAGGATAAAAGGTAGCAGGGAAGGTTTAAAAAAAGTGAGCTCAAATAGTATTAAAAGGAAGAACTTTATTTTAAGTTGATGGACCATATCAAAGAAGAGCATCAGCCACAGGAAAATAGAGTAGAATAGGACTCCGTCAGGTTCTGAAGAACCGGTAGCGGAAATTTTGAGTAGTTCGGAGAACCGGCAAATACCACCTCTGGCTGGGCCCAGAGTGGGTGGGAATGGGGATTTTGCAGTATCCTTCCCCTGGAGTGGGGAGGGAATGGAGATTTTGCAATATCCTTCCCCTGCCACGCCCACCAAGCCACACCCACAGAACTGGTAGTAAAAAATTTTGGATTTCACCACTGGACTCCGTGAAGGAAGATAAAACAGCCTACAGTGAGATAAAATAGGATAAAATGTAGTAGGTAAAGATAAAGTGAAGGTAAGATCAAATAGTGTAAAGTGAAGGAGGAGGGATGGAAAGAGAAGGATGGAAGGGGGAGAAGAAGACTTTATTAAGTCAGTGGACCATAGACTGTATCCAACTAATAGAAAAGTGCAAATAGGTAAAAAGATTGAAAACAACCACTCTGGAAGGTTGTTTTAATAAAATGTTTCTATTTATTTGATTGGGAAGAAAGGTTTTCAGTTAGGAAGATGGGTGCTACCGAATTAGGTTTAATTTCTTGGACAAATGCTCATCAGTCCATAGTTCTTCCAAGATTTTGTCTATACTTTTTGTTATCTGCCTCAATTGTTTTCTCAATGATTATACCTGTCAAATATTCTTAAAATCCAAAAGCTATTCATGAAGGCAGTTCCCTTTCTTTTCCTCTCTTAATCTCTGTTTGTGAATAGAATAGAATTCGGAATAGAATAGAATAGAATAGAATAGAATAGAATAGAATAGAATAAATAGAATAGAATAGAATAGAATAGAATAGAATAGAATAGAATAGAATAGAATAGAATAGAATAGAATAGAATATAATATTTTGGACATGTGATGCTACACTAGAAAAATACGGCATCCTTCACTTAATCCTCCAAGGAAGATTGATGGCAAACGAGGTCCAGGCAAAAGAAGAACATCATGGCTTCAAAATCTAAGGGACCAGTTTGGCAAAACTCAGCAGCACTTTTTTTGTGGGGCGTTGTAAAAAAAGTATCTCCAACATGATCCCAACGTCCGATGACGATATGGTACAAGAAGTAGTATTCTGATTAGTGTACATTAAAGTGACAATAATTCTATTCCATTCCATTCCAGTCTACTTGCTCATTCTGTTCTGTTCTGTTCATTCTATTCCATTCTATTCTAATCAGCATACATTAAAATAAAATTTCATTGTGTTCAGCTCTCAAAGGATAACCATTATGCATACACACACACACACACACACACACACACACACACACGATACAGAGAAACATCACTGTCCAGTTCGAATGTATACATATACATGATGGAAAAAAAAAGAATCTTGCGAGAACAAAGCGGTTCCAGAATCTGGAAGTCCTGCTAGAAATACTTTGAAATCTCCCCCCAGAGGGGAGCAACAGAAACTGACCTTAAAGTCAGTGTGTGGGGTCTCTAACAATGCTTCGAGCTCTGAGCACATATAAACAGTATCCTGAATAACGGGAACCGAGATTATAAACTTCCATGTGCAATTGTAGAAAGCGATAGTCAATTGCCCTAACAAGGAATTTGGTTTATGTTTCCCCTAATGGAACTTTTGTCTCCCCGTCTTCTTTTAGAATCCGAGGCCGCTGTTGGCGCGATAATGCACCATGGGACCGGTTCACAGAATGCACAGCGCCAGCTCCAGAGGTCTCGATCCTTCACCGGCAGCGAGAGCGAAGATCAGCAGGCCAACTTGCCACAGTCCCCGGCTCCTTCCTTCGCTCCTTCGGCCAGCCCTTCTGCCCCTCAGTCTCCCAGCTACCAAATCCAACAGTTTATCATGAGCCGAAGCCCAGTAGCGGGACAGAACGTCAATATCACTTTGCAGAATGTGGGACCCGTTTCTAGCACCAACCAGCAGATCACCCTGACCCCATTGCCGATCCCCAGCCCCACTTCCCCCAGTTTTCAGTTCAGCCCTCAACAAAGACGGTTCGAGCATGGCTCGCCCTCCTACATCCAGGTCACTTCTCCGTTGCCCCCTCAGGTTCAGTCGCAGAGCCCCACCCAGCCCAGCCCAGTGTCCGTTCAGACCATTTCAAGTGTCCGAGCGGGTACCCCGGGCCCCGGCTTGGGCATGTGCAGCCAGAGCCCGACGCGTGGCTTCGTGGACGCCAGCGTGTTGGTGAGGCAGATCAGCTTGAGCCCGTCGAACGGCGGACACTTCGTGTACCAGGAAGGATCCGGCCTCACCCAGATCGCTCAAAGTGCCACGACTCAGGTTCAGCTTTCGTCCTCCGGCGCCTCGTCGACCGTCCGGGAACGCAGGCTGTCCCAGCCCCATTCTCAAACCGGAGGGACCATCCACCATCTCGGACCTCAGAGCCCCGTGGCGAGCGGAGGAAATATCCAAGGTTTACCTAACCCTGGTCACATTACCACCAGCAACCTGCCGCCACAGATCAGCAACATTATCCAAGGGATGCAGCAGCAGCAGCAGCAACAACAGCAAGGACAGGCCTCGAACAGACCTTTGGGCTTTGACAGGACTTCCGCTGGATTAATTGCCGGGGTCGGAGGCCCCACTTTCGGCATCACGTCCCCACCGCCTCCCACCAGCCCTTCCCGGGCCAGCATCCCTCAAGGACTAACGGGCCACCCGCTGGCCCCCTCGCTCTGCGCCGTGGTGAAAAAAGCCAAAAAAGTCGAGGAAATCCCCCCGGCTACTCCAGAAGCGGCTCAGATGAGGAAGCAGTGTCTGGAGCATCACTTCAAGCAGATGGAAACCCTGAAGGATGCTTTCAAAGAGTACTTGGTCGAGCTGTTTTTCTTGCAACACCTGCAAGGGAACATGATGGACTTCTTGGCCTTTAAGAAGAAGCATTGCCTGCCGTTGCAGGCCTACCTCCGGCAGAACGACTTGGATCTGGAGGAAGAGGAGGAGGAAGAGCAATCCGAGGTTATCAACGATGAGGTAGGAGCTCTCTTTTTCCGCCTTGATTAAAAACCGTTCGTGTTTCAAAGGCGGCGGCGCTGCCTGCCTAACCGAGGTTGAATTGGGATTTTGTCAGGGACAAACATTTTAGGAGGACTAGATTGTGCGGCTGGTCCCAGCAGTGAATGCATCAAGTCTGCAACATGCTGCGTTAAGCGCTCGTGTTGACACAAATGAGGGACGCAAGGTGTTCGTTTTGGATTGGGGTAAATGCGCAGAAGCGTCTTTCCGTTCATCTTTGAAGGGTCATTGTTAAAATGGGGAAGAGGAAGCTCCAAGGAGACGGGAAGAGCTTCTGTGTGTGAGTGGTGCTCCTTTCTTCATATAAATCAAATAAATCGCAGACCGCAAACGAGATTGACGAAATCGTCCTTTGCAGGAGTTTAGAATTGAGCTTGAAATCATTTTAACTCTTGGGTTCCTGCTTCACTTCGTCACCTCGCTTTGCGATCTGGGAATTTCCTTCTAGCTGTCCCTCAACAAGTATTATCGGAAAAGACTGTTTTTTAATAAGGGATCAGTTGTTTAAGGAACGCGGTGGCTCAGTAGCTTAAGACGCTGAGCTTGCCGATCGAAAGGTCGGCAGTTCAGCGGTTCGAATCCCTGGTGCCGCGTAACGGGGTGAGCTCCCGTGACTTGTCCCAGCTTCCGCCAACCTAGCAGTTCAAAAGCAGGTAAAAAATGCAAGTAGAAAAATAGGGACCACCTTTGGTGGGAAGGGAACAGCGTTCCGTGCGCCTTTGGCATTGAGTCATGCTGGCCACATGACCACGGAGGCGTCTTCGGACAGCGCTGGCTCTTCGGCTTTGAAACGGAGATGAGCACCGCCCCCTAGAGTCGGGAACGACTAGCACAGATGTGCAAAGGGAACCTTTACTTTTACCTTACAGTTGTGGGCTGTTTATTTATACTTATATTCTCAAGTATAGAGAAAAAGGTGCAGGAATTTTGTCCAGTTCTGTGGCTTTTTTTTTTCTTTCACTTTTGCTGACCAAAAATATATATATTAAATATCACTGACAGAACCTAGATGTAATTTTTGGATCCTGATTCATGTCCCTTTATTATATTGTTTTAAAAGTTGCAAATTGGTTTCCCCCAATCCGGTATTTTCTTCGATCGTCTTGCTGAAAATGTCCATTATCTCCAGCTTTTTTTTTTTTCCTGAAAATAAAAAAGTTCTAATTTAATTCTTTCCATACCCTTATTGAATTTAGCGAGATTTGTTGTTAGGTAATTGTATACAGAATTGCAATCAAAAGTAGTTACAATTGAGAATTGCAACCTAAAGTTAAAACATGTTGTCAACATTTTATAAACGGGTGTTTGTTTATCTACTCTTATTTATTTGTAAAACTGCATAAACTTTGCCAATCTTTTATTCTGAACTCTGAGTACTCTTTATACAATTCCACAGCTTTATTGAGAGAGAAAAGAAAAGAAAATCTTTGATTTGAATTTTATTAATAGTTGATGTTCTACAATTCCAGTTTGGATTGTCATCCATTTAATAGAAAGTTGTTTTCTGGTTATTATTTTTTTTTGAGCTTCGTAAATTGACTCAATTGCTGTTTAACTTTATTAAAAATATAGAATATATGGGTTTGGACTTGCAGGTACCATTTCCTCAGAGAGGTTTAAATTATGGCCGATTTGGTTTTAATAAAAAGTAGCGAGTATAATAGTAGCGTTAGTAAATTAATAGAATGTTTGCCTTCATCACAGCGATTGATGTGTTCCTAAAAAACTAGGGATATTGAATGGAGAGCAGGCTTTTGAATTAGATGGATTGTTCATTACACCTAATAAATATTCAGAAGGTAATAAATGCTGCGCCTCCATCACACAGGAAATTAATTATTTTGTACTGCTAAATTAATCCTCAAAAAGCCAGGAGAAGTTATCACATCAATGTAATGCGCCTTTGTTTGATTTTTAAACTTTTAATATTTAGGCAAAGGCTCCATGTTTTAAAAGCAGGTATTATTGAGAAAGTCCTGTTAAAATCTGTTCACCTGAGAAAGATGAGGTGCAGCAAAAAAAAAAAAAAATCTCATAGCTTTTCTGGACAAAATTAGTGAGGCTGTTTTCTGTTCATTGTGAGAATTTAAAAGGTGAGCTTTTGACTGTCTCTCTCCTCCAAGTCATGGGCCATTAAATTTATACAATTGTTGGATTTTTATGACACACATAGGCGTTTGCTTCCCATTTTTAATCCGCCAGTAATCTTTATTTGATGTAGTTGTTACTTAATCGGACTGGGCAAATGGTTTTGGTCTCTAGGCTCCTCGCTGAGCTATCCAGCTGAATGTTTTTTACAGGTTCATGGTCATTTTGGAAAATCTGATTGTAGTGTCAGTAAGGGGGAGTCAAAAATGGTCTAAACGGATTTAGGAAAGATAGAAGAGAATATTTGCTGCTCAGGGTTGAACTGTGAGGTCCTTGGTGCTCTCTGAGCTCGGTTGTTTTCTTGCAGACGTTTCATTACCCAGCTAGGGAACATCATCAGGACGAGAAGGGAGAGGCGTTCGTTCTCTTTTTATATACTAGTGGCTTGCGCTGTCAGTGCTGGGAATGTCCTTGGCGGCTCCTTGATTAGGCTGTTGTTTACCAACAATCAAGCTGTAAACAACAACCCTATCAAGGAAATATCAACCTAGACCAGAGGTCTTCAAACTTGGAAGCTTTAAGACTTGTGGACTTCAATTCACAAGTCAATTGACAAGTTCAATTTGCCTTGGTGGCGCAGCGGACTAAAGTGCTGTTAAGTAGCACTTAGCTGCCAGCTGCCTGCAATTACTGCAAGTTCGAATCTCACCAGGCTCAAGGTTGACTCAGCCTTCCATCCTTCCGAGGTAGGTAAAATGAGGACCCCGATTGCGGGGGCAATAAGCTGACTTTGTATAAAATAGAACACCGCTTAGGGGGGGCCGAAAGCCCTACTAAGCAGGTTTATACAAAAGTATGAAGGCTATTGCTTAACGCATTGTAAGCCGCCCTGACTCTCCGGAGAAGGGTGGCATATAAATGTAACTAATAAATAAATAAATAAATAATTCCCAGAATTCTCTAGCCAGAATTCTGGGAGTTGAAGTCCACAAGTCTTAAAGCTGCCAAGTTTGAAGACCTCTGGTCTAGACAAAGAATCAAACTGTAAATAACTATCTTATCAAGGAGCCACTAAGGCCATTCTCACCAACACTGACAGAGCAAGCCACTAGCATACAGGTCATCCTCAACTTACAATACTTCATTTAGTGACCACTTGACGTTACAATGGCACTGAAAAAAGTGACTTACGACTATCGATAGTGCGATCAAAATTCAGACACTCGGCAACCGGTTCGTACTTACGACCGTTGCTATGTCCAAAGGGCACATGATACAACCCCCTTTTGCAACCTTCTGTCAAGCAAAGTCGATGGCGGGGGGGGAGCCTGATTTCACTTAACAGCCGGGTTACGAAACTTGTCGGCCGCAGTGATTCCCTTAACAACCGTGGCAAGAAAGGTCGTAAAACGGGGTGAAGCTCACTTTGACAAACGTCCCCCTTAACAACAGAAATCTTGGGCTCCGTTGTGGCTGTAAGTGAGAAGACTAGCCGTATACAAAAGAAAGCGAATCCCCACTCGTAACTTGTAACCAGGGTGGATAAAAATCAATGATTTTTTTTAAAAAATCCAAAAAATCAGATTTTTTGATTTAAATCAGATTTTTTTGATTTTTATCGAATTTATTTTAATAAAAAAACTTTTGGGGTAAAAATCTATCGTAAGATACTTTTCTATTTAAGATACATAAATAATTTAGTTCATTCAGCATGAAATGGAGCTTAGTTACGTAGCACGAGGCTGTATATTCTGCAACACTGGGACTATCGGTGAGTCAACAGTGGGTCAAAGGAGTAGCAGAGATGACAGTTGCTCTTTAAAACTTATGATTTAAATCGAGCTGATTTAAATCAAGCCTTTTTACTAGTGATTTAAATCATGATTTAAATTGTGATTTAAATCAACTTGATTTAAGTCAAATCCACCCTGCTTGTAACACTGATGATGTTACCTAGTCGGGTTGCGAAACGCCCGCAAGCTAGCCACCAAGCTCAGAGAGCGCCACACGGTTTAGGAAAACCTTTCGCAAAACCACGGAGCACCCAACTTGTCCGATCAGCAAATGATAGCGTGCGACACGTTGACACCTAAGGTATTCCCGTGTCTCTTCCTTCGCTTTGTATATTGTACTGTCCTCCTCCTTCTTCTTCGCCACCTTCTGCTAAGCTAAAGCAACGCACCTCATCGCTCGCCTAGGTGACGGTTAGGGTGGTGGGGAACAGTGGGGGGTGTTACACACTCATTGCTTAATACGTGTCTGGGGGCTTTTCTGAGTGTCAACTGTCTGTCACGCTAATGTTGTCGTTTGTTAGAAAGCCAAGATCTCAAAAAGACTTTAACCCACGCTAATGTCTCACATGCAATTTCAATTTAGACTTTTTTGCATGGCCAGAGGGAGGGAAAGAAAAAAAAATAGCTGCTAGTTTGTCCCTCGCTCTGTTTTGATAGATAACCAAAAAAAACAAAAAACAAACCCACAACAAAACTTTGCCTTTCTTCACAAAAAACAAACAAACAAACAAACAAAAGAGCCTTGGTAGTACAGTGGTGTAAAGCACCCTGTTATTAAGACCAGCTGCCTGCAATTACTGCAGGTTCAAATCTCGCCAGGCTCAAGGTTGACTCAGCCTTCCATCCTTTCTAAGGTAGGTAAATTGAGGACCCAGTTTGTGGGGGCAATAAGCTGACTTTGTATAAAATATACAAAAGTATGAAGGCTATTGCTTAACGCATTGTAAGCCGCCCTGAGTCTCCGGAGAAGGGCGGCATATAAATCAAATTTAAAAAAAAACAAAAAACTCTTTTAAACAAAAATAATGAAGAGTTAAATGAACTTAACGCCTTTTGTCTCAATCCCATTGCTATAACGCAAAGCAGGATGCTTTGATCATATTTTTCTTTTTGGGATACAAAAAAAAAGGAAAAAGAGAGAGAGAGAGAATGAAAGAAAAAAAATGATTTCCCTTTTTGTTTCCCCTCCCCCTCCCAAAATACCTTCTCCCAGGTAAAGGTTGTGACAGGAAAGGATGGGCAGACTGGTACTCCTGTTGCTATAGCAACCCAGCTTCCTCCAAATGTTTCTGCTGCTTTTTCAACCCAGCAGCAACCGTTCCAGGTACTTTTTTTCTCAATGGATTTCAACTCTTGAGTTTCATCCCAGATGATGCTGATACTGATAATAATAATAATAGTGATGATAATCATTATTTTTGCTCAGTCAGATTTGGTGTAACTGAAAGTGAAGTCTGTATTTTTTCCCCCTCCCTCCCAACAACCCATCCCTCCTCATTTTAGAAAAATGAGCAGTAAAAACATTTGAACTTTTCAAATGCATGAGTGTCCATGGGCTACCAAGAAAGATTTTATTTTATTTTATTTTATTTAACTTGTCTCAAAGTTGCTGGCTGATTTCATTAACTTTCAGCTTTTAACGTGTTCCACTTCGGTTTGCTTGTCCTTTGGTTCCTTTGTATGTTCTACCTGGTAACTGTGGGTCTGTCTCTCCCTCTCTCTCTCTGTTTGTGGAATCTTTCTAAAAATTCTTTTCTGGGGGGGTGGGGGGGGTTCGGCGGTGGTTCCCCAAATGCTAACCTGCAAAAACAGCGAGTTTGCAACCGCGCCTTCCTTCCTTTCTGGTTCAAATCGAGTCAGCGCACTTTGTCGAGTCCAGCGGCATGCTAATTCCTTCAGAAATGTATGCATTACAGGATTAATTGTGCTAATGAAGCAAGCATGGGCTTTGCGGTAATACCTTGATTCGGTACTAATGCCAAACCATGGTTGAGTGTTATAAAAAAAACAGGAGACTTTTCAAACCTAGGACTTAGGCCAGTGACGGCAAACCTTTTCGGCACCGAGTGCCCAAAATGGAACGTGTGTGTGCCGGAGCGCTGGAAACTCAAAGATCTGGCCTGTGCATGCATGCCTGGGTTTTTTTGGCCATTTGTGGCCCGAAAAACAGCCTGAAAAATGGCCTGGGGGTTTTTTTTTTGGCCATTTTTTGGCAGTTTTTCGGGCCGTTTTCAGGCTGTTTTCCAGCGCTCTGGCGCCTGCGAAACCAGAAGGCGCGTGTGCCCACAGAGAGGGCTCTGTGTTTGATTAACAATGTACAGGAATATTAGAAGAGGAATAATTGTAAAGTAAAAAAGAAATTTGAAATGAAGATGTATGTAAATAGAAATCGGGTCTGCTCGAATACCATCTTAGATTGAATTTATTTATTTAATTTTATTTAATTTTATTTAATTTTATTTAATTTTATTATTTAATTTAATTTTATTTTTTTTATTTTTTTTATTTATTTATTTATTTAATTTATTTATTTATTCATTCATTCATTCATTCATTCATTCATTCATTCATTTATTTATTTGGTTCAATTTATATGCCGCCCTTCTCCGGAGACTCAGGGCGGCTTACAATGCGTTAAGCAATAGCCTTCATACTTTTTGTATATACCTGCTTAGTAGGGCTTTCGGGCCCCCCCTAAGTGGTGTTCTTTTTTATACAAAGTCAGCTTATTGCCCCCACAAACCGGGTCCTCATTTTACCTACCTCGGAAGGATGGAAGGCTGAGTCAACCTTGAGCCTGGTGAGATTTGAACTCGCAGTAATTGCAAGCAGCTGGTGTCACTTAACACCACTTTAATCTGCTGCGCCACCAAGGCTCTTTAAAATTAAAAAAGGAAACAACAAGGGAATGGGAAAGGGAGGGGAGTAGAGAGGGGAAAGTAGGGGAGTTGGGAGGTGAGAAGAGAAGAAAAGAAAAGGAGAATGGGAAAAGGAGAAGAAGAAGGAAGGGGAAAGAAGAGCAGGAGAGAGGGTAAGAAGGGGAGGAAGAAGAGAGGAGAGGGGAAAGAGGAGAGGAAGTAGAAAAGGAAAGGAGAGGAGGAATGAGGAAAGTAAAAGAAAAGAGGAGAAAGAATGGAAGAGAAAAAGGAAAGGTGGTAATAAAACAAAGGAAGGAAATGGTAAAAGAGCAGACCCGAACAATTCATTAATTAGCTAACAGAAATTAAAGAATAAGATGAACGAACGATGGATAAGGATGGAAAAAAGACTCTACATTTAAATATGTTGATGAAAAAAAAAAAAAAAAAAAGAGGGCCACCTCTGACACGTTAAGTTCGCCATCACAGACTCAGGCGTTTGTTCTTCCTGCGACCGAAGATGGATAGCTTTGGCGTTTAGATTTTAGGCAATGAAGCTCTCAAACCTGGTTTGCTCTGAGGCCAGAGAGATACAGGTAGTCCTCGAGTTACGACCGTTCGTTTAGCGGCCGTTTGGAGTTACAACGGCACGGGGAGGGGGGAAAGTGACACAGGATCGTTTTTCACACTTAATGAATCGTTGCGGCATCTGCAGTGTCACGTGATCAAAATTCAAACGCTTTGGCCATCGGCTCGTATTTATTGGGGTGTCCCGAGGTCACGCGATCTCCCTTTTGCGACCTTCCGACCAGCAAAGTCAATGAGGAAGCCAGATTCGCTTAACAACCCTGCGACTGAACTTAAACAAGTGCAACGATTCGCTTAACAACGGTGGCAAGGAAGGAGGTAAAATGGGGCGAAATTCACTTATTGGTCTCGCTTAGCAATGGACATTTTGGGCTGAATTGCGGCCGTAAATCGAAGACTACCTGTATTTGGCTTTTTTGAGACCACGAGTTGAGTGTACTCCCAAAAGGGCTACAGTGAGACATTTGCCTGTCCATAACCATGGGTCAGGCACAAAATGTCCATTTCTGGTCAGATGAGCCCCAAAATCCCCACCTGATATTGGTCTATCCTCCCTATAGGACCTCTGGGATCCAAAAAAATAACAATATTTTAGATAGCTAGATGTTTATATCTTAAATAGCTTAAGAGCCTGAGTGGCGCAGCAGACTAATGCTACTGTTAAAAGGTAGTATTTAGCTTCCAGCTGCCTGCAATTAAAGTAAGTTCGAATCTTGCCAGGCTCAAGGTTGACTCAGCCTTCCATCCTTTCTAAGGTGGGTAAAATGAGGACCCGGTTTGTGGGGGCAATAAGCTGACTTTGTATAAAATATACAAAAGTATGAAGGCTATTGCTTAACGCCCTGTAAGCCGCCCTGAGTCTCCGGAGAAGGGCGGCATATAAATCAAAATCAAAATAAATAAATAAATCTTATTTAATTTTTTTTTAAAAAAATATCACATGAGGCACCTAGACATTTTAAAAAGTGTTACCATAACTTGGCACCAGGTTTTTGTTTTTACCTGTTTTCTTTAATAGTTTGACTTACTTTCCTTTTTTGGGGGGGGGGGGTTATCTTACTTACCTTCTGTATGTTAATTTTCATTTCTGATTGGGAGCCCCTCAGAGTTTGTTATAATAGGGGCAGCTGTAGAAATGTTTTAAATCGATAAGGAATAACCAGCAGATTATTCATCAGTAATTAAGACCAGTAGAAATGTCAGGTGATATTGCCTTTCTCTGTTCTGTTAGTTTACTTAGAGTAGACCATGGCTTCTCCCATTCAGAAACAACAGAGCTCTGATTAGTGCAGAAGCCTTTAGGCAGGGAAAAGAGCCATGAGATATGCTTTCCTATTTATTTATTTATTTGTTTGTTTGTTTGTTTATTAGTTTGTTTATTTATTTATGGAAATTTATATTGGTTTTCAATGTATCTGAAATAGGCTTACTAGAAACTCTGGAGATCAATAATCCAGTCCTGTATATATTATATATATACTGTATATTGAAATTATGCACACACACATACAGTATATATATACATATACATACATACATACATACATATACATATATATTTACCCTGTTTCCCCCAAAATAAGACATCCCCTGATAATAAGCCAAATTGGGCTTTTGAGTGCATTGCAATAAGGCCAAGCGCTTATTTCAGGGTTCAAAAAAATATAAGACAGGGTCTTATTTTTGGGGAAACATGGTGTGTGTGTATATATATATATATATATATATATATATATATATATATACACATACACATACACTACACACACACAAATATATACACACAAATATATATAAAACATAAATACACACACACACACACATATATAAATATATACTGTATTTTTTGGAGTATAAGACGCACCTATCTTTTTTGGTGAGGAAAAGAAGAAAGAAATCTGCCTCTGCCTCTCAGCAATTGTGCCTCGTTGCAGCAAACACCAACAGCCTGCTTTACTTTCATTTTCGTTTTCAGCATAGCTTGATTAGCACAATCAATTAGCAATTGCTGCTCCCAGCAATTTATCTCTTTGCAGCAAGCAGCAGAGCCCTGCCCAAAACAGCTGAGAGCAAATCAGCTGAGAGTCGGGCGGCGATCCAATCAACTTGTGCTAATTAGGCTGTGCTGGAGCTGAAAGGAGCTGTTTTTTCTTGCTGTTTGCTTGCAAGGAGGTAACTGCTGCGAGGCAGAGGCCAAAGAGGATGGGCAGTGGGTGGGCGGGGCTACATTTGGTGTATAAGACGCATCTAAATTTTCACCCCCTTTTAGGGGGAAAAAGGTGCGTCTTATACTCCGAAAAATACAATATTTATATATATATATACACACACACACACACATACACACACACACACCGTGTTTCCTCGAAAATAAGACCCTGTCTTATATTTTTTTGAACCCTGAAATAAGCGCTTGACCTTATTGCCATGTGCTCAAAAGCCCGATTGGGCTTATTATCAGGGGATGCCTTATTTTGTGGGAAACAGGGTAATACACACACACACACACACACTATATGTATATATATGTGTGTGTGTGTGTATGAACTTGACGGGTTTAGATAATGAATCAAAAGAAGTACTTCTCTTCAAACTAGATTATTGATTTTATTTTAGTTATCAAATTTATACACCCAGGGCGCCTCAGGGCAGTGCATGACAGTAGATTTAAAAAAACCAATACAGATATAAAAGACTATATTAGTAAACATTCTGTTTACTATAAATATGTCTTTAAAGAATAATTAGTCAAAGTAACTTGTAGAGTAAGAGATTCCCTGGTGATAACTAGATGGCTAAACAGATGCTCCATGCTTAATGGCAAAACACTTCTTCCTTGGGTACCATACTTAGCATCTTGCAAAGTATTAAGTAGAATCTTTTTACTGCTTGTTAGGGGGGAAAAAAATGAGGATGAGCATTTAATCTCATTTCATAGACATATCCCGCTCCTCTAGTACTGTATATAATCCCACACCCCTTATAAAAATGCCGATGTTCATTGCCAAATCAGTGACAAGATATGGGCTTCCTAGCTGTAGATATAGGAGACCGAATGCCAGTGGCTTAGAAGAGAAACATGAATAAGATAGGAACCTGCATCGGGAATTGGAGGGAACCCCTACGTGCGTTAAATTATTTTCAGTAACACTGTAATGGCAAATTGCTTAAATGTTTCTTACCTAGACAGAAGTGGAGAACTGACAGGTAACGTCCCTCGCACGATTATAGGTGAGAGAAACGGGAGACAAAACAACGTATCGAATTTTCGGAGAAAACCCACCCGTGGATCCCTGCAAGCATTGAGCTCTTGATAGATCTGTTTGTAATGCAAAATACAGGATCAGTTGATTAAACCTGTAATGGTAGGAAGGTGAGAGAGATTTCAGTGGCGAGAGAGGAAGCTCTTTGCATATTGTATTATTAGGAAAGAGAGACCCAACCAACTGGCACATAGCTCTGCGTTTGGCAGCTTTTATACTTTTATTTTATATTGAAAAGGATCGTTACCAAATGGATACAAAGGCAAACCTTTTGGAAATAAAAAAATAAGCTCAAATTCTTTCACTGTAGACCAGCGGTCCCCAACCTGTGGAGCACCAGGAACCGGGTCCATAGAGAGAGGTTTTTCCGCGGACCGGAGGAGGTCTGGTTTAGTGTGCTGCCTGCTTCCCACGGATGGGGCCCGGTTTCTGGCATCCCGCGGCCTGGTCCACGGACCTGGGGTTGGGGACCCCTGCTCTTTAAACTCTTTAAAAACAAGGGTGACCTGCCCTTCAAAAAAAACGGTCTAAAAAAAAAAACACCTGCCTTCCACTCACAGACTGTTGACTTCTCCTGTTTTGTTTTACTGATAGCAGGCGCATGCAGGGACTCCAGTAACGGGAACTGTCAATGCCATAGAAATCGAAGCGTTTAAGAGACAGCAAGCCCTTACATCAGCAGGTATGGCCTCCTCCTCCTCCTCCTCCTCCTCCTCCTCCCCCCCCCCTCCAGAATGTTTACGATCCCTTTAGGCTCTCAACCCAAAAACGGTTTCCGATTTGCCCTTCTTTGAAACCACTCTCCCTCCACTTCATCACGACGCCAAACCGTTTTGGCCAGTCTCTTGGGATGGAAAAGCCCCATGATGTCAGGTTCTCCACCAACAGCCGTATTTGAGAAACCAACATTCTTCAACCGCGCCGCCCTTTCGTAGCATTTATTTTAAAAAAGACAAGAAAAAAAAAAAAAGAAAGAAACCCAGCAGCATCAAAATATTTCTAAACTCTCTTTTTAGGGCCAAAACTCTCTCCTGGTAGGCTTGTAGATATCAGTAGCAGTAGCACTTATATACCGCTTCACAGTGCCTTTGCAGCCCTCTCTAAGCGGTTTTACAGAGTCAGCCTCTTGCCCCCAACAATCTGGGGTCTCCTCATTTTACCCACCTCGGAAGGACGGAAGGCTGAGTCAACCTTGAGCCTGCTGAGATTCGAACTGCCAAATTGCAGTCAGCAGAAGTAGCCTGCAGTACTGCCCTCTAACCACCGCGCCACCGTGGCTCATAATATCAACGTTTAAAGCTCCCTGGGAGCACCGTTGCAAACCGTATAACCTGACAAACCCCTCCTCCTCCTCCCCCCCTTGTGCATTTATAAATGGAATTTGAATATCACCAGATTCGTCTAAGAGACCCCGAATTGAAGTGGGCCGTCATGGGATGGTTTTTCAGCATCCGGGCGTGGCTTCAGGAGTCCCTCTTCAACAGCTCATGCCAACTGCACAAGGTACTGTGTTGCCACATGCCAGCCGCAGATTAATTTAGCAAAGGGGCTGGGGCGAGGGAAGCAGAAGCCTGCTAGAATTAAAAAATAATAATAATAATTTGTTATTGAGCTCTCTGGTTCTGCCCCCGACCCCTCCACCCCCTTGCAAATTAATGTTTGGCGTGAAGTGGCTTGTTCATGTCAAAAAGAGCTGGGAAATACAAGCTCGCGCGATGCATGCGGGCATGGAAGAAAAAAAAAAAAACCCACACCACTCATGCACGTTGTGACCAAAATAATTAGTTTTGGAACTCCCAGTAGTTATTATTTTTCCCCCCTTTTTTTTCTTTTTAATGAACCTTAGTGCCTCCATTTCTCCTTCGTGTTCGGTTTTCGTTTCGCAACTGTCGGTCGCCCCTTCCTTCTTAAGCCGTAGGGTGTTTCATGTAAGCCCTTCGCTTCGTCGCGAGGTTTGCTTTCCGCGGGTCGAATCACTACGCCAAACTCTTCCTAATCCGGCGACACCCTCAAGTTGTGTCGATGGTCTCCCTGGCTGGGATACCTCCAATGGCTTTGAATTTGCCAGTTCGTGAAGAACGGGTTTATGTATATTTTATGGCTTGTTTCTTTGAGTTGGCCAAGTAAGTAAATAGACGAACGTTTCACATCTTCACTCTGCCCCTGGCATGCCACCCTTATAGGTTTTTGAGCCTTTGGCTCCCTTATCCCAAAGGTGTTTTTTTTTTCTTCCCAAGAGGCACCTAGAATTTCTTGTTTTTCCTTTGAAGACGTTTCGCTTCTCATCCCAGAAGCTTCTTCAGCTCTGACTGAACGGTGGGGAATGGAAGGATTTAAACTCCTTGCAGACAGCTGGTCATTTGCATCCTTTTAGAGGGTGGTTATGGTCACCTGGAGATTTATCTGTGTCATCAGGAAGGATATGACAATCATCATCTATCTCCAATCTACAACACAGTCCTTTCAACAGTTCCAAGAAGGCTCCACACCCATTGGCACCACACAGGTGACCCTGAGGACACAGATAAACCTCCAGTGGCCTCAAGGACTCTCTCATAAAAGTCGTTTTTTTCCCCAGTGCTGTTGTAACTTTAAACGGTCACTGAACAAATGGTTGTAAGTCAATGACCACCTGTATGGTTGTGAGTCAAACAGTACCTGCATCTGCCCTTTCTGGGCAAGCTTGAAGGGGGATCATGTTAATTATTAAGGCTGCATTAATGAATCTTTAATGGTTTAACACAGGGGTCTCTAACCTTGGCAACTTCAAGGTTTGTGGACTTCAAATCCCAGAGTTCCTCAGCCAGTTTTGCTTGGAGGTTTATCTGTGCCCTGAGGGTCACCTGAATTGGGTGCCAATGGGTATGGAGCCTTCTTGGAATGGTTGAAAGGACTGTGTTGTAGATTGGAGATAGATGATGATGTCATATCCCTCCTGATAACACAGATAAATCTCCCGGTGATCTTAACGACCCGCTAAAAGGATGCAAAGGACCAGCTGTCTGCAAGGAGTATCAATACTTCCATTACCCACCATCCAGTCAGAGCTGAAGAAGCTTCTCGGATGAGAAGCGAAACCTCTTCAAAGAAAAAACAAGAAAGTCCAGTTGCCTCTTGAAGAAAAAAAGCACCTTTGGGACAACCGGGACCTGGAGGACTGAGAATCCCCACAGACTTTAGCTCCCTTAATTCTTGTGTTCTCTTGCTTTGCAGGTGGAATGCCTCCCACCCCTCAAACGGTGAAGCTGATGGGTCAGAAGCAGAGCCAGCAACAGTACGACCCTTCCAAAGGTCCCCCGGTGCAGAACGCAGCCAGTCTTCACACCCCACCACCTCAGCTGCCCGGGAGGCTGCAGCCCACCAACGTGCCCATGAGCTCTCTCCCGCCAACGCTGCAGCTGGCGCCCCAAGCGACTCAGATGAACGACACTCCGGTGCAACAAGCGGCGATTCACGTGAAGGCTCAGTCCCAAAACGTGACGGTCACCACCGCTGCGGCTGCTGTGTCCCACGGCCAGGTTCAAGCGCCATCTCAGCCGCAAGGGCAGCCGACAACGCACGGACCGGGGCAGATGACACCCTCCCAGGTTGTGGCCTCTCAAACGCCAACCCCACAGCAGGTATATATGTATGTATGTATGTATGTATGTATGTATGTATCTATTTATCTATTTATCTATCTATCTATCTATCTATCTATCTATCTATCTATCTATCTATCTATTTATGTAATTTATATGCCGCCCTTCTCCCGAAGGACTCAGGGCGGCTTACAAAAACGAACAAAAAATTACATAAACATTAAAATCAATTTAAAATTAATTAAAATTATTTAAAATCACCCCTACGGATTCAGCCCATTTGGTGAAAAAGCCACGTCTTCAATTCGCGGCGGAAGGAGAGGAGGTCAGGGGCAGTCCTGAGGCTGGTGGGCAGCCCATTCCAGAGGGTCAGCGCTCCTACAGAGAACACTCTCCCCCTGGGGGCCGCCAGCCGACGTTGTCTGGCTGACGGCACCCTGAGGAGGCCCGCTCTGTGTGAGCGCACCGGACGATGGGAGGATGGCAGGAGATGATCCTGCAGGTACCCCGGGCCTAAGCCAGGTAGGCAGATGCGGTTACTTGGCATTTTAGCCAGGGCTGAAAGTCTCTTCTTTTTTTCAAAGTTTTTTATTTTATTTTTTTATTTTTATAAAAACGTCAATTCAGTGCGTGAACAGTGTGGCACCTGGGTGCCATATATCCCAATACAAATAAAACTGATCGGGTTAAACATTATTATTACGTTCAATCAACTTATGTGGTTCTAATAACAATACACATCCATATTAGATTACAATCTACCGTTATTCAAGTATCCCACCTATTTCTCATTGTTACTTTCATTTTATCACATAAAAATGCATGCATTAATATTCCCTTTATTTCTACCACGTACCCTAGCTATTAATCATGTCACCCTATATTAAAAGGCTTTTTCTTTCTTTCCTGTCTTGCTTCTAATCATGTCACCCACCTAAAAAAAAGAGGAAAGAAAAGAAAGAAAGTAGAGAGGGAGAAAAAGAAAAAGACAACTCAAAACAGCAATAAAAAAAATGGAATCATCCATTCATCATCTCTTGCCCGTTTTATACTTTAATTGCTATACTTTAAAGGAAGGAGAGGAAGAAAGTCTGTTCTAAAGAGTAAAGGCAGGGGTGTCAAATTCAATTTAATTGAGGGCCGCATCAGGGTTGTGTTTGACGTTGGGGGGTGGGGCAGGCTTGAAGTCACTCCTGGCGGGGGCACCTGTGGTGGCCTGGACGGGACTGGGAGGGATCCATTGTCTACAGCGGAGGAAGGTGAGACCAGGGAGAAGGCCAAACCCTTGTCCTCCAGAGGAGCCTCACCGTCCCGCTCAGGCCACGTGGAAGACCCCCTGGATGGCGGCGCAAGCTGTCCAGAGCCCTAGGCAGCAGAGGGCAAACGCCCAGTCTGGCCCTCAAGCTCCCAGGACACTGTGACCCCACAGCCCAGCCCAGCCCCGCATCCCCGAGCTCTTTGGTCTTCAACATTACTTTAGTCTTCAATTCTTTTTTTTCTTTAAAGATAGAAATATGAATGACTGTCAGCATTCTGATGCTGCCATAAAAAGGAGGAGACGAGGCTTGACTTTTCACCTACTTATTTTCTCTGTAGATAATATCCCCTAGGAGATGGGATGGGAGGGGGACATTCCTGTGGGCTGAGGTCAGAAGCTGGGGAGACTGACTTGGAAGATGGCCAATGAGAAGATGAGAATTGGGGAACGGAAAGGGAAGGGTTTGGGGGTCAGAGGGTTAGTATCGGCGACGACGAAGTCGGGGCCAGATCTGTCGTACTCAATAAATGGAATATTTCAGCAAAGATTAATTGTTTGGGAGTGCAATTTATTTGAGATGACATCGAAACCTGACAATGACCTTGCAAAGTAAAATCTAAAGGGTCTTAGGAAAACAGCATTCAGGGCAAAACGTAGCTAGCGTTCTTGATACTTGGTTCGATTATCCTTTTTTAAGAGGTCTTGTAAGTACGAGTTTTGGAATATGTCACTCCAAACTCACATTTACAAGGCCTCTTAAAGAAAGGATAAAGGCGTACAGCTGTGCCAGGTGTACAGGTGTACAATGCCTCTTTAAAAAAGGATACAGGTGTACGATTGTGTGATCGGGCACATGCTTCCGCGTATAACTAGAGACCTCACTGTGTACAAAAACTAACTTGGACTTAAACTATCCACTGTTCAGATCCAAGAACGTTAACACTTCCTTTCAACAAGGGTGAATTTGTGTATGTATGTTCTGTTTGACCCCTATTCTAAAACAGAAAATGGTTTATCCCTTGAAGCTATTTGTTTTTCTAATCTTGTATCCTAAAGGGTGAATTTGCGTATTTATGTTCTGTTTGACCACGACTCTAAAACGGAATATGGTTTATCCCTTGAAGCTATTCATTTGTGTAATCTTGTATCCTAATTTATGTGTCTTCTTTGTAGATCACAACTCTGTCTCGTCCCTCGTCCGACTCTAACCAAAACTCCCAGCGTATTTCAACAAGTGTGGCTCCTCCTACCTCAAGCAACCCGCCAACTTCCGCTTCCAACCCTGCCCCACAAACTACGCACTCGACCCAAGCCAACCGGTCCTCGCCAGGAACAACTAAGTCAACATCTCCCGTGGCCTCCAAGCCCGCAGGGTTGGCCGTGGCAGCAACCCCCAAAACTCAGAACACAACACAAAATACCGCAGCGGCCCAGGATAGCACGCACGAGAAGTTGGCTGAACAAGTGAAGTTGGTGAGAGTTTTTCTGTCTCTTCTGATACCAGAGCAACATGTTTTCCTCAACCGATAAGAGCCATATTTTTTGGAGTACAAGACACCCCTTCCCCCCCCCCAAAAAAAGGATGAAAATTTGGGTGCGTCTTATACACCAAATGTATACAAAAATGCGAGGCACGGAGGGGGCGATGGTCTGTGGCAATCCCTGCAGCCTAGAACAGATGATTGGGAATATTCCGGGAAGCCGATCCATCCGCCAATCAGCTGCTGGTTTATATTGATATTGTTTCCTGATTGCTTATTTGTTTCCTATGACTATCATTAAGTGTTGTACCTTATGATTCTTGATGAACGTATCTTTTCTTTTATGTACACCGAGAGCGTATGCACCAAAGACCAATTCCTTGTGTGTCCAATCACACTTAGCCAATAAAGAATTCTATTCTATTCTATTCTATTCTATTCTATTCTATTCTATTCTATTCTATTCTATTCTATTCTATTCTATTCTATTCTATTCTATTCTATTCCTATTCCTATTCCTATTCCTATTCCTATTCCTATTCCTATTCTACTCTACTCTACTCTTCAACTAAAGCTCCCTGCCTCTTTTGATGTCGCCAGAAGACCCTGCTTATAGTTCTCCCTTGTTTGCTTCCACCAGGAAAACCAAGTTCACCAGCGCATCGCAGAGCTGAGAAAGGAAGGCTTGTGGTCTCTGAGACGACTGCCCAAACTTCAGGAGGCCTCCAGGCCCAAATCTCAGTGGGATTATCTCCTGGAGGAGATGCAGTGGATGGCAACAGATTTTGCCCAGGAAAGACGATGGAAGATGGCCACTGCTAAGAAGGTCTGGACTATGGTTGTTTGTAATTCTTTAGCATAGCCCAGAATGAAGAAACATGAAACAAACCACGTGTCAAGATTAGGGTTTTTAATTTAATTTATAATTAGGATGCCCTAAATTAAATCATGAGTCTCGAGCCAAGCTTCAAAAGATATCCAGTTATTTATTAGGAGCTTCATGTTGGCACGTTCCCAAGTGAAGCTCTGACTCTACGTAATTTACGCTTCAATATGTCCCTGCTCCCCCCAGGGTGTGTCATCAATCACATTCACCAACAGTGTAATTTCGTGGGTTGTAGAGGTCACTCCCCTCCCGCTGTGGGAAACCCTGGGATACAACCTTGAGAGAGATAAGTCTGGAATGTGCATCTGTCTTTGGCTGCTGTGCCATTTTGCAGGTTTCCCACCCCCCCCCCCCCCCCGGGCCTATGGCAACTCGAGAGCAGGCCAGGGATGCTTTGCACACGTTTGGACTTTAATAACTATAGTTTTCCGCAGGGTGGATTTGATTTAAATCAAGTCAATTTAAATCATGATTTAAACCACTAATAAAAAGGTTTGATTTAAATCAACTCGATTTAAATCATAATTTTTAAAGAGCAACTGTCATATCTATCCCACAGCGGCTTCTCTTCTGACCTGCTGTTGACTCACCGACAGTCCCAAAATTGCAGAATATACAGCCTCATGTGCTACGTAACTAAGCTCCATGTCATGCTGGATAAACTAAATTATTAATGTATCTTAAATCTATCTTTAGATATATATTTTTTTAGTCCAAAAGCATTTTATTAAAACGAATTTGATAAAAATAATTTGAAAAATTTGATTTAAATTTAAAAAATCTGATTTAAATTTTTAAAAATCTATTTTTAATTTTTTTAAAAAAACCCATCGATTTTTATCCACCCTGGTTTTCTGGTTCAAACATAATGGGGGCGCTAGTTAACAAGCCATGAACTGTTAAATAATGGCATGTCAAAGTGGAAGAGATTCATTAGAGATGAATTAATTGGGTTGGTGCACAAGATTACCTAACCCAAGAGATATCTATTCCTATGTAAGTCAGGACACAGATAGCACAACTTTTCAGTGCTTTATGAGCTGTTTCTGCTGATGTTATCCAGGATGCTAACTTTTGCAGCTCCTGAGCAAACCCACCCAGCCATTATGAAATACACACAAAGCATTCATTCAGTTTATTCCCAGTCTTTTTGTTCAGGTGAGTTGTCAAGAGAACTAACGCAAAGCAAGTATTGATATTCAGTTTAATATTTTAAAACAACATTCAGGTAATAATTTAAAAGCTTCCCAAGAAGATACAGTCTAGCATAGAGCGGCAACTTTACACATTCAGAAAAATCAATAAAATCAGTAAAACAATATTGGAATAGAATAAGAATAAACTTAGAAGAGCTAACCAAACAGTGAATAGAGATGAAACCAGAATACTTCCTAACAAAACATTTTTTGTTTTAAAAAAACTGTTCAATAAAAATAATTTTTAAAAAACCTGGCTGGGAATCCTGGGAGTTGAAGACCACACATCTTAAACTTGCCATTCTCGGGGGACCCCCCCCCCCCAGTTTAGATGTATTGCTAGTACAATTCCCAGAATTCCTTAGCTAGGAAGAATCACGGGAGCGGAGGTATTCTGCGAATTAAAAGTTAAGGCAAATGGTGTGTGTGCTGCTTTGAAGGAAGTTGCTGTAGTCAGTTCTGGATTAGATAAACCTTTGTTATAGGGGAGCTTTTGAAAAGTTAATGATTAATGCAAAAAAAAATTAATAATAGCTGGCTTTTTCATGTGGACAAAGTTTTATATATATATATATGTATGTATGTATGGCGTCACAGAATGCAACACGAATGCATGAAACATTCACAAAAGACAGCATATAAAATGCCAAACGTCAAAACATTTTATAGCTGTAAAAGCCAGAGAGCTGTAATAAATCGGTGGAAGACCCCACTGTCTAGCAATCCTACTTTTTACATTTTTACGTTAGATGGTCAGGACAGTGGCTCGCTACCACGAAGAGAAACAGCTCAACGCAGAGAGGGCGAAGAAGGAAGAGAAGATCAAGCTAAGGCGCATCGCTGCTACAATTGCCAGAGAAATAGAATATTTCTGGTCTAATATTGAACAGGTAAATCCTTCTCTTTCTTTGCCAGTCACTTCTGAAACCCTCGAGCTGCGGGGGGTGGGGTGGGGAAGGATTGTTCCCTGGGACTAGGGGTGAAACGCTACCGGTTCGCACCGGTTTGGGCGAACCTTTAGTGATAAAAGCTATGGTTCATTTCCGAGAATCAGCTGTGCCGCGCGATTTACATTCGCTAGAAAGTAGGAAATCCTGCTTTCTAGTGAATCTAAATCGTGCGGCACAGCTGTTTTCCCCCCTCGCTGTTCTACTTACCTTCTTGAGCCTCCTTTTTCCGTGCAAAGTGCGCATTTGGCATGCACTGTGTATGTGCGTGCAGCATGCTTTTGGCGTGCACTTTGCATGCATGCACGCAGCGCGTGTTTGGCACACACTGCGCATGTATGGGCAGTGAACCAGTGGCAATCTGTGGAGGATTTCACCACTGTCCTGGGATGGTATTCTGGTGATTCTGGATGAACCCTGCCACCTAGAAATTCACATTTCGGATCCATCACAGTCCAGAGAAACTGCACGTAACTTTGACATTAAAATCCCCAGCTTTCTCTGAGCTGTGTGCGGATCCAAAGGTTTGCTGAGAATTTTAACCAAAAGGCATTTTGCACAAAGCTGCTGCAGTTCCTTTGTTTGGCAGGAGGGAAGATCGCTTAATCCCTACTCAAGGGCGTTTTATCTTCCCTTGTTAGTCATTATCATTGTACCTTAAGCAGACAGAGATAACGGGGCTAACTTTGACTGAGAAAGGTGAAGACAGAATATGGGTTAGGTGGCTTTGTGATTGTTCTGTCCCCGTCCCACACGCACACACCAACAGACGTCCAAGAGTTAAAAACCAAACCAGCCGACAAAATCCTTTTCCTTATGATAACGGAACTTGGCAGCAACCTAGTGGCTGCCTGCCAAGAGTTTATTACTCACGAAGGGAAGACATAACTTCTCTCTGCTTCTGGTACCTCAAAGTAAAATGTTCAATAATTACAGAGTCAATCAAGTCCAAAGATAATCCAGCAAAGTCTATAGCAAAAGTCCGGCAATGCAGAATGGCGTGGAAGCTTTCATCTTTGTTCGTCACAAGGTTTGACTGGCCACCACGCTCCCTTTTATACCCTGTGGGGTGTGGTCCAGTGACTCAGCCTAATCTCGGGCATGCCTTTTCTTCTGTTGCGCGTGCTTATCTCTGTGACGCTGGCGTGGATCCAGCCAAGACTCCTTACTCTCATCACTGTCCACCTGTGGCTGCGTGGATGTGCTTGGCCCCGGCCCTATCTCTTGCTCTTCGGCGGACACCGAAGGCATTGCCAAAGAGGAGGGTCCTGGAGAGGGAGGCCTTGCCAACTCCTCTCCTTCACTCTCGGAGTCCTCTCCTGCCGATGACACAGGCTCAGGTAACAGAGCCACAACACTGATGATCGCTTCCTCTCATTAGAAGATTCTTTCTAAAGTGAAATAGCACCTTAGAAAGACCCCCTCACCTGGACAGATAGGAAGGAGAGAGGAGAAGGGAGGTAAGGGGAGAGAGAGAGAAGAAAGGGAAAATGAGAGGAAGAAAGAGAGGGAGGGGAAATAAGAGTAGGAGAGAGGGTTAGAAAGAGAGGAAGAGGGGAGCCATGGGGGAAAGGAAGGGGAAGGAGAGAAGGGAGATACGGAATGGTAGAAGAGCAACTCCAAAGGTATTTTAAAGTTTTAAGATGAAGAATGAACCAATATGGAAATCAAAAGTTAATATGTGTGACAATAATGGTTAAGAGATTGTACATTTATGTATGTTTTATGAGAAATAAAAAGAAAAAAAATTATATATAGGGCCCCTTGATTCAGTTTCCCTGCCAGGTTTTTTCCCGGGGACATGTAAAGCGAATGCAATCATCGTCATAATTATCAAGCAAGGTTATAAATTTATTTCTGTCTTTCCAGGTGGTGGAAATAAAACTGCAGATTGAATTTCAAGAGAAAAGGAGAAAAGCGTTGAATTTGAAAAGGCGTGCCAAGAAAGGTAGTTTCCCTGTCGTTTGCTACAACATGAGGTTGTAATATTACAGACTAGGAAGCTGCGGGGTGGATGTGTCCTCGGTGCTCTCTGAGCTGGGGTTTTTTCTTGCAGACGTTTCATTACCCAACTAGGTGACGTCATCAGCGCCGTGTCATTTTGCATTTTGCAAAGCAGGAAGCACGTTCTTGCTCAGTGTTAAAACAGTTGGCTTTTAAAAGAACTCTTTTTAAAATGGTCAGATCCTGCTGGGCTGCAATGGTCCTGGTGTCGCCTTCATCCTAGCTCAGGGGTCTGCAACCTTAAACACTCAAAGAGCCATTTGGACCCGTTTCCCACAGAAAAGAAAACACCGGGAGCCACAAAACCCTTCCCGTGCCTGACTATTTCTGGAGCGGCCACAAAACTAGCATTTGTAGTTGAATTAAACGTTCTGTTTTCTTCTGAAACTTTTCTTTTCTTGGATTTATCCATGGTTGACCCACCGGGGGTAGCTCAATAAATCATGTGCCGGCGATTGTCGCACATTGGCGGTTGTGACGCATATTTTGAGTGACAGGGAGCCACAGCAGGGGGTGAAAGAGCCACATGCGGCTCCAGAGCCGCAGGTTGCTGACCCCTGTCCTAGCTTCTTATTATTTTAACTTTGGGGTGAAATTTCATGTTTTTCCCCTTGTTTATTAGGCATGATTTTAAGAGGGAAACTAGATTTTTTGGGTCTCATTTTTTTTTTTTAAAAAAAAATTCTGCCTGAAACATGTTCACAGTTTCCATACTCACCGTATGTGGTCCCTGTGCTATTCTGAACTGCAGGTAATCCTCGATTTACAACCCCAGTTAGGATCAGGAAGAAAGATAAGCAGGTGGCAGACTAAACCACCTGCTGAGTAGGTAGTCCTTGACTTACGACCATAATTGAGCCCAAAATGTCTGTTCCTATTGTGAATTTTTGCCCTGTTTTACGACCTTTCTTGCTGGCAGCTGTTCAGACAGTCACAGCAGTTGTTAAGTTAGTCACACGGTCTTTAAATGAATCTGGCTTCCCCCATTGGCTTTGCTTGTCAGACAGTCGCAAAAGGGGATCGCGTGAACACTGCATACCGTCATAAATGCGAGTCAGTGGCCGAGCATCTGAATGTTGATCACGTGACGACGAGGAGTCGTAAGTGTAAAAAACGGACCTCAGTCACTGTTTTCAGTGCCGTCGTGGCTTCGAACGGTCACTGAAGGAACTGTCGTAAGCCGAGGACTACCTTGGCTGTCCTTTTATCCATCCGTGCAAAGGGACCTCTCCAAAACCTTGACCTAAGCCCGTTTGCCCTGTGGGAATATGTAAGATTGAGACTGTGGAAATAGTGCAGAGAAGAGCAACTAAGATGATTGAAGACCTGGAGACTAAACCATACGAAGAACGGCTGCAGGTTTTGGGTCTGGCTAGTCTAAAAAAAGTGGTGGCTCAGTGGCTAAGATGCTGAGCTTGTCGATCGAAAGGTTGGCAGTTCAGCGGTTCGAATCCCTAGCACCGCGAAATGGGGTGAGCTCCCGTGACTTGTCCCAGCTTCTGCCAACCTAGCAGTTCGAAAGCACCTAAAAAATGCAAGTAGAAAAATAGGGACCCCCTTTGGTGGGAAGGGAACAGCGTTCCGTGCACCTTTGGCGTTGAGTCATTTATTTATTTATTTTATTTATTTGTTTCCATTTCTATACCGCCCTTCTCCAAATAGGACTCAGGGCGGTGAACAGCCAAAGTAAAAAACAGAGCATACAAAATTTAAAAAACAGTATTAAAATAATTAAATATTTTGGCCGTAAATTAAAACAACCCAATTTAAAATCAGTTTAAAATTTAACTCAAGCCAGCCCAGCTAGTTGAAATAAATAGGTTTTCAGGGCCCGACGAAAAATCCGGAGGTCTGTTATTGTACGTAACGTGGTCACGCTAGCCACATGACCATGGAGATGTCTTTGGAAAGCGTTGCTGGCTCTTCGGCTTTGAAACGGAGATGAGCACCGTCCCCTAGAGTCGGGAACGACTAGCACATATGTGCGAGGGGAACCTTTACCTTTAGTCTAAAAAAAGGAAGAATTGGGGTGACATAGTAGCAGTATTCCAGTATTTGAGGGGCCGCCACAAAGAAGACGGGGGTCAAATTATTCTCCAAAGCACCAGAGGGCAGGACAAGAAACAATGGATGGAAACTAACTAAGGGGAGAAGCAACCTGGAATTGAGGAGAAACTTCCTAACAGTGAGGAAGACAATTAACCAGTGGAACAGCTGGCCTCCAGAAATCGTGGGTGCTCCATCACTGGAGGTTTTTAAGAAGAGACTAGACAATCACTTGTCTGAAATCATATAGGGTCTCCTGCTTAAGCAGGGGGTTGGACTAGAAGACCTCCAAGGTCCCTTCCAGCTCTATTCTATTCTAAACATTATCTTTTCACTGGGTTTATTTTCTTGCTCCCGGCCAAATTGATATGCTAGGCTAACATCTTAAGTTGGTTGACTTAATGAAGATGCCTAAAAAGAGTAACCATTTTGCAGGTAAAGACTCGAGACACTTAGAAGACATCCTTCTGGAAAAAGGGAACAAGTCGGTAAGGGATTTTTCCCCCCTCCTGTCTCCCTGTTGATAACTCCGGACCTATTGCACATTTGATGATGATTGAAATTACAATTTTTCAAGAAGTATATTTAGAGAGTGGTAGATCTGCTGCCAGTAAACAACTTTCTCTTATATAAGGAATATAGTGGGAAGATGGGAAGCCGTAATGAGAAAGGGATGTACAGTAGTGGCCAAAATTGTGGAAGTCTTTTGGGAAAAGTGTATTTGTGAGGTTTGATGGCTAATAACACCACTTATTCTTTTGGAGTTTCAAGATAATCCTATTCCACCGCTGGAATGGCCTTGGAATAGCCCAGACCTTCACCCAATGGAAAATCTATGGAGCCGACTAAAGAAACTTGTTAGTCAGAAGCGACCCAGCAATAAAACCCAGTTAATCGACGCCATCCTTCAATCTCAGTTTCACATTAGAACAGCTGCAGAACTCAAAGACTTGGTTCACTCCATGGGAAGACGTTGTAAGGCCGTCATTCATGCTAAAGGTTACCCAATGAAGTATTAGCTGACACGGGGATCATTTTTTCATATCTCGTTTTTTCTATATAGTGATAATTTTTGTACATCTCATTTTTTCTACATGTTTCACTTTTCTTCTTTATGCTGTAACTGCTATTCTAAGAGCAAATCCTTCATAAAAGTTATTGCACGACATTCTTGATTAAATTATCTTTCCATTGATATATAATGTTATGGTACTACTCCAAAAAAAAAAAGGTGGTGTTATTAGCTAGTTTTAGAAAATACACTTTTCCCAAAAGGTTTCCACAATTTTGGCCACTACTGTATAATACAAAGCTATTGTTGGTCAGTTTCCTTTGATAACCGTTGAAAAAGCAAGCTGGTTAATATGAAGCTACCTATATCTCAGCCTCTTTCAATAATGTCCGCTGCGATGGGCAGCTGTTTTTCCATGGGGGGGGGGGGAGCCCTGATGGAGATCTTCCCCATCCTCTTCACAATTTTGAGAGATGTTGGTTCTGTTCTCTTCCTCCTTTGAGGTAGTTAACAATAAATCATGCATAAGAGAGCTAGGGGGAAGGACCCTTCTAAAACAGATGCACAACATTTATAGATATATCTTTATTTTGTAGGGTTCGTGGTCCTGTAGAAGAAAGAGAAAAGCAAGCACTTCTCTAACAGACGATGAAGGTCGGTCATGGGTGGGTCTTCTGATCCACCCTTTTCATCTCATCTACCCTGTTTCCCCCCAAAAAAGACATCCCCTGATAATAAGCCCAATCGGGCTTTTGAGCGCATGGCAATAAGGCCAAGCACTTATTTCAGGGTTCAAAAAAATATAAGATAGGGTCTTATTTTCAGAGAAGCACAGTACTAGTGTTGCTCCACCAGCATGGTAGAAGATGTGAAACCTGAAACAAAATATCTATAGAGATTCTCGGCCATCCAGGTCATGGTTGTCCCAAAGGTGCTTTTTCAAGAGCTAAACTGGACTTTATTTGTTTTTCTTTGAAGACGTTTTGCTTCTCATCCAAGAAGCTTCTTCAGCTCTGATTGGCCACTCTTAGGAAGGCAGCAAAGCCCACATTTTGGACAGAGAAAACCACTGCTTTGAAAGCGGCCATCTATGTCAAAACTGAACAGCCCTCTCTCAATGGAAGGGGAGGGATATGACATCACTATCTCCAGTCTATAACACAGACCTTTCAGCAGTTCCAAGAAGGCTCCACACCCCTTTGCACCACTCAGGTGACCCTGAGGACACAGGTAAACCTCCAAGTGGCCTCAGTGACCCTCTAAAAGGATGCAAATGACCAGCTGTCTACAAGGAGTATAAATCCTTCTATTCCCCACCATCCAGTCAGAGCTGAAGAAGCTTCTCGGGTGAGAAGCGAAATGTCTTCAAAGAAAAAAACGAAGTCCAGTTGCCTCTTGAAAAAAATAAAAAAGCACCTTTGGGACTGAAACAAAACAGTAACAGTTCCAGTTTGGGATTCTGTTTTAGTTCCAGAGGGAAACTACTGTTCTGCTTTCACCCGCTGAAGAATCAAAGCAGAATTCTGTGACAAAGAATTCGTCTCAATTTTTTTTTTTTTAAAATTGATTTATATGCCGCCCTTCTCCGGAGACTCAGGGCGGTTTACAATGCGTTATAGCCTTCATATTTTTGTATATTTATACAAAGTCAGCTTATTGCCCCCACAAACTGGGTCCTCAATTTACCTACCTTAGAAAGGATGGAAGGCTGAAGGAACCTGTTGCTAAAATTCACCTCTGGGAACAGCTGATTGGAGGTATTCTGGGAGGCCAATCCACCTGCCAATCAGCTTTTTTCTTATTTTCCTCCCCAAAAACTAAGGTGCGTTCTATACTCCGAAAAATATGGTATATACCACTTCACATTGCTTAACAGACCTCTCTAAGCGGTTTACAGAGTCAATATCTTTTCCCCCAACAATCTGGGTCTCCTCATTTTACCCACCTCAGAAGGATGGAAGGCTTAATCAACCTTGAGCCGGTCAGGATTGAACTCCTGGCAGCCAGCAAAATTAGCCTGCAATACTGCATTCTAGCCACTTTGGATGGGTGGGTGGGTGGATGGGGAAAAGGAAGAACAATAGCAATAGCACTTAGACTTATATACTACTTTCCAGCCCTCTCTAGCCAGTTTACAGAGTCAGCATATTGCCCCCAACAATCTGGGTCCTCATTTTACCGACCATGGAAGGACGGAAGGCTAAGTCAACCTTGTGCCTGGTGAGATTCGAACTGCCAAATTGCAGGCAGCCGGCAGTCAGCAGAAGTAGTCTGCAATACTGCATTCCACTGCACCAAATGATATGATCAGAAATTCCTGAAATTTAAATCTGTATCCATCAGCCAGACTTTAAGGGAGAACTCTGCAACGCCCACCCACCCACCCAAAAATGGCATCTTAAAGTGAGCGGTCTATTAAATTGTTCGGCTTAGAAAATACAGGTAAAGGTGGCTCTCCATTTGCACAGAAGTCCCGCTGGCAGGTAGAATATTCTGGCATACAGCTATTCCTTCCTCTCTTTGGCTTGACCCGTGGGCCTGACGTTTTCTTTTCAGCGGAAGACGAAGAGGAGACAATAGAAGAGCAGGAAAAGAAGGAAGGGAATGTCAACCATCAGATGGAGCTGTCCACGCTGGCGAAGGAAGGTGAGTGCGACGACGGCTGAACCGTTTTTCCGCAGGTGCCATGTTTCTCGAACTTTTCTTGCCTGCAGACACCCTTCAAGTACCTTTTGTGGCCACGAACCCCCAAGATTTAACTCCAGATTTGAATCATAACATTTCTTCAAGCCTTCGCGGATGGCCTGTGACGATACTGCCCCCCCCCACACCACATGATCGCTACTTGCAACCTTCCTTGCCAGCTTCCCACAATCAAAGCAAATGAAAATCAACCGATGGAACAGAAGTTGCCTTCAGGAGTTATGGGAGCTTCATTACTGGAAGCTTTCAAGAAGAGACTGGGCAGCCATCTGTCAGAAATGGTGTAGGTAGGGTCTCCTGCTTGGGTGGGGGGGTTGGACTAGATGACCTACAAGGTACCTTCCAGTTCTGTTAATATGAATGTATCTAAGATGATCAAAGGTCTGGAGACTAAAACATATAATGAACGGTTGCAGGAACTGGGCCTGGCTAGTCTAGTGAAGAGAAGGACCAGGGGAGACATGATAGCAAGTCTTCCAATATTTGAGGGGCTGCCACAGAGAGGAAGGGGTGAAGCTATTTTCCAAGGCACCCGAAGGCCAGACAAGGAATAATGGAGACTGAACAAGGAGAGATTCAACCTGGAAATAAAGAGAAATTTTCTGACAGTGAGAACAATCAACCCATGGAACAGAAGTTGCCTTCAAGTTGCCGGAAGCTTTGAAGAAGAGACTGGACTGCCATCTGTTAGAAATGGTGTAGGGTCTCCTGCTTGGGTGGGGGTGGGGGTGTTGGACTAAATGACCTACAAGGTCCCTTCCAACTTGGTTAATCTGTTAATTTTGATCTCCCCCATCTCATTTGTAGCTGAGCTGCCTTTGGATGATCTGATGAAGATGTACGAAGGAGCCTTTGCTGAGAACTTCCACTGGCCCCAGCCGAAGCCCGAAGAGGAGACGAGCGACGAAGGTACATCCTGTCAGAGTTTCCTTTCCAAATGCTTTCTTAGAAGGGACCAGCTTGGATGGAGAGAGGTGGACCGGTTCAGCTTTCCATCACTCAGCTCCATTAATGTAATCCTCAGCGTGTATATGGAATTTTGAGGTATTCCGGGGGCATTTTGAGATATTCAGGAGGGATTATCTTGCCCCCACCCCATGGTCAGAGTGCTCCCATCATTTGGCTTTTTGAAAGGCCTTTGAAGGCATGGCTAGGCCAAGTAGCCTGAGGCTCTAGTGGTGGTGTGGCATGTTGAAGACAGGGGTGGGCTTCAAAAATTTTAGCAAGGGGTTCTCTGCCCGGTTGTTGGGTGGGCATGGCCATGGTGGGCGTGGCCTAGTTGGCCTCGTGCACCATGGTGGGGGGGTTGGAGGTGTTTTTGCCCTCCCCGGAGGACAAAGGCTTTCCTTGAACCTCTGGGAGGGGGAAACGGCCTCCCCAGCCTCTGGAGGCCCTCTGGAGGCTGGAAAGGGGCCCATTTACAGCCTTCCAAGACTTCCGGTAGGCCCATTTTTCACCCTCCCCGAGCCTCCGTGCGTGCGCCCTGCACTTACCTGCATCCAAAATGGGCTGGGAGGGGTGGGGCGGAGTATGCAGGGCCAGCCAGGAGTGGGATTTGGGGGTTCTCCGAACTGCACAAAATCTTAGCTAGAGGTTCTGCCGAACCCCCAGCAGCCCACCCCTGGTTGGAGGTGGCTGATGGGATAGAGAACATCCCACTTCCTCTCTCTCTCTCTCTCTGCATTCTGCTCCCTCTCCCTCTGTCCTGCTTAGATTTATTTAAATTGGCTTTTTAAAATATTTATTGTTTTAATGTTTTGTTCAATGTCTGGCTTTCAGCGAGATGGGTAGAATACCAGTCAGATGGCTGGCTGGCTGGCTGGATGAATGAATGAAAATATCTAGCACAGCATTCATTAAAACAATAAAAACAGGTTTTTTAAAAAAACATTTAATCTTTATTTAGAAATGGAAGATCACCTATGAATGAATGAATGAAAGAAAGAAAATATCTAGCATAGCACTCATTAAAACAATAAAAACAGAGGGTTTTTTAAAAAAAAGTATTTATTCTTTATTTAGAAATGGAAGATCACCTATGAATGCATGCATGCATGAATGAATGAATGAATAAAAGAAAAAGAAAATATCTAACATAGCACTCATTAAAACAATAAAAACAGGGATTTTTAAAAAAGTATTTATTCTTTATTTAGAAATGGAAGATCACCTATGAATGAATGAATGAATGAATGAATGAATGAATGAATGCATGAAAGAAAGAAAGAGAAAATATCTAACATAGCACTCATTAAAACAATAAAAACAGGGATTTTTTAAAAAAACATTTAATCTTTATTTAGAAATGGAATATCACCTATGAATGAATGAATGAAAATATCTAGCACAGCACTCATTCAAACAATAAAAACGTTTTTTTTTTTAAAAAAAGCATTTATTCTTTATTTGAAAATGAAATATCACCTATGAATGAATGAATGAATGAATGAAAATATCTACCACAGCACTCATCAAAACAATAAAAACAGGGCTTTTTTTTTAAAAAAAGCATTTTTTAAAAAATTTGATTTATATGCCACCCTTCTCTGGAGACTCAGGGTGGCTTACAATGCGTTAAGCAATAGCCTTCATTCTTTTGTATATTTATACAAAGTCAACTTATTGCCCCCACAACTGGGTCCTCATTTCACCTACCTTAGAAAGGATGGAAGGCTGAATCAACCTTTAGTCTGGCGAGATTCGAACCTGCAGTAATTGCAGGCAGCTGGTCTTAATAACAGGGTGCTTTAGACCACTGTACTACCAAGGCTCCTTGGTAGTTATTTATTCTTTATTTGAAAATGGAATATCACCTATGAATGAATGAATGAATGAAAATACCTAGCACAGCACTCATCAAAACAATAAAAACTGAGGTGTTTTTTTTAAAAAAAAAAAACATTTGTTCTTTATTTAGACATGGAAGATCACCCGGTCGAAAGGGAATTCCTTCAAAAGGAGGTCATCTCGATCGAATCTCTCCTCAGCATCGAGCAGTACAAGGGGGCCGAGAGAATGATGGCCAGCAAGAACCGCGGGCGAGATATAGCCGAAGTGGCGGCCACAGCGGAAGCTCTGTTGCCGAAAGGCAGCGCCCGGATCACCACTGCGGTAAATCCATCTGTTGGTTCGGTTGGGTTGATCTTGATTTCACTGGTGGTAGGCAGGCAGTCCTCGACTTACGACTTTTTTTTTATGTATAAAAATAAGTTTTATTAATTTTCTATTAATTACATTCCTTCGTGCTTAATAAACATCATGTTGTCTGGGTATTTAATTTGCTTAACAATACTCAAGGTATGTACTCAAGAGGAACGGTAGATACTCCGCTGACACCACGGATCACTATATGGAGGTAGTCCTTGACTTATGGCCACTCATTTAGTGATCGTTCAAAGAGTGGTGCAGTGGCCTAGAAGTGGAGCTCTCGACTCACAATTGGGAGGCTGTGAGTTTGATCCTAGGTAGAGGCAGATATTTCTCTCTCTGGGCACAATGAGAATATTATCTGCTGAACAAAGCTCCACATTGGCGACAGGAAGGGCATCCGGCCAGTAAACTCTCAGCTCCATTCAGTTGCCATTCTTACTCTCCACCCCTTTTTTTCCAACCATTGGTAAAGTAAATTCCAAGTTTGATAATATTCTGTGTCTTCTTTCTGTTTGATTTTCAATGCAGAGTCTAATATCTTCTTCATTATCTCTTCATCTTGAGGTGTTTCTTCATTTTTCCAATATCGTACCAAGATAATCCTTGCTGCTGTTAAAACGTGTAATACTAAATGCATACTTCTCTTATCAAATTTTTCTGATATCATCCCTAATAAAAAGAACAAGTTCAGGTTTAAAGTCTACATGTTTCCCTATCATCTTTTCTAGCCATCAGTTGTTGTGACCTAGGCTTCCTGAGTCATTACAACACACGAGTAGTCCCAAAAACCTCTTTTATTGCAACAGCTGTGAATTACGTTCATTCACAGCTGAGTCCCAATTAGTTATCAGGATAATCACTCACCTTTATCTTCCTTGTCATGCTGCCAAAGACCTAATTGGCAAAGCCACACGGAGTCTAGAACCAAACAGAGCTTCAGGCTTTAAACTGAACCAAATGAACAAACGTTGCTTCCTGCAAAGGCCCACGTGCCTTTCTCCTCTTTTAAGCCTTATGGGAGGGGCCAATCATCTCCAGGCCTTACTCCTGAGTTGTCCCTTTTGTTTTAGCTGTTTTTGCCTTCTGGCAGCTCTGCGCATGCACGGACTAGGAACAGGTTCCTCTTCCTCGCTGAGGTCTGACTCTGGAGGCTCCAGAGGCAGCACGTACCTCCCAGATGGCTCTTTCTCTGCCTCCGACGCAGAGCCCTCGTCCGAGCTTTCCCCAGACTCCAGGACTGGCCCATGGTCCTCCCCAGCCTCCTCACTGTCCGACTCTGCTGTGAGCTCCGCAGGGTGCTGGCAGACCACAACATCGGTGTATTTTTGCCCAAATTTTTTTTGGTTTTGTTTTAGCACAAGTCCACCACATATGATGAAATGTGCCTGTCTATGGATTACATTTCCAACATTTGCTAGACATGTTTTTAAACATTCTAGCTAACCTCGCAGGTGGTAAATGGCCCTCTATAAAACATTTTGTATGCATTTTCTTTATAAGAAGTTGCGACCTTTTGCTTAGTGGTCAAAGTTACGAGAGCGCTGGGGAAAAAAAACAACATACGACTGTTTTTCACCCTTTACGACCATGGCAGCATCCCCATGGTCACATGAGCATCTGGATTTTGATTCCTTATAACCATGGGGATGCCGCAGAGGCAACGGTCCTAAGTGTGAAAAAAGTCCCTTTTTTCAGTGCCGTTGTAACTTTAGAACAGTCCCTAAATGACTTTGTTGTAAGAGGACTAGTGTCATGAAGGGAGCAGCACAATGTCACGGAGGAGAAGAAATGTGTTTGCCCGATTTTTTTTTTGCAGGTCAAATACAACACCCCTCCCCTCTTGTACGGCTCCCTCCGAGAGTATCAGAAGATCGGCCTCGATTGGTTGGCCAAGCTCTACAAGAAGAAGCTGAACGGCATCTTGGCTGACGAAGCCGGCCTCGGGAAGACGGTGCAGATCATCGCCTTCTTCTCGCACCTGGCCTGCAACGAAGGTACGCGCTCTTTCGTCATGTAATAATAATAATAACAACTTTTTATTGTCATGGTACGTGTATACACAGTATACCCATACAACAAAATTCACTGAACACCCAAAGACCAGGTCCGACACACACAACAATCCCCAAACACTCCCACCCACCCACCACAAATTCCCCACCCCTAAACCACCCAAACATCCACACAACAGACCAAGTAATGCTGTCCAACAGCTCATTGATGGTGGCCCTTTAGTTCATGGTTGAGTGCAATTATAGCTCTGGGATAAAAACTATTCAGAAGACGTGTGGTCCGAGTTTTCATTGTTCTGTATCTTCTGCCAGAAGGCAACAGTCCAAAAAGGTTGTAAGCAGGATGGGAAGAGTCTCTGAGAATGTTATGCAACTTTCTCAAACAGCGAGATTCGAAGATGTCGTCCAGGGCTGGTAGCTGGAGTCCGATGATATTCTGGGCAGTTTTAATGATTCTCTGTAGAGCTAAACGGGCCAGCTAGTCGTGTAAACGGGCCAGGTAATGGAATAGGAATAGGAGTAGAATAGAGCAAAGCAGAGCAGAACAGAACAGAACAGAACAGAACTGGAATAGAACAGAACAGAACAGAACAGGAATAGATAAGAATAGAACAGAACAGAACAGAAGGGGAAGGAGAAAGGGAGAAGGAGGAGCAGAGAATAGAATACAACAGAAAAACAGGAATAGAATAGAACAGGAATAGAACGGAACAGAACAGAACAGAGCTGGAAGGGACTTTGGAGGTCTTCTAGTCCAGCCCCCTGCTCAGCCATCCCTATACCATCTCAGATAAGGGCTGCCTAGACTCTCCTTAAAAACCTCCAGTGATGAAGCACCCACGATTTCTGAAGGCAACTTCTGTTCCACTGGTTAATTGTCCTCACTGTTAGGAAGTTTCTCCTTAATTCCAGGTTGCTTCTCTCCTTGATTAGTTTCCAGCCGTTGTTTCTTGTCTTGCCCTCTGGTGCTTTGGAGAATAATTTGACCCCCCTCCTCTTTTGGGCAGCCCCTCAAATACTGGAAGACTGCTATCATGTCACCCCTAATCCTTCTTTTCTCTAGACTAGCCAAACCCAAAATCCTGCAGCCGTTCTTCGTATGTTTTAGTCTCCAGGCCTTTGATCATCTTAGTTGCTCTTCGCTGAACTTTTTCCAAAGTTTCAACATCTTTTTTTGTAGTACGGTAACCAAAAATTGGTTGCAATTATTCCAGGTGTGGTCTTACTAGGGTTTTATAAAGTGGTACTAGTCCTTCACGTGATCTTGATCCTATGCCTCTGTTTATACAATGGATGGATTCTTAGACTCTCTTCTTGGTCTTCCTTTTTAGGGGATTGGGGTCCTCACCTTGTCGTCGTCCGAAGTTGTAACATTCTGAAGTGGGAGCTGGAGCTCAAACGTTGGTGCCCCGGCCTAAAAATCCTCCTCTACATCGGTACCCAGCGAGAACTAAGAATGAAAAGACAGGTTGGTGGTTTTATTAGTTCAAATCAGGGGTGAAATCCAGCAGGTTCTGACAGGTTCTGGAGAACCGGTAGCGGAAATTTTGAGCAGTTCAAAGAACCGGTAGCGGAAATTTTGATTAGTTCGGAGAACCGGCAAATACCACCTCTGAATGGGGGGAATGGGGATTTTGCAGTATCCTTCCCCTGGAGTGGGGTGGGAATGGAGATTTTGTAATCTCCTTCCCCCAGAAGTAGGGTGGGAATGGAGATTTTGCAGTATCCTTCCCCTGGAGTGGGGTGGGAATGGGGATTTTGCAGAATCTTTCCCCTGGAGTGGGGAGGGAATGAAGATTTTGCAGTATCCTTCCCCTGCCACGCCCACCAAGCCACACCACCCCCACCAAGCCACGCCTACAGAACCGGTAGTAAAAAAATTGGATTTCACCATTGGTTCAAATCCATTGGGGGCGGGGTTACTACAAATTTTGCCTCCCCTTCTCCAACCGAGGCTTTCATCCATTTGTCCCAAAGGTGCTTTTTCTAAAGGCAACCTGGACTTTAGCCACAGAACTGAAGAAGCTTCTTGGGATGAAAAGCGAAACGTCTTCAAAGAAAAAACAGAAAGTCCAGTTGCCTCTTGAAAAAGCACCTTTGGGACAACCATTTATTTATTTTATTGGTTCGATTTATATGCCGCCCTTTTCCAGAGACTCAGGGCGGCTTACAATGCGTTAAGCAATAGCCTTCATACTTTTGTATATACCTGCTTAGTAGGGCTTTCGCCCCGCTCCCCAAAGCGGTGTTCTTTTTTATACAAAGTCAGCTTATTGCCCCCACAATCCGGGTCCTCATTTTACCTCCCTCGGAAGGATGGAAGGCTGAACCATGACCTGAATGACTGAGAATCTCCATAGACTTTCACCCATTTGGTTGTGACCTGAGCTAGACTCACTTTAAGATGCTTAAATCCAGCCAAATCAGTGTTGTTCGATCTTGACCTCTTGAAGATGTCTGGGCTTCAACTCTCAGGATTTCCCAGCCAGCGTGGGGGGTGGGGAGTGAGGGTGGGGGGTGGGGGGGTTGGGCTTTCTTAACCAATGGTTTGCCGAAAGAGTTTCGATGGACTGAGTTTGTGCACTCATGGCTTGAGTTTCCCTAAGCCCCGGTTGGGTTTTCTTAAGTTACGGTTTGCGAAGAAGCATGGAAGTTACTTGTTCTTCAGAAAGAAATGTTTAGGGAGATGTCAAAGGTTTTCCTGGAATGTTGTCACTCACCTGACAGAAAATAGGGAAGTGGGATACAGGGGATCATTCCTGCAACAGCTTTTTTTTAAACCCACCAAGTTAATACAGGTGTAGATTCCAGGATTTAAATCTTTGTTTATTTTGCCCCCTCCCTCCCTCCCTCCCTCCCTCCCTCCCTCTCTCCCTCCCTTCCTTCTTCCCTCCCTCCCTCCCTCCCTTTGTCCCCTCCCTCTCTTCCTTTCTTCCTTCCTTCCTTCCTTCCTTCCTTCCTTCCTTCCTTCCTTCCTTCCATCCATCCATCCATCCATCCATCCATCCATCCCTCCATCCATCCATCCATAGGAGTGGACGGAACCCAACAGTTTTAACGTCTGCATCACCTCTTACAAGCAGCTCTTCAAAGGCCACCAAGCGTTCATGAAGATACGATGGAAGTACCTCATTGTGGACGAGATGCAACAGATCAAGAACATGACGGAGAAGCACTGGGAAGCCCTCTTCCACCTTCGCAGGTCTGGGCCCCATCAAAATCCGCCTTTTCTCCCCCCTGTGGAATATACTTAAGCCCTGGTTCTCGTGACGTAGGGGAGGCCACTTTGTCCCCCTCCATGGTTTGAGCCTCGTCTGGGCCAGGAATCCAAATTCAGCTTTCTTTGGCTCACGTTCCACTTCCATTTCTCAAAAGAAGCTAAGGAATATATACAGGCAGTCCTTATTTATTTATTTATTTATTATTCAAACTTCTATACCGCCCTTCTCCTTTCGGACTCAGGGCGGTGAACAGCCAAAATAAAAACATTTATACATAACATTGCAATTAAAAATAGATTTAAAATAATTAATAAATTTGGCCCATAATTTAAAACTTGTCAATTTAAAATCAGTATCAAAATTTTAAAACCAACCCTAAAATCAAGACAGACCGGCTAACTGAAAAAAGTAAGTTTTTAGGGTCCGACGAAAAGTCCGGAGGTCGGAGATCACTCGTATCTCTGGGGGTAGATTATTCCAAAGGGTTATTCCTTGACTTACAACCCTTCATTTAATGACCGTTCAAAGTTACACCAGCACCGAACGAAGTGACTTACAGCCGTTGTCCACATTTAACGACCATGGTTTCATCCCTCATGGTCAAGCGATCAAAATTCAGACGCCTGGAAACTGGCTCATATTTATGACGGTTGCAGTGATCCTCTTTGGCGACCTTCTGACGAAAAGAGTCAGTGGAGACGTCAAGATTCAATTAACAACCGTGTTACTGCAGTGATTCCCTTAACAACGGGGGCCGGAAAGGTCGTAAAATGGGGCAAAGCTCACTCAACAAACGTCTCACTTAGCAACAGAAACGGGGTCTTAAGCCGAGGACTATCTGTATCTGTGTGTAAAGAGAACCTATGTGTAATGGAATGGGGGGGGTGACCTTGTGGGAGGAGAGGAAAAGAGGCTGCCTAGTGCAGGGGTCCCCAACCCCCGGGTTGCAGCCCACTACCGGGCCATGGTCTATTTGTAACAGGGTCGCAGGCCAATGCAGACGGGCGTAGCTGGACTCACACAAGTGGCAGGTCAGTGCACACATGCACGCAGCCCCACTTGCAGTTGAGCTGTTCTGACCCAGCTCCTCAAACATGACAAACCCTCTGAAGTTAATTCCTTTATTAGGAGTGCCAGCAGCCCTGGCAAAAAGTTTCTCTCCCTCAGGCTAACAAGTCTGTCTGGCAGGGGAGATGAATAGTTGTCTGTGACACTTATTCATCTCCAACCCCTGCCGTTTATCCCCAGAGCTAGGGTGGGGCCTCGCTAGCAGCAGTGGCTCTTCCATCCCAAGGACCGGCCCATAGATTTCCACTGCTCTCCTCTTCTCTGCCTTCTGCTCATCTGTGTGTCAGGCACTGGACCCAGCTGTTCCTCCTCATCCTCATCAGCTGCCTTCAGACCTGGGGGCTGTTAACTCTCCATCTGAAGGCTGACAGGAGGCCCAGGCTCCACCTGACTCCCATGCCGCTGCCTCCTCCTTTAATTCGGCTGCTGGAGAGGCTGGCGACTGACAGTATACAACATGATCTATGTATGCATGCACATGCAGGATAGCCCACCGCTTGTGCAAGTCGAGCTGCGTGCATGTGCACTGGCCCACCGCTTTCATGGCCTGGTTCCCCTCTTCTCCCCTCTCCAGCCAAGCTGCAAAGGTTGGGGACCATTGGTCTAGGGAGCGGACAGATAAGAGAAGGAGGAGCCCGCAGATACTTAACACTCAGATGAAGAAACTTAAGAAGAACTCTCCCTAATTGTTCAGGCAATTAAAAGTATCAGTGGGAAGAAATAACAGAAATATTTTTGTTAGGAATAGTACCAGAAAAATATAATAAGGGGAATTTGTAGTTAATGTTGCATGTTTTGACGGCAGCAAGAATTCGTATTTGCACAATATTGGCAAAACGAGGAAACGCCGAGAGAAGAAGATGCAATTGAAAAATATATTCGATTGCACAGAAATGGATAGACTGACATTAAAGATAAAAAAGAAGGAAGATACAGAATACTTTCAAATGTGAGATTCGTTGTATAAATGGATAATAGTAGTAGAAATTAGGAAATTAGAAATTAGGAGCTGGGAAAACATTGTTATGTAAGCAATTGACCCAAACAATACACTGTTCATAAAGCACGTACTGTATTTTTCGGAATATAAGACACACTTTCCCCCCCCTCCTCCCAAAAAGAGGGTGAAAATTTGGATGTGTCTTATACACCGAATGTAGCCCTGCCCACCTGCCAGCCCCCACCCTTTGGCCTTTGCCTCCCAGCAATTTATCTCCTTGCAGCAAACAGCCCGTTTCAGCTTCAGCACAGCTTGATTAGCACAAGCAGCTGATTGTCGGTTGATCGGCCTCCTGACCCTCAGCTGTTTCAGGCTGCAGGGATTGCCATTGCCTATTGCCGTGCGGGCCTCCGCTGTTTGCTGCAAGGAGGCAAATTGCTAGGAGGTAGATTTTTTTTTTCTTGTGCTAATCAGGCCGTGCTGAAAATGAAGATGAAACTTAAGCAAGCTGTTTGCTGTTTGCTGCAAGGAGGCAAATTGCTGGGAGGCAGATTTTTTTTTTCTTGTTTTTCTCCCCTAAAAAGGTAGGTGCGTCTTATAGTCTGGAGCGTCTTAAACTCCGAAAAATATGGGTATGTATGTTGAATGAAAATGTACAAATAAACTATAACAAAAAAAAGTATCAGTGGGAAGTTTGGACCGTCCGACTTAGAAGGTTATGTTCTAAAGTAGAAAGAGGCCATTTGGTTGCGTTTCTTTGTCTGGTTTCTCCGGGTAGGACTGACACTGTGCCCCCCCCCTCTCTTTGTAGTCAGTACCGCTTACTCCTGATCGATACCCCTCTGCACAACACCTTGATGGAACTGTGGACCATGGTACACTTCCTGATTCCAGGAATCTCCAAAGCTTACCTGGATTTCCCAGTGAAAGCAGCCAACGAGGAGAATCAAGACTACTGCCATAAGCTCGTCATCAGGCTGCACAGGGTGAGTCCCTCAAGGGCTGGGAGGGGGCGGGGTGGGGGGGCTGGAATTGGGCCCAGGGAATAGGATTTGACGAAGGTTATGTTAGAAACATACAAAACTAGCAGCAGGAAAAATGATTCATCAAGACTGCCCCTTTGAGTTTATTCGCTCTTTATTTTCTTTCTTTCTTTCTTTCTTTCTTTCTTTCTCTCTCTCTCTCTCTCTCTCTCTCTCTCTCTCTCTCTCTCTCTCT